TCAGTATCTCTGGCATTCATCAAGGTCAATGTCTTCGTCTTCTCATCAGGATAAAAAAATTGCTTTAGTTGTGTTTGACAAAAACCTGAGGTGGAAATGTTGAACTGTTTCAGCCTGGTTCAACTCTTTTGGCAGCAGTCGACAGCAGATGGGGCTGTGATCTTGAGCAAATTATGTGTAAAATTTAATGATTCTTTATGCTCTCGTGTAGTTTCTTTTGGTACTTATGACTACGAGTGTCGTATGTACATTTACTAAATAACCCTCAAATGCCATGTGTACATTTGTTATATCATTCTTAGTTTCGTGCGTATATTTGTTATATTATTTGTTATATCATTGTTAGTTTCGTGCGTACATTTGTTATATTATTTGTTATATCATTCTCAGATTCGTATGTACATTTGTTATATTATTTGTTAAATCATTCCTAGTTTCGTGCGTACATTTGTTATATTATTTGTTATATCATTCTTAGTTTCGTATGTACATTTGTTATATTATTTGTTAAATCATTCCTAGTTTCGTGCGTACATTTGTTATATTATTTGTTATATCATTCTTAGTTTCGCATGTACATTTGTTATATTATTTGTTACATCATTCTTAGTTTCGTGTCTACTTTTGTTCTTAAATCTGCACCTGTGTGAACGTCACATTTTTTACCAATGGCCTAAAAGCCCCAGACGACACATTTGTCCTTGACCTAGATCACCTGATTTTTGTGTATCTGGTCCTCACACGCTTGTTTAAAAAAACTTTCAAACTTCTGAACTAGAAAACTGGAGTAGGAACAGCAAATACTTTAATTACTCATTAAGTTGTACGCTAATTTTTTTTAACATTGTTTTAATACATGTCAAACTATTTTAAATCATGTTATCTTTCTTCCAGTATTCCCGCCATGGCGTCAAGCAATGTCCAGCTACCAAAAATGACCGAAGGCTACCTGGGTCCTCAGGCCAAGTTCGAGTCGTACGGTCTCAGCCTCGTCTCCCACGGCCACCCCGTCATCTACATGCAAGATGACCAGCCGGAAGTGGAGATCATCCTGGGCACCCAGCCCGGCACGAGAATCACCATCAAACTCTTGTCCTACGAGCGGAAACAAGAATGCACGGAGTACTGTTTAATCCGCGCCCTGGGTCCCAACTATCTCTTCCTCATCCGCCCGCCCCTCCCGGGGTTTTATAAATTCCAGATCTACGCCCTACCCAAAGACGAAGCGGGTCCCCAAATGCTGGGGGTCTACAACTACTTGATCTACTGCCCCGGGTCTTTCGGGAACAACCCGTTCCCCAAGCAATACCCGCCCTGGAAGGACGGATGTTACCTGTACGAGCCAATCTCCTTGCCTAAAGGCATCAGAGAGCCTATGGTGAGATTCAAGCTGCTGATCCCAAAAGCCAGGGACGTACAGGTGAAGGTGGCTGAGGAATGGAACCCCTTGGAGCAGACCCAGCCAAACCTTTTTGAGGGTCTTGTTGACTTTAGTCAGGGTTATCCCCCCGGGTCCAAGGCTAAAATTAACTGTAAATTCGGTGGTAACAATTACAGCACCTTATTGGAGTATTCTCTTTAAACTGTTTTTTGAATGTGTTTAAATGTATTTATTTGCTTGGTAACTATTTCTGATGACCTCGGTAGTGAAGTATCTGTTTACTGTGATGCTATTCCAATCAATCAATTTTCTTTTTTTTAAATTTAGTTTATTTTCTGTTTCTATTTGAACCATTGCGTAAATTAATATAATAACTTAATAAATTATTTTACTGAATTTAATATTACTTTCAAACTCAAACTGTTGGTTTTAGTTATTTGCATGCTTTTGATGTTTGTGTTGTTAGTTAATGTAAACTCATGAATGAGTTTCGCCATCAAACCTGAGAGGATAGATTAGAACATCCTGGTGATTCTTTAATTAAACAACCGTTTTCTAATGTGGGTTCAGGCATATCAAAGCAGTGGCGCCCGAAAGATTGCCAGCCATGTTCCCTCTAGCGCAGTAGTTGTAATCCAGCCGCGCAGTCCCTTTGTAAAATACAAATATCTTTGTATAAGCCATTTCAGAGCACCGCGCTAAACAAAATATATGATGCGCATACGCTTTTGTTCTAAAGAGGGAATGCTGGTTGCCAGGCAACGGATTTAATTATTGTTTTACTGCTTCAACTAACCGCTGCACGTGTAACCAATGAAGAGGGGGGGGGGGGCTGCTGCTGACACAGTTTGAAAAATGTTTGCAAAAAATTTTGATTAGTATTTTATTTATAACTCCTTTAAATCGTCCTGTAAAATGTAGTCCGCAGGTGCTTAGGACATTCCCTTCCCCCGATATCCCACACCCCCCCCCCCAGCATCAATTACCCCCTATCAATTATTCCATTAGGTAATTACCTGCAAAGTGGAAAATTGGCTTTTTATATAATGCCTACAACGCGCAATAGAAAACAAACTAAATCGTATCTTGTACCATCCTTAGGAACTCTATAGAATGCCAGACAGGAGAAAAGGCACATTGTAGAATAAACTTTAGTCATCCGGAAACCTTCTTAATCCTACCCTTAAACATAGAGTCATAGACCTATTCCTAACCATAATCCTTACTCGCTTGACTTCCGGCTAAGATTTCGTTTAACGTTAGGATTAGGTTTAGGGTCAGTTTGTAATTGACAAGGGGGGGGGGATTCCTACTCCAGTTATTTGGGCCGAGGGATAATTTACTGCTAGTTAATTGATCGGGGGGAATATCTAGGGAAGGGTTGTGTGTAATATCCCGGGGGAGGGGACTTCAAGGAGCAGTATCCGCAGATTGTGTTGCTAATGTAGTGCTGGTTGCATTAAATACCACTGCAATATTTTGAGTCCGTTAATTTTAACTTGTAACCTTCACCTTGCAAAAGCTATATTTAGCAAAATAAGAAAAGTCATATCATAAAGTAAATATGCAACGTTTGCATTCAACCTGAAAATAGATCTTAAATTATCCTAGCTACGAGTACTCCAGATAAAATGTAATATAAACAAAACGGGCTGGTTTTATTTAAAGTGTAGGCGAAAAAAATAATTAACCCGTGTACACTACTGAATAGCATGTTTACCCCGTACACTTTTTATCGTTTGACTAGTTTGACAGATAGCGAGTTGCCAGGAAGGCTTCTCATAAACAATTTATTTTTTTTTCTGTTTCTGCATTCACTGGCTAAGTGATTTGTTTAAAATAAGCGTACGTTTTTGTTAACCTTAGCTTTAAGATGTTAGTGTTAAGATGAGTGGGTGGGGGGGGGGGGGTGAATAGCAAGAGGTAAGTTATATATTTATAAAGGACTTATATACATTAAAAAATTGTAATTGTAATTGTACTTCTAAGCCCTTTAGTTTTTTGTTGTTGTTGTTTTTTTCAATTTAAATATGATACTTTGCACTAAACACATTATTAACATTATATAAATGGACGAACACATAATTCGGTTTCTTTTAAACAATATTTAATCTTTACAAGTTTGAATAATTTCATGTATAATTTAAAACTGACAAGGATAGAGTTTAATAATGTTCTGAATAAATTACACATAAAAAGAAGCTGAAGTAATTATACAAATTATTTTTCTACAAATACAAGAATTAAATCAAATATTTGTTAAACGATGCCGTTTATAATTAAAGTCCATTAACAAAGAACAGTAACTCTATTAACTTGCTGTGTAGCCAGGGATACCATTGTCACTGTGTTGATTGTCTCAGTCTTGTCTACACAGGTGCTACAATTCAGACTTGGTATATTGAACAAATGTATGGTTAACACAGAGGTAATCTAACATTAGTACACAGAGAAATGGCTTTACTGATACAGCTAGGATAATACAGTAATTAGGGAAACTAGGGGTTTAATTAAAAACAGGTAACCAGAATGTGATGTATTCATGCTAGCGTCTTAGCTTCGTCTGCTAGAAGAGGAATTTGTTTTGATCAGTACACCTTGTGCTTAAAAAAGAAAATTTTATTTATATATAGGTTGTCGTTATTTTATTATCCCTCATATTAAGCGATCTATTTTACTAAAACCGGCTGACTCCTGACTCCTATAGCTTAAAGTTTACCACAGCATTAAAAACCTGCCGACTCCTGACTCCTGTAACTTAAAGTTTACCACATCACTAAAACCTGCCGACTCGTGACACCTATAGCTTAAAGTTTACCACAGCATTAAAAACCTGCCGAATCCTGACTCCTATAGCTAATAAATATGCTGACTCCTGCAGCATTAGATCACCACAACGAGAAAACCTTCAACAACAAAAAAATATTTCAACAAAAATTGTTTTTGAACCCAATCTTGAAGGATTAGGATAAATGTTCACGAGGTAATTCAGGTGGACATTTTAAAACGATGATTTATCTCGAGAGAAAGATATGAGATAACGTGGGGGGAGAGAAAAGTGTGAACTGTTATGTAAGGGGCGGGAGGGTGGGGGGGGTAAGAAATAACATGCTGTAACAGGTGAAACTGCACTAGAATTGGTGAGTCGGCTTCTGATGTTTTTTGTAAAATCATAAGATTTAGAATAAGGTGTAATCTACGGCTTGCTGGTATCTCATTGCCTAAGTTTACATGTGCATCTTCATCTATGTCCTTGTCAGAGTGGAGCCCCTCCCCCCACCCCCCAAAGGAAGTCTACCACCACCACACCCCCCCCCCCCCCACACCCGAACGAAATGTACTTTATACAGAAAACATACTTTTACCAGTGTTCGTCACCCCCCCCCCCCCCGGAAAATTTAGTTCCCCCCCCCCCCCCCCGAAAATATCAATCAAGTCCGTCCCCCCCCCCCCCCCACTCTCCCGGAGAAAAAGGTGTGTCCTAGTCTATGACCTGTTATGTCATAAAAGTCCTCGTGTGGTACATATGGCACTTGTCTAAACTATAATGCTAGCCCTCAGGGGCGTAGCGAGGGGGGTGGGGGGGCGGGGGGGCGGACCGCACCGGGTGACACCATTTAGGGGGGGTGACACCAAGGCAAAAAATAGCAAAATATATAGAGAAAACTTGAGGGGGGTGCAAATCGAAAGTTTGAGGGGGGTGCAAATCAAAAGTTTGAAGGGGGGGTGCAAATCGAAAACTTGAAAGTTTGTCCCCGGGAAGGGTCGCTACGCCTCTGGGGGGTGACACCATTAAGTGCCGCACCGGGTGACACCAGACCTCGCTACGCCACTGCTAGCCCTAACACATATATAGTAAGAAAAAACATTGTTATTCTACTTATTATTGTGGCCAGATGATGTTTTTATTATAAAGTAATAAGATATACATAAGACATTGACCCCCTATAACTGCATACATCTTTATACGAAAGTTGCGTAAGTTTTGAAACAATCGTATTCACCTGTACCCAGTCTAGATGGTTGTAGCGATGGCCAGAGTGGGCCTACCTTTCAATGGTCTGTGGATAATTTATTTCACATGTTTTGACCAGTGGTCAGTTTCGTTCTTAACTTCCAGCATTTCTCGGTAATTCACGGCCTTTGGGCCGTTAGTTAAGCCATACAATGACCTGTATTGGTAAAAAGTCTGTTTTTATATTGCTACAATTAGTTAATTTTTTAACCAACAATTTTGGTGCTGCATAGAATACCGCGTCTCCCACCCTTACGTTCTAAACTAACCGGTGTGTCGCCGTTAAAGATCACACTAGCACCGCTCTGAGGTCTGCACCCAACAGACCCTAATCTAGCGCCAAAATACCTGCAGCCTAGGCGGGCTAACTTTCTAGTTACCCGTCTCTAGGCAGACGTGGGCTGGAGCCCGACCTGACCGGATACTCTCATGGTTGGCACGTAGGTCGCACCGACACGAAGTTTCTTCCAGGCATCTCGTAGAAAAATGACAACACCCCCCCCCCCCCCCGAACGAAATAGAATTTATATAGATAATATATACTTTCACCAGTGTCCCTTCCACCCTCTCTAAAATTTTCGTCCGACCCTCCCCCCCCCCCCTGGAGAAAAAAGTCTGCAAGAAAAAATGCCGACACGTTGGAAGGCAGACAAAATGCCACAGGGCAGTTAACAACAGCTTGTTCTATTACGTATGTGTGAAGATAAAAAAAAACTGCCTGTAAAGATTTAAAGCTCAACAGGCTCGTTTCCTAAGACGTTAAGATTTCAAGTTATACAAAAAAAATGAATAGCTTTGCTTAGGGATTCAGGGGTCTTTCAAATATTTTTGAAACACTAATATGATTTTATATAACATTTCCACGTTATATAATATATATAGGAAGGACCTACTTCCCCCCTCCACTAATTAAAAGTTTTATGACTTGATAAATGGAATCAATTCATACTAAATAGCTTTGTTTAAATTGGTCTATACCCCCCCCCCCCCCCCCCCCCATCCGATACAACAGTTTCACTTAGTATTAAGACATAAGTCCCAGTAATCTGTTTGATAAGGTTTTGTTGCGATCACGTAAATAAGTTATTTACGGTGAGCAACTAAGAAGTTTCCTATTTTGTCTCTCTGCCAAATTTGAGTCCATCTCATAAGTCATACGGTAATTAATTAAGACAGTTAAATATAAATTATTTATCTTTCTTTCACCTGCGTCTGTTTTGTTTTTAAGTAACTTGCGGGATTTTGTGGCTTTAACCATTGAAGTTATTTACTTTCTTAGCCAGGAGAGCAATGAACTAAGGGGAGTAACTCGAAACGAATGCGAATCAATCCAGACAACACTTCACATTGTTTCCAGTCTGTAGAGTGTGCAATGAAAACATTGTGTGGCTGCGGAACACGTCTGACTTGCCAGAAAATAAAATGTGAACCATCTTTGGCACCAACAAACAATACATCAAAGGACCTAGGCATCTCTGTATCACTCAACACTAAATAATACACAGCTAGTTTTATCAAACACTAGGAATTTACACTTTCTCTAACTTCTGATTTTAAAATAAATTATTCTAAATGACACACAGCTAGTTTCAACAAACACTAAGAATTTACACTCTCAAACTTCTGATTTAAAATAAAATATTGATTTTGTGAAATGTTCCCGTAGCATGAAGTGAGACAGTTTACCTTTACTTTTTATAAATCAAACTCAAACAAGAAAAACTTGACCCACGTGAATAGGCCAACTTGACCAAATAAGGACAACAACTTGACCCCAGCCAACAAGGACAACAATTTGACCCAAACATGGACAACAACTTGTCTAAGACTGAAGAAGCATTTATTGCAGAGATAGCATTTGCGTAACTAACTTACAAAAAACAACATGAAGATAAATGCCCAGTCTTAACTGGCAGCCAGTAAAAGAAGTTTTTTTTTGTCCCATTTCAAAGTTCACATTAGAGTAAAAGGCTGGCTCTGTTTACACACATTTTATACATGCAGCAAAAACAAACTGTGTATACAATTTTTGATAGTAAAAGTCTTATATATTCACAATTTTTAAAAAAAGATTTATTTATATCTTTTTAATCTACGATAAAAAAAATATTGAAAAAAAAAATGCGTATTACAGAAACGAGAATGCCAATAAGTTATGGCTCAATTAATTAAAACTAACACATACTCCACCAAACTGTCATGGATGTTAGTATTATGTGTGTGCTTGTATCACTAAATGAGGTGCTTTCAAACAAGTGAAGTTTAGTACACAGAGCTGACTCATTAAAAACACCTATTTTAGTTTTAAGAAACGAAACAAAACATGATTATGGATGTTTTTAAAAAAAATTATCAAAATGAAGTACAAAATTTGTTTTCAACTAATCATTACAAACAAAACTTGTGTAATGGTTACATGTTTTGTTTATGAACAAATGAGAAGCTGGTGAGTATATGAGCACAAACATGGTTATACAAGAGAAAAAAAATACATGAGTTTTACGCACTGAAGATACAGTAAACCAGACTTTCAAAAATATATCTTAAACAAAGAGAATAATCACATCCAATGGGGGCAGTAAATGTATCACTAGCAGAAGATTGCTTTAAAAAATGTGTACCAATGACTTGATTCGCTGGTACAAGTTTTTTGGTTTGTGTCGAGATAAAAGTGTAGATTAGTGTGTTGTAAGACTCTGCCTCCACAGCAAAGTTTCAGTGAGAGTATCCAAACACATCTGTTTGTTGTTTTAAAACCACAGCCTTAAGTAAAAATGTATAAAACAATAGAAATGTATTTTAAAAGGATAAGTGTCTTTAGAAAAACACCCTGTTTGTCATTAAGTTGGAGTAGTATTGCTATAAAAAGACTTGAATTAAGCCAGAGGAGAGGGTAAATTGATCTAAAGCAGTGGATCAGTTAGCGCAAGACTAGACACAGATACACTGCATCAGTCAGTCAATGCATGACTTTAAACATACAATGCATCAGTCAATGCAAGACTTTAAACATACAATGCATCAGTCAATGCAAGACTTTAAACATACAATGCATCAGTCAATGCAAGACTTTAAACATACAATGCATCAGTCAATGCAAGACTTTAAACATACAATGCATCAGTCAATGCAAGACTTTAAACATACAATGCATCAGTCAATGCAAGACTTTAAACATACAATGCATCAGTCAATGCAAGGCTTTAAACATACAATGCATCAGTTAGCGCAAGAACCATATCAGATACATTGCATCAGCCAGCACAAACCCCTGTCTTTACAATCAAGAAGGCCAGAAAAAATTTGGGCAGAACACAAAAAAAAACAGCTTGAAGTTTTTGATCCCTGGTGGCTCTATCAAGATTGGTCAGTAACAAAAAATAAAAACAAACTAAAACAGAGATGGCTTCAGTCCCAGCTTGGACGTGTCTAAACGTACAAATAAAAACCCACATACAGGCTCCAGCAGGTGTGGTCTAGGCATTACGTGAAGTGTATAAAAGATTTTTTGAAAGATATTCAAGCAACACTAACAGCAAAAGCATGAAATGTTATGTGTATGTGTGAGTGCAGACATTTGAATATGTCAACAATTGATACTAGATTGAGATTATACAAGCAAAAATTTTAAAATGACTTTAAAGATGGATAATCTAGTTTAATTAGTTAAAATATTGAGTAATTTTTGTTTGGTATAAAAAATGTCATGAATGCTGACATTGGTAAAAACTTTCTAGAGACAATATTCCAGCAGGGTGGAATAGCTTGTCTTATCACCACCAAAGTTGGCATTCAATGTGCATTTGACCCCTTGACCATACAGGCCCTTCACGTCAACCACCTTGGCCCACTCGTCACCCTGAAATACAAAACAAATCATTTTTTATGGTTCATATTTACTAATAGGTACAGGATACTAGTTAAAATAACTACAGGCTGTATTCTCAGCTGTGTACTTGTTAGTACCTTGCTAATACCCTAAGCCTAGCCCTAAGCATAGCATAACTATTGTTCTGACCCTTTATCACAATAGCAATATGCTATAGCAATGGCCCAAACCATAAAAAGTAAAATACCCTTTCAAACATTATGGGCACTGGGGCAGGTGAAGTAGAGTTCACCTGTTTCAGTGATCTCCGCATAAGTAAGGATAGCATAGTCAGCACTATGCACAGCCACCTTTACTTTCCCTAAAGTGAGTCAGGTACCCATAAGAGCTGGGTGGACTCAGGAACGTCACATTCCACTCTCAAGCCCGGGGATCCAAAACCTAACACTAAACCATTCAAACCATGGCACTCGTCTAAACTCTGATGCTAACTGTAACTGGTATACTATTATTGTCCAGTTGGTGTGTGTATACTAAAATAATCAGATACTAAAAACCAGTGCCCCCTAAAACTGCCTACATCTTTATACACATCTATCACCAAAGATCCATGTTCAATGGTGGTACTCACCTGTAGCCTGTCCAGGTGTGTCCAGTTCTGTCCAGCAACCACTGCCACGGCTTCAGCTTTAGGAATGCTGACACGGAAGTTGATGCTGGTGGGGAGACGGTCAAGCTGGACCTGAGATGAGTGAGGTCCTCTGTTGGTTGGGATGACACCAGGCTCGTACATGAAGCAGCCTTCCTTCCACTGAGCATACTGCTTGGGGAATGGGAACACAGCCTGAAAAAATTTAGATGCCATTAGTCATTTTCTATTTAAAAATGTTAAAACGTTGTGAACATAAAGCAATCAATGCTGGGTTTTTTAATTATTTTTTTTTTACTTATTAAGATTGTTTACTGTAATAATAAAAATTAGGAGACAGATAATTAGGTTTTAATTAATTTTTTTTTTTACTTATTTTCTTAATTAAGATTGTTAATGGTAATAATAAAAATTAAGAGATGGAAAATTATAGTTTAGTTAATTTTTTTTTACTTATTTTCTTAATTAAAATTGTTAATGGTAATAATAAAAATTAAGAGACAAGTAATTATAATTCACATGATCCCATCATATGCAGAGGTAAAAAAAATTAACCTATATCTACCTCATAAACAGGGCTAAAAGAGTTCTTTGCTTAAATTGAAAATGAGAACAGCGTGAATGAGATGTAGGCCTACATACCTGTGTAACATTTTTACAGTTGACCAGATAGTTGAAAACACCAGGCAGCTGCTGACTGGGGTCAGACTGTGGCATGGCGTAGATCTGCAGCTTGTAGTAGCCAACCTCTGGCATGTTGACAATAAAGGAGATCTGGGAACCCAGGCAGTTGGAGAAGACAAAGTCGGGGAACTCTTCATCGTTCTCTACAGCTATCAAGTTGGCTGTCACGCGCATGGGGAAGGAGGTCTTCATCGCTATGGTGACGGTGTTGACATCCAGGTGGATGACTGGGTCGACATGGGACACGCAGGTCAAACCAAACTCATCAAACCTTTGTTGTTTGCCCAGGTATCCGTGGGGGAGAGCTGGCAGAGGTTCAACCTAGGGGAGAAACACAGTTTTTAAATGTATTTCAGCCATTCAATGTCAGCGCAACAGAATATTGTCATGGTACAAATGAAACAACTGAGAAATAAAATTTTAAAATAAAATCCAGCCTTCATTAGAGATAGTGGGAATACTCAATGGTCAGGTCTAGGGCACTGAATTGACCCCATGAGACTTTTTTTAAACACGTTCATGAATTCTGTCTTACGTACCATATGGTCAGAAATGGTACTTTAAAATTTAAAACAGAAATTTAACTGAGGTTTAAATTCAATTGTAGGAATGAGTCTCACTAAACTACTGTATGTGAAGTTCAGTGGCAATCCTGGGCATACCTCTGGATAACTCAACTAACCTTAACATCTTCCTGACACAAGACCAGGTACTGTGCCACGTGATAGAGGGTACTTCCTTCTTTCTCTGGGTTGTTGGCATAAATCTCCAGCCCATATTCTCCCCTACCAGGACAGCTGACATTGAAGTATGCTGTGTTGCCTACTGTCCTGTGGAGGACAAAGCCTTCCAGCTCTGTGTCAGCCAAGTGATTGTTCTTTAGTTTGGCCATGAACTGCATGTTGCATGGAATCTTGATCTGGACAGGGGAGTAAACATATAGGTCACATTCATTAACAGATTCAAATGGTATAGAGTCAGTACTACTATGAACACAAGTAAGGTTATGTCAGTTATTTTTTGTTGGTATCACCATACCGACCTTTATAACAAAACAAAAAATTATTGTATTGCACTGTCAGTGACAAAGTAAATAATTAGTCTTTCATGTGTATATGTTTATTTAATGTACTAACATTTGAATGAATGGGAGAAGAAAACTCAGTTTAGAAATGTTGTTTAGCAACATACCTGTAATTCAACTTTGCCTTCTCTGGTGTTAAGTGTGGCAGTCTGTTGGTAGGTGCTGAGGTTGTACCTGTAGAAGGCAGAGCCAGCTCCCCAGTTTAAGTACGAGCAGGGTGGGTAGGGCTCAGGGGCAGGGACTGGAACCACCTCCTGTTCAATTTTGTACTCACAAACTTGGGCGTACACATTGTCTTTGTTCTCTGGTGTGTCTTCTTTGGCATAAATATAAAGGATGTACGAGCCCTCAACTGGCAGACGTAGAGAGAATGAAGCGATTCTTCCAGAGCTCTCCTGGAGACCGTACCTGCTCAGTTTAACACCTGCGTACTCCTCGTTTCCATCCTCAAACTGGATGGTGAAGTTGAAAGCAACAGCAATTTTGTCAGCAGGGTAGCGCAGACGAATGTGGAGCTCCCCTCTGCTGTGGATGACGCCAGTGCGGTGGGTGACAAACTCCAGGCCGTACTTGAAGAACTGTGGCTTCATGTGGGGCATGGACTCAAACTCCTGCAGGGTGACACTGCGTTCAAGGAGCTGCCACTGGGGCTCTTCAGGGAAGTGGGTGTAGATCAGTTGGTGGGGGTCGGGCAAGAAGAAATACCTGAAACACAAAAATAAATTTACATCTATTATATATCAAACAAAAAATTTTAAAATTATACCACTAAAAATGTCACTAACACAAGTCTGGACCAGAGGGTATTGAGGTGGCACCATGATCATTTATGAAAGGTTATATTTATTCAATAAGTTTTAATATAAGAATTTATCTCAAAGAAATATTTAAATATATAACTCAAATCATGTCTAAATGCTATAAGAAAGTATGATATTAACCTCTACTGCTAATGTTAAAAAAATAGGGTAACTATTACAATTTGGGTAAATTTATTATTAGCATGACTTACTCATCTAACTGGTAGTGGAAATCTTCAGTGGATGCTTGTTTGCCGATGATACGTCTGGCAGCCCAATGAGCATCTATCAGACACCATGTGCCATAAATGTAGACAGCGTTCCATGAATGTTGATTGGTGCCTGGGGTGAACTTCTGACCTGGTCTGTAATCAGCACCTTTAGCGTACCCACTAATTATCTTTGAATGAAGACCAGCATAGCTGAAAAAGAAAATTACCATAAATTTAAAAAATCAAAAGTAAGTGTTTACATGATGAAAAAGTAACTAAAACATACCAAAGTTTTAAAAATTGAACTACAAATGATGAACTTACTTGCACATGGTGTCAAAAACCATAGCGTATGTTGTTTTTCCTGTCTTTAGCCCCATCAGTACCTCTTCTGGGCTGCCCTTGTCAACTTTATCAAAGTTCATTTCTTTAAGATTCTTAGTGGCTAACCAACGGAAAATAACTCTATGGAGATGACAATTTTAATTAATAAATACATAGAAAGCTTCATTAAAGAAACGAGTTAAAACAATCAATAATTGTAAATCATCTTACTAAGATAAACTAATTTATTTTTTTAAAATCGCATGAAGAAGCCAGGACACAATGGTTTAGACTAAATTAGATTAGCATAGAAGAAGGTTCAACCCAAACATTAGTTTACCTCACTTTTCCTAGCTCATTCGATAATGAACCTTGTAAAAGTTAACCAGGAAACAACACAACAAAGTAGCTTACCTCACTTTCTCTAGCTCATTTGTGATGTTCTTTGAGTAGATCAAATCCCAGACTAAATCTCTGAAATTGTTGTGCTCAGATTTGGAAACCTAAGGACAAAATTAATATTTAATTAAAATTTAATTTATTTGTTGTTATGACATAACCTACGTCAGGTTTTAATTTAACCCTTCTATTCAATAGTTAACAACAGAATTTGTTTGATAACAACAGAAAGAAAATGAGTGTCCGTGTTAGACATAGAAAGCCCACATGTATAACATGGTCATCTACAGATTGTAAATAGTTTGATAACAACAGAAAGAACAAAAGTGTCAGTGTAAAACATAGAAAGCCCACCTGAATAGCATGGTCATCTACAGATTGTAAAACATGTCTGTCTATGGCTTCTAATGTGGGCTTCTGGTTGGAACCTGCAGGAGCTGGGGTGGGGGCTTCTTCTTTCTCTGACTTGGCATGGAGCTGGAAGGATGAGGGGGCAGCCTGACCTTCTTGACCTACCTGCCTTTTCTCAACCTACAGGAAAGGAGAAACACAAATTTTCATTCTGGGCTTCAAAACGTATGTTCATTTATTAAAAATAATTTTTTTTTAAATTTAGTTAACAACACTACGATTATTGAGAGATTTTTATTAAAAAAAAACACATTTCCAAGCCAATAAGATTGGTTCTTAAGATTTTGCCTTTAAATAATTAAAATTAATAATAAAAAATATTTCAAAAGATTAAATTCTATAAAACAATTCTAAAAACTTGTATATAAGAAAAAGAGATTTAAAATTGTTATGATTTTATAAATTCAACAAAAAGTGTCTTTCAAAAGCTTAATTTAAAAATTTGTTGTGTTACTGTTATTTTGTGATTTTGCAGTAGATTTTTATAAATGCAGGTGAAAACTTACCTGTAGAGGTTTGGTGCTGACTGGGATTTGGATGACCTCAGCTTTCTGTGGTTTCTGACCTGAGGTCTGGCCCACACCTGGGGCGTATGAAGAGTAAGCTTGACCTTGTGGATGCACGAGGTTGGTCTGGACAGCATGCTGTCTGCTGTCAGGCACAGTGCCGTACAAGTACTGCTGCTGCAAGAGTTCTGGGGGTGGTGGAGGGAACTCTTCATCTCCGTAGCCATCTTGGTTCTTTTGCTGCAAACAGATCAAGGTGTATCACAAGCATTATTTTAATTTAAATTGTCAGTCATTCAATTTACTTGGGTCAACTTGCAATAAATATCATAATTAATATTTATGATAAAATTGGAAATTTACATGTTTTTTTGCCATAAAAATATCACAAATATAATTTCAGTCACAATCATCCAATTTAATTTTGTCTTCTTGTCAAAAATTATTTTTCCGGCTCAAATGGCTATTGAGTTTATTTAATGGTGTCTTCTTTACCATAAATAAATGAATATATTTTTATAAGTTAACTGCATATTCAACAAATAGAATTTAACATGTCATGTGAAGCTGTGTAAGTGTGGTGAGATACACAAATTGGTTACTTACACCAGCATTAAATTTGTGTAAGTGTGGTGAGATACACAAGTTGGTAACTTACACCAGCATTAAATTTGCCAGGTTGGCTGGTGGCCTGTTGTCCAGGTGCCAGACCTCTCCTGTCAGGACTCTCCTGGTAGAAAGCTCCTTGCTGCTCATTACGGGGGGCAAAGTGCACGTAGTACTGACAGATGTGTGTGTAGGTGTCGCCATCTTTAGCTGGGTCATTGCCGTACACCTCAATACCATACTCTCCTCTTGCTGGGAGCTGGGCTGTTACCTAACAAATTATAAGGTCAACAGTTTTACAGGCAATACACAAAGGAAAGTCAATATTTTTTATTTTATGTATCAATGTATTGGTATAGAGTGTGAAGGACATGGCATAGCTAAGTGGTAAAATGAGAAAGAACTTAATATCCTTTTAGACGTGAAGTTCCACAAGGAGAATAGTAGAATTTTAAAGAAAAATAAAAGAATATTTCCAAAATTTTTTGCTAAAAAGAGTTAATACTTTGAGATCTGATTAACATAAATATCTAACAAAACAGAAAAAGTAAATAAAACTGACAAGTAGAAAACCAGTGAATCATACCCTGACAACATCACCCTCGTCCTGCTCCTGAATGTACTTCTCCAAATCTTCATCTTTCATCCCATTTTTGCGCAGCTTACACAGGATGTACGCAGGCTTGGTCTTGGCAAACTCCAGGTTGACGTGTCCATCCTCAGTGGTGACAATACCATCTGGGGGCGTGGCCACAATGCCCAGCTGGTCCACTGCAACACCTGGACCCCAGCTGCTGTCTGAGCATGCTGGGAGGGGTGCGGCATCTGATGAGGCAGCATCAGCTATCACCTGCATTTTGTTTAAGTAGAGGTTAATTATTCACTTATCCAGGGCTGCCTACCCATAAAAAAAAATTATTCAGTAACAAGAGCATAGATTTTCCATAATAATTGGATATTGTCCACAACTTTCAGTATTTGTTCATTTTTTAATACAAGGTGAATAAGGCCAATTTTTATTATAGCAAAACTTATCAACATAATGATGATAATCAGGTAATTAATTACTAATATAGCAATGAAATTGAAATTTAGGTCCTATTCTATGGAAACCTTATTTAGGACTCAAGAAATTTAGCCTATGAAACAAGTATTTTTTTCAAAAATATTTCTTAAACTACAATGGGTTTTTCCTACAGACATAGTGTAACTAGAGACATGTGAGACTTGCCTTGTACTCAGCTGAGGCAGTGAAGATGTTTTTCACACCCAGCTCACCAGTCAGCAGCTGACCAAAGATGGTGAAGTAGTACTGTCCAGCTTTGGGGGCTCTGAAGATGAAAGTAGTGGTCTGGTTCTGACCCTGGTGCTGTAGAGCATAGTTCTTGAGCTTCTGGCCCTGGAAGACCTCTTCTCCGGTATCAGCAAATGTTATTTTGTAGCTGGATCAAAAAAGGCAACACTATAAACCTTCACATAAACAATTATTGTTCTTAATTTAAACAAAAAATAACACACTAATGAGAATGTTATTTCCAAACAAAACTAAGAGTACATTTTAGATGTACATTCATAATCTGGACAAAGAGTAAAGTGAGCCTTTATTTTAACAAGTTACAATTTAAAATGAAATTTAAAATGTTAGATTAATTATCAGTGATAAATAGAAAAAAATATAAGCTAGAACATTTATTTTGTTAATTTAAGTAAAAACATACTGTTAAATAATATTGATAAATAAGACAGGGATGAAAAATAATTACTAGTAACATTGTAAGTGAAGAACTATTAGAAGCGATGCTATAATGGTAGCCATCACTTACGTAAAGTTAGTTGGTTTACAGAATCCCAGAGTCAGAGCCAGACGTCCTTTCTTGGCGTCAACAACACCATTGTGGTGAGAAATGAAAAACATGCCACACTTGAAGAAATAGGACTTGACCAGAGGCAGGTTCTCAAAGTCTTGCAGGGTCACTGGTGTGTTGAGCAGCTGCCACTCATTCTTGTGGGCCCAGTGGCTGTAGATCAGCTGTTCCGGGTCAGTCAGGAAATAGAAGTCATCATACTCATACACCTGGGGAGAACAACATATAGAGAATACTTTATATCATATTCTACTTTTTTAATATCTTTACTTCATTGTTTCAACATGATGGTGTATCATCATCTTTTCCTTTTTGTGCCCAAGATACATGCAAGAATTAAAATGAAGAACATTTAAATGCAGATTTTAAAACAAGTACAATCTTCCTTTCTTAATACAATTTTCATTATACAACATTAACATTCACTGCAAAATATGGTGTATGATACTGAATAAAAAACAAGACATTGAATTTATAAAAAATGATAGTGCTAAAAATTGCAACATTCTGACATGTCTGTGAGGTTGCTTCCCTTGTATTGATGTAAACATCTAAGCTTTTCAAAAACAAAATATATTTTTTATGGGATACCTAAGATGATACTTTTACTCCCTAACAAAATGTGGGTATGAACAAATTAATTAATAAAACAAGATTTATATTAGAAGAAGGAAATCTGAAGCTAAAAATCTTTTAATACCACAATAATCCCAGAGATTTTAAATCAAGGATTAGACTGACAAGCATGCGTACCAAGTTTTCTGGCATGTTCTTCTCTGAGACCAGGTACCTAGTGGCCCAGTGTGAGTCAACCAGGTACCAGTTGTTGTCTATCAGGACTGCATTCCAGCTGTGGTTGTACTCATTGCCCTTGAACTTGTCTCCAGGGCGATAGTCCAAGCCTTTGGCATACCCAGTCAGCACAATGGAGTGAACTCCAGCAAAGCTATCCATAAAATATATCAAGTTAATTACAACTTCTTTGAACTCTGTAGTTAAATTGTTTAACTAATTACATACAAATTAATAAAAAATATTTATAAGAAATATTTATTTACCGACATAGGATTTCAAAAATTCTGGCATATGTGCCTTGCTTGTTTTTAAAAGAGAGAAGAACTTCCTCTGGGCTGTTAGGCTTGGCTCCATCTCGGAAAGAAATGGTGTACATGTTCTTTGATGTCATCCATCGAAAAATCACTCTGAAAATTGAGACATTTTTAATAAAGTTTCAAATTATTATTCTAGTTTCAGATCAAGTGATTAATTAATTAAGCTTTATAATTTGACATTAACCTAATTTTATTTAACACAATTTTTTTTTAAAAAGGGGTTAATAAAATGTTTATTTTGCATAGAGAAATATAAAACAGTGAGTAGGCATTGCTTAGCTTTAATTTGATTAAAAGATGGTTTGAAGTTTATTACAGGATGTCTGTTTTAATTATATTTGCGTAAAATGGGTTAGTTACAGTTATCCTTTGATAAAAATATTTTTTCTTTGATTGTTTCAAAAAGAAGGTCATGCTCACCTGCATTTGTCCAGGTCAGCCTGCAGGTTTTGACTGTAAACCAGGTGGTAGATCAGGTCAGTGAAGTTGTCATGTTCTGTTTGTGCCACCTATACATACCCAACATGGGAAACATGACTTGGGTGTTTAACGGACATGATTTTAAAAACTAGGTGAAAGCTAAGCAAAATTAAATGCACTTGCTTGATGCAATGTTAAGGATTTAAAAATAACAGCATCGTAAAACTAGCCTGCAAAGAGTTTATATCTGTATATAATTAATCTGAAGCAGGCAAGGTAAAGTAAAGCAAGTGAGTTTTCTTCTTAATGACATTCTCTACATTCATGTTCAAAGCACTTAGTAAACTTTTGGTCGGAAGAGTGATAAAACTTGGTAAGTGATGTATGAATAATGGGCTGACCTGAATAGCATGGTTGTCAATAAAATAAAACTGCTGGACATTGCGGTAAAGGTCAAACTTCCTGTAACGGGCGTGGACTGCTGGAGCATGGATCTGTCTGGCCCTAGAATCATCAGGCACAAAGCCTGGGGGTGCCTTGATTTGCATGGCAAACAGGAGGGTGGTGAGCTTCTGTTAATCCTGAAAGTGAAATATTTAGTTGCTTTAATTTGACATGAACATTATCTAAAGACAGTACTGCCTAAATCCCTCATATTATATGATAAGTCAAACTAAACTTTCAACAACAACAAAAAACTAGCAGTAAATTTAGCAACTTGTGATTACTTAAAAATAAATTTTAAAAAAACTTCACTTGAAAGTGTCTAGATTTTAAACTTTTAACAATTAAATGGCTGTGAGTAGTTTTAAAAAAGCATTACGAAACAGATCAAACAATAAATAGAAATGACTGTCTCAACTATGTGGCAACTACTTACAAGATAAATAAGAAACATAAGACAACATAATCCTACTTAAAACAATCAATAAGTTTAGCTTTTAAATCCCTAGGCATTTCTGAGTCAGAATTCTAAAAATGTGGATGATTCAATCAATACTAACATAAACTGTAAGTAAATTTAAAATATTGAATATAAAATCGTGATTTAATGATTATTTTCATTTTAGTTAAATAGAAGTATTTAAGAGTTGTGTAGATGGGGTAAGGGTGAAGAAATATACAGCATTAGGCTAGAGAATACTCAACAAGCCCATGAATGAAAACACAGTGCACACAGAAAGGTTAGACATATTGATAAAAGCTGACAAAGCATGTAGTAAAGGGCAACATGAGACTTGGCCAAGATCTACACTAACTTAAAGACAATAACACCATACTACAGCACAGGTTTGTGCAACCAGCCCAACTGTATGCAGCAACACATATGACACACACTTAATGGATGTGTGTACACACACTTAATGTGTACACACCCCAAATGGGGTTGAACTATACAAGGGATGTAGGGCCTGGAGGCTGAGAACAAAATGGGGAGGGGGAAGGAGGGAGAAAGTTTTACACCTGGGAAATGACATGTGTCCCATTAGTTGTGTTTTTATAACTTTTTTTTTACTTAAAACAAATGTAACCAAAAAAAAGAAAAACAAGAATGAGCAGAGCTATAGGCGGTAATGACTTTAGCTTAGTGACATACAATTAATAATCATGGAGGCAGTCAACTCAAGCAGTGCTCTATCAAATATGACATCTACACACCTCAGTCAACTAGGGTAGACAACTCTACCAAAGTCAATTACTGGCCCACTATGACATCTACACACCTCAGTCAGCTTGGGTAGACAACTCTACCAAAGTTAATTACTGGCCCACTATGACATCTACACACCTCAGTCAACTAGGGTAGACAACTCTACCGGCCTAAAGTCAATTACTGGCCCACTATGACATCTACACACCTCAGTCAACTAGGGTAGACAACTCTACTGGTCTAAAGTCAATTACTGGCCCACTATGACATCTACACACCTCAGTCAACTAGGGTAGACAACTCTAGTGGTCTACTTAAGTCAATGACTGGCCCACTATGACATCTACACACCTGAGTCAACTAGGGGTAGACAACTCTAGTGGTCTTAAGTCAATTACTGGCCCACTATGACATCTACACACCTCAATTTAATCTCTGAACTCACTACAGCATTTTATAATTGGTAGGTTGTGCTAATACTGTAAGGACAACAGGATTTTATCTCTGAACTCACTCCACCATTTTACAACCGTTTGCCATTTTCAAACCGTGACCACACCCCACTCGGTCATATGAGGTCATCTAGATGGGTTGCTGTGTTATCACTAGCGGCTGTATGATTTGCCGTGGTTTTATGCACGCATTACAGGCTTGGTGACATACTGTACTACACACATATCAATAGACAATAAATATAGGAAGGGGAAATCATTCACACAACATGACTAAACATTCAAGAATGTTTTTGTCTCGAGGGTTTTTTCCGGCCGCAAGGCACGATCTAATCGGTTTTTTTATGACGTCATTCATGTTAATCAAATCGGATTTTGTATGATGTCACTATGTCATCAGATCGAATGGGGTGGTCGGTTGTCTTATTGTTTACACACAAACACTACACGTTTGACTAAGTGAAAGTGTGATAGAAAAACCTGAGAGACGAGACGTCGGCAACTATGTCCAGCCACACAAAGAGTTGACGACGCTGATGATGGGTGGCCTTTGTTAACCGCCTAATTAGATACAGGGACTACATCGGAAATTACCGCTCAACCCACGCACCCCCATCCTCCCCCCCCCCCCCCCCCTTACGAGACCAAAACATCGGATCGATGGTGCCGAGATAAAAATAGACGACTGTGGGCAAGGTGTATAGGTTAGTGGTGGGGCTCTGGAACTGGGAACAACCCCCCCCCCCCCCCCCCAGACACACACACCCGCCCCCAAACACACGTAGGTGATGATGGATCTGCTATCCGCTATTGCCGAGTTTAGGGATGTGAGGGTGGGAGGGGTGGGCTGAAAAAAAAGCTGACTGAGGATCTCCATCTGTTAGAGTGAGCTAAATTATTATTGGACACGGTGACACTCAATCTAATGGTGAGTGACTAATCGATCATGTATACAATCACGCGGGGGAATATTGAATAATAATTACAAAAGTTATTCCATCAAGAGGTCTTGTGGTAGACGGTATAATCTGACACCACAACGTACGCTTCCAGAAGTTTTTTTTTTTAAAGGTGAAGGCCGGGAGTGAGGTTGGTGAAAGTGTTGTAAAGGTGAGAGAAACGATGCTTACACACAGAACATTGTAATGTGTTGCGAAATACGAAAAATTCCTGGGTCGGAAACACGATAGTTTGAACTGGCTGATCTTTTTTTTTTTTTTGACAGAGATTTGTAAAACAAGTGTAAAAAAGGCGAGCAGGTAGAAATAACGTGTTAAAGATGGCAAACGTCAGCTACCCAGAATGTCTGCTGAAAACTCACCAGTCTCACGACAGCAGAATTACGTAACATGACTGAGGATTGACGCAAAAATTGGCTGAAAATAGAGGTTCAGACAGATCGTCGGCGTTAACAAGTGCCAAAACTTCAAAGTTTTTTTCTTAAACAGGGGATTATTTAAGTCTGTGTACAAATACAATATCATGTTAGTTAAAACAACTTGATGCCCATTTCTTGTTTAGATAAGAAAATTCGATACAAATACATCATGTTTTTTAGTCCCTACACATATACACAGGTAGATGAATTTTGGCAACAGTTGTCTAGGCTTAAGTAATTAGCGAACTAATTTAAACGCTCTTTAGACGCTAATTGTTAGGTAAATATAAGTAGTCATTGTGTGGATAGAGCGAGAAAAAAAATCAGTACTATCAGAATTGTTTGTAAAGGGTAAAGCGACGTAGAAAACTGTTTATGAATAGAACGGGCTAGGTCTTAAAGAAAACAAAATGACCTCACGCGAGGTGGGGTGCACGACGCATGCACGTGTGTGTAACCATCTCGTGCACGCACGCCCGTGCTCAGCCCAAGAAACCAAAGGAGAAACCGATACTGTTAGTGATGATCAGCTATCCAACAATAGCCTGATGCATGTCAGCACACCCCTGTGTTCTCTTGATCCCCATCCTCGCGAGATTTGAGACAAGAAGATGTCGATCAAACAAAAACACAACGTGTTTAAAATAGCTACAGCTGGAAATAAACTATATATTTTGTTTTACTGTATGATAAAAATGTTTGTGTAAGTCTAGAAAAACTGTTTCTATGTGGTGAAAAAAAAACGCCATACAAAATGAGACCAACACAAAAATGCATCGCGGTGCCGATTTAGTTCTCACAAGTCTATGTAACATCCCACTTAACTGAGAGCCAGAGGACCTTATAAGGTAACTAACCAGCTAGCAAAACATGAATATGAACCAAATATCCGCCCGTGCTGAGAAACGTCAAGATAATTAGATTCTCCTATAAAACTTAGTTCTCCAGCCCCTCTGCTATGACCAGGTGAATATGCCAGGTAAAGACCCTGACCCCTGACCCGAGGTAGACTTGTACCCCCCCCCCCCCCCCCCCACACACACACACTGGACGTTTCTCTGCGAGTAAGCTGGCAACACAGTTAAGTCCGAACTGGCTGTGACGGCACGGGTCTAAGCTGGGGATTCCCGGTGCCACACAGACCTTGACATTGGTGAGTCAACGCTAACGTACATATAACCTGAGAGGTTATGCTGCCAGTCCTTCATACAACTTCCATCATTTCATCTGGGGTCATTGGATACAATATCTAGGACAACAAACTGATAGAGATGATCAGTTAGGTGTATATAGTTGACCTCATCTAAACATGACATATTGGGGACAACACAGTTGACATAGGCCTTCAATCAATCAAGCACACCACCAACACGGTATCACCGTGTCATACACATTCACTATGTATAATTTTTAAGCTTTCAATGGCGAAAGGGTGGAGATGGATGGCTATGCTGTCATAGTTAGATGACATGAAAGAGAGTCGCGAGTAATCATTATATGGCTAGACTCACCAATGACAGGGTTGGAGTGTGTAGGATTTAACAAGATCAGCAAACAATCGCAGTCTATTGATTCTGATTCGGGTGATTTCCCTAAGATGTATTTAGCAAGGAATGACAACACAAGCAGTTAGAAATCATAAAGCAGCACTAAAGGAGACCCAGTGAATCGATACACAAGATCGATAACACAGATGATAATAAACAAACAAGAAGTACACACGACAAACCAGTGTAACAAGAGGCTGCTGGTTCACAATGCAGTTTTGTTACAGTGAACTCTGACCTCGTCTGTACTTTACGATGCGATAAACCCACAATTTAGCCTGCACTACTCAGATGCAATGGGTGATCTGGCAAGCTTCAACTGAACATGTTTCTCACGCCTTATGCACAGATCTCATGTACACACACGTTACCGCGAACACGTCCCATACCTGTCTCAAGTTTGGGTATTTAAGACGAGCATACACCTCAAATACCGTCTGAAGTTGGGTATTTAAGACGAGCATACACCTCAAATACCTGTCTCACGTTGTTTTAAGTTTTAAGTATAGGTACACCCCAAATACCTGTCTGAAGTCAGAAATTACAACCCAAATACCTGTCTGAAGTCAGAAATTACAACCGAAATACATGACTGAAGTCAAGTATTAAAGTACGGCATACACCTCCCATACCTGTCTATTACAGTACCTGGATATTACAGTACAAAGTACACCCTCAAATACGTGTCTAAAGTCAAGTATTAAAGTTCACTGCTAGATTTCATTCATAGATATATACCTTATGCCCCCAAGCTTAGTTCAATCAATCAATAACGAATCTCACGGTTTCTTTAAGACCTATAAGCTACAAACTAAAAATACAAAGTAGTATGTTTTTATTTTTAAAAAAACGTCATTCAGGAAGGCATGTCCAAAATATCCCATCAAACAAGCGATCAAAAAAAAAGTGTATAGAGAACGGGACAAATCCGATAACACAAGACTGGATCCTTGCCACGGGCTGTAAACAAGAACAATTTTAATTACAGGAGTTGGAGCGAAAGAATGCTCGACTACCTGAGTTCAGCTACAAGACAGAGTGGGATCACTTCCAGGCTAGCACAATGACTGGGAACATAGGACAACACACTGCTGTCTTTTGCTGAGATTTATATCCAACAGTGAGTCATAGTTTTGTGGAATCGTGGATTTTAATTCTAAATGATGAGTCTAAGACATTTTGTAGACGACAGTCTATACTACAGTCAACAGTAGAAGTAAATGAGACGAAATATTCTATGTCCAGAACAGTGAGCCGCTGTGTGTTAAAAAGAAACCTTTTCAAGCTAAATTTTACTTCATAACTTATTTTTTCAAATGATGACAAACAGCATTGTGGTGTACGACCGGGTGTAGTATTTCTACACCAGCAGTACCCACACACAAAAATATGACATTTAACATTAGCCAAACAACTACATGATTTATAAACAAGAAAAATAAAAATAAAGCACCCATTACACTTAAACTGCTAACGTATATAAAAGCAATAAACCAAAACCACTTTTTTTTCAACCGAAAGCGATATTTTTATCGTATACAATCATCTAAATATCAGAACACGGGGTGAAAAGTTATTTTAGGAAAGCTTGGGGGAACATTATCTCCCATCACCATGCTCTAGAGGCGCGTGGAAAAAAGCGCGTGACTCAGACCACCTTTCAGGATAAACACTACCTGAGTAAGCACACGGGCATCTTGGTACCGGGGACCAACACGGTGGGGGAGTCTGGAACATTCCAAAAAAAACAAAAACAATCCCCCATTTGAAATGTTAAAATATTGACGAGTCTTCGGTTTTCCTCTAAAGGCATTCACATCATCGTTCTGCCTATTTTAAAAAGCTATTAATATCCCTGTCAAGACAAGCCATTACAAGCAACGAAAACACGCAAACATTCTACCTACACCACCCCCCCCCCCTCTCCACGCCCATGAAACTAGTCTTACACACACGGATATAGGCACACACACACTATATATATATATATATATATATATATATATATATATATATATATATATATATATATATATATATATATATATATATATATATATATATATATATATATATATATCGAAAGCCTATTTAACTCTGTGTTTAAACTTCTTGTAAAAACATTACAATGTCTGCTTGCGGTGCACAAAGAAGTGTGCACAAAATTTCACTGTGACGCAGGTAGATGCTTGGAACAGAAAACATCACGAAAGGACGTGTAGATAGCATTCCAAGTCAATTTCACAGGTGTTAAGTCACATTAAGACTAGCAGTATAAATCCCGGTAGCAATAGCCTTACAATTACGTGTTGACAATGTAGCCCGCCATACCCTCCCCTACCCCCCAACGCCTACAACCCAAAAAACTTGTTTTCACCTAGACTAGGGCACCGCGTCTAAATTTGAACCTAGGCTTGGATTCACCCGTTACTTCATGGAGAGTTGAACAAAAGTCGTAACGCAGCCCCCGTCCAAGAATTTTGCGGTGATAGCAGTACGCACTGCTGTTAAAAATAAAACACGTACTACTCTAGACTACCGGCAAGGGATTATAATGTAATCATGGTGAGGGCGGGGGGAAGTGGGAGCGGTCGGGGCAAGTTGTCAAGTTTTACATGACAAAAACAAGACGCCGGCTATAAGGAGCCTACACTCAGTTGAGCTGAAGTAGTATAATCACTGTGTAGATTTGCCTTTTTGTGCAAGAAAATTCAAATCTGAAGGGGAGAATACCGTATCTCAATTTGTTGAAGTGGTCTCCCTTTTTTCACAACTAAGATTAACCTGTCTTGTAATAATAAACCAAATAATAGTTGAATAGTAATTAATCTTAGATATAAAAACTTAGTTTTAAAAATTAGGAAAATTATGGTAATATTATACATATGCCCTTATTATCAATAATCAAGAATATAAATTAATATTAGGGGTTGATTTAACATTATAAGTAGGCCTAGTGGATACATTGTGTGCAGAACAGAACTACTAGTACAGTTCTGTACCTTGAAAAGATAGGCACAAGCCCAGGTGTGTAGACAGATCAAGAATGGGAAAGGTAAGAAAAAAAAAATTGGAGGCAAGGTGTGGAGGGGAGGTCAGTGTGATAAGATTTCTTGAGGGCAGATAAACAAAAAATGTTCAGGAGGAAAGGCTGGGTTGTTTAGTGATGAAAGCCAAAAAAATTTTTTTTAATGAACTTTCAGAAATAGTTTAGAAAAACTTGACCTCTTGGCAATGATCAATTTTATAATTAAAAAAACCTGTAGCCCCTAAGGTTTTTTAAATATAGAATTTAGAAAAAAAAAACATTTTAAGAAGTGTATAACTGCTTAGCTCAGCATTTTTAACTTCACCATAAGTATGGAGATTAGCTAAATATGTATTCTAATAATTAAATTTCATACTTGTATCAAGTAACTAAACATACTTTTAAAATATGAAGAGCTGCATTTCTGATCTTATTGCAGTTTTTTTTCACCATATATTTATAATAATTTATAGATAGGCTGGTATTTTAGGCCTATTGAAGTGCATTACTTAGGCCTATTTATTTACTTTTATAATAAATTATTCCACCTCTCTACAAGGTGTATTTCTCAATAAAATAATCCTTAACTATCATGGCACTACATTTAGGCACAAAGTGTTTTTAATAATAATAAACAGGTTTCCAGCACTTTTAGCCTACCTACTATACTGATGAATGCTGAACTCATATAAATAGCATATCTATAAAAAGCAGTGATACTAACATTGGGCAAATCCCTATGGTTGTTTATATTTTGATGGCAATAATGACTTGGCCAACAAATGAATACTAAAAATTGAGTCAAACACTAATACTAGTATACTATTGATTATATAATTATGCAAAATAAATTTAAGACCTAAAAATTCTAAATAATAGGCCTAAATATTAGCCTCATACTTTTAAGGATGTTTAAAAAGACAAAACAGAAATGCTTTTAAGTTTATATTCAGGCTTGTTGCCTTAAATTAATAAGGAACATTCTATGGTGATTTAGACATGTGAGGCAAATAGGTTGTAGTAAATCAAAATATATAGGCAAAAGCCCTAAATTAAAGCCCAAGGCAAGACAGTGAAGTGGGACTAAGTCTCTTAATTTGCCTTATTCTATGATAAAGCTCCAGTAAATATAGAATATATAGCCTATAAGAATAACTCATGCCGGCTACTAATAGGCCTAGGCCTAATTAATAATTATTAAATAATTAACTTGAGAGCCTTTTTATAGTAAACTACTTTATAGTAGGGCCTAGTCAATTAGACCCTAGTCTACACTTTCATTTTAAAAAATCAACGTAAAATTAACTAGCCTAGGCTAATTAAAAACTAATTATTAAGCCTATTATTTTAATAAATTAATATTTTATTTAGGCCCCTAGAAGGCCCTAGAATCCTAGATTTGGCCAAAAACAAACAAGACATGATTTTGTCTGCGCTGGCTACTCATAGATTCTATCTCATACGACACAAGGGTAATACTCTAATTTTAACGAAACAACTTTCTGTTTCAGGTAAAATATATTGCAACGAAAATTTCAAAAATAAACAGAAGCAGGAACAACATGATAACAACAAAATTGTGTATAAAATGTCAATACAAAAAAGTGCTAGACTCTAGCTAAACGAATACGGAAGTGCCGGGTGGGCTAAAAACAACCAAATACAAGAAAACCTACAACAAAAACATCAGCACATATTTATGTTTGCTTCTCAACCAGGCAATACAATTGCAGACTAGCAGACTACTATTTAAAGAAATTAACGTGACAATAAACGTTGAGCTAGCAAAATGCCCTTACCTTAGCAGAAGCTGGTAGGTGTTGTGATGAAAGTGAAAGTTTCCTGATTGGTATCAGTTATTGTGTAGCGACGCTGCCGGCGAAAAAGAGGAAGAATAGTCGTATGCGCAGACAAGATGCGCCGATCCCTTCCGTACAACACAGGAGTGTTTGGATCGCGAGTGGGATCCAGGAAATAAGGGACGCAATCCGAGGAAAAACAAATTTCAATTACAATCAACCCAGTAGTTCCTCTTTTATTTTGCTGCTTAAACACCAGAGTTTTTTCCAGGCATCTCTTGGGGGGTGGGGGGGGGGGGGGGCGAAGAAAGTCTACCGCCCCCCCCCCCGAACGAGATGGATTTTATATAGTAAACATACACTTTTACTAGTGTCCGCCCCCCCCCCGTAGACTTTCTTCGGGGGGCTCGTTTTGCCACCCCCCCTCCCGAAGAGATGCCTGAAAGAAACTCTGCCTAGCTACGCCACTGTTCACCACAAATTAAGCATTATGTCTTAAGTAGAAGTTAAACAAAAATTCTTCTAAAGAAAGTGTAGAAGGCCTAACGAAATGCCATCGATGTCTGAGGAAGGTTGTATTGTATTTGTGTTACAAAATGATCATGCAAAAGTATGTCGTAAGGTGCGCAAATCACGCACCATGTAGCACAACCAAATAAATAGATTATTGAACTATTCGTTCCGTGATTGAAAATATTTTTGTTTCAATCAAAGAGTGAACTAATTCTATTGTTCTTATTTGTAGTAGTCTAATACAAAGTTCTAGCGTGTAAGTATTTTATGTATGTAGAATATTCTAGGCCTTATTAGGCAATTCAAATGTTGTCTAAGCCTAGTTGTTAGGTATATAAGAATGTGTCACTAAAGTTTAATAAAGTATAAGATTTGCCATATCACACAAACAAACGAAACAAACCAATGAACATTGTGAACTGAATAAAAACATAATAATATGTAGAGATTACCGTCAAGCTGGCACTGATCTGAATAAAAACTGTATAGACCTAGAATCTAGACCTAGATTCGAGCGAGTTATTAGGATCACTTTAAGAAGTGTACAGATTCCCATGAAGCTGATAGTGATCCCTCAAAAACATGCGATGATAAGCATTCTTATTAGTATCTGTCAAATGCTTGCCCCCCCCTCTACCCCTTATGAATAGAGAAAATAAATTAAAATTATATATATATATATATATATATATATATATATATATATATATATATATATATATATATATATATATATATATATATATACTTTAACCATTGCTCCTCCCCCCCCCTGGAAGTTACAAGTGCTACCCCACCCCTCTCCACTCCCTGGAGAGAAATGTTTGAAAGAAACGATGAAGCTGATACTGACCAAGACATCCAAAACCCAGTCCATGAAGCAGAATTAATCCAAATTGTTTATCGTAATCGATAAATCGATTTTAATTGCTATTATCAATGCCGTCATTTTAGGAAAACATACAATAAGGGGGTGGGTGAGGGGGAAGATAAAAACTACATTGCAAGAATAAAATACCACAACCTGAAATAGGAAAAAAAGGAAACAACTCTCAATTCAAAAATTGTAATTTATACAAGTTTTTATTTAGTTCGTAACGTCTGTTTGTTTGTTTGCTTGCTTGTTTGTGGGTTTGTGGCAAATCTTGTAACTCAATTTCGACTCACTTCTAATGCAGCTATTTTGTTCGAACTTACCAGATACGTTCCACTTCGATGACAATACAACTCTATCTATTTTTTTAATTTAGTTAGATGTGGTTAATTAGTTATTAAAAATTGATAAAATGGTTTCAAAACTAAGGGGAGATAACAAAATTAAATCGCTCGATAGATTACTATATTCAAAACAGAAGGGGAGCTAACTAGCTAGTAGACGCGATTACCCTAACAGTCCGGTAAGCTGTGGTTCACGAGAATATTTACAATAGTAGAGCCGGTCGATATGTAAAGGAAATTAGGGGGAAGATAATAAAGCTGTAAACGATTTGAAACTAAAGGGAGGTAACAAGATTAAGAACTTGCTGTCGTCTGTAAAATATGGTCACTTGCGGTTGCTTTCACGGGGCAGATAATCGTCTTTCAGATATCGAGAGCTATTGGTGGGTTTTTTTTAGAGGAAATAGTTTTAGTCGTTTGGACTTCATAAATTAGGAATCGCTAAAAAGTAGAAAATAAAATAAATATTTAAAAAGCCTTTATAGCAACAAACTTTTAAATGGAATCAAAATGTGAAAATAAAACTAATTTGTTTTGGTCGCTCATGAGATCTTTAACATAATTTAGGGGCGTCGTCCATAAATGACGTCACACTCGTAGGGGGGAGGGGGGAGGGGGAGGGGAGGTCGGTAATTTTGTGACGATGTGTGATGAGGGGGAGGGGGGGGGGGATTCAGATGGTGCGACATCACACGTTTGCTTTATAGATAAGAAATGTTAGAAAACGAATTTTAGACGTTATTTAGCGTTTTAGAAAACAGTTTTAATAAATTATAATAGGAATTGATTAAAATACTCTATTTTGACATATATCAGACAAGATTTTGGAAAAATATCGATGTTTAAAAAAAAGATTCAATTGCAATTTTGAGGGGGGTTGTAGGCTGAGGTGTGACGTCATTTTAGGGGGGGGTCTTGCTTTTTGTGACGACGTGTGACGAAGGAGAGGGGGCAGAGTTTCTTCCAGGCATCTCTTCGGGGTCTTCGCCCCCCCCCCCCCCCGAAAAAATTCTACCGCCCCCTCCCCCCCCCCCCCCCCCAAACGAAATGAAATTTATATAATTTATATAGAAAATATATACTTTTGACAGTGTCCCCTCCCCCGAAGAAAGTCTACCGCCCCCCCCCCCCAGAGAAAAAAGTCTGGAAGAAACACTGGGAGGGGGAGGTAAAATTCGTCAAAAAAAGCGTGACGTCATTAATGGATGACCCCTAGCGACAAAATCTTGTATTAAAGAAAATAAATTAGTTTTATTTTCTTTATTTTCAGTCCATTTAAAAGTTTGTTAATATAAAGGTTTTTATATTTGTTTTATTTTTAAAATAATATTTCTCTAGAGACCGCTGAAGACTTTTTACAATCCAAGGGAGAGAAAAGTTGACCATGCTCAATATTTTAAGAAATAAGCTAAAGGTAAATAATTCTGACCATGCTCAATATTTTAAGAAATAGGCTAAAGGTAAGTAATTCTGACCATGCTCAATATTTTAAGAGATAGTCTAAAGGTAAATTGTAATTCTAATCTACTTCAGAAGCTGCTGCCTTGAACAACTGAATCAAGGATGGTAGTGGGGGCTGGTTTTTCAAGTTTTTTTAGTTTTAAACCCGGAATGAAATCAGTCACTAAACGGAATCTTGTTGTAGGTTTACAGAAAGATCTGATATGTAGATAAGAGAATGATTATTAGTTATTGGAATAATGTTTGTGAATGGTATAATGTTCGTGACAGTGGCGTAGCCAGGATCGTCTCAAGGGGGGGTCCAATTTTTACCTGGGGACAAACTTTCGATTTGCACCCCCCCCCCTCAAACTTTTGATTTGCACACCCCCTCATACTTTTTATATATATACCGAGGGGTCTATGGGGGAGGGGGGTTATGACCCCCACTAACCGCCCCCTGCCTACGCCACTGGTTTGTGAATGGTAAAATGTTTGTAAATATTATAATGCTTGTGTTTGTTTAAAAAACAAAGCCTACTAGGTACAGTACTGAACCATCTAGGTAACCCAATAGCGTCACATGGGGGGGGGGGGGTCAACATCGAGCATTGTGTGGGTGACACCCGATTGAAAATAATGTTATATCAAGTTTAAAAAATAAAATAGTAAGGGAGTTGGGTAATAGTTATCCGAATCAGTAAAATTTAGAATTATGTATAAATAACATGTCAACCTACATGTTGTGTGTTGGGTGTTGAATACGTACCTGGCCTTACTGGCGCGGCTTTTGATGTTGGCCCGATTTGATTAGTTACATACTAGAAGGCTCTTTTATCAAGAGACAAAACTACTTACACCATACACCCACCCCATTACCAGACCCCTGACTCCCCTGAATTACACTATACACCCATCCACCCACCCACCCACCCACCCCACCCTACCATACCCCCGACTTAACCATACACCATACCCCTACCTCCCTTCCCCACAATACCCCTTACTGACCTGACACCTTACACCTACCCCTTCACCAAAACCTTCGATCCTACCACCATACACCATAAACACCCACTTATTATATGATCTAAAGAAATGTTAACCATGTTAAAGGCATTTTAACATTAAATTAATTTTAAAACAGGTCATGGTATTGTTGGTCGTATTTTCTGTGAACGTATCCCCTCAACCCATCACCAACAATGTCTGCACACTCGCCAAATCTTCGTTGAATTTCGAAGATCTACAAAGTGAGTATAGGAGTTTAACCGGCGGAGTCAATCACACCAACCTCCCCGACCCTAACCATAACAACACCCTTCACCAAAGCTCACTGTGTGGTCAAACAGTGGAGGACCAGTCGGAGAAGATAATCACGGGTCAAGAGACGCCAGCGAGTGCTTGGCCTTGGTTTGTCTATCTCAAAACATACCTTCCTTCTGGCATCCATCTGATATGTGGTGGTTCGATTTTAACCGAGTTGTGGATTTTAACAGCTGCGCACTGCGCTATAGAACTAGATTCTGTAGTAATAGTTTATTTTGGCATGCATGATATACGTCAAAAACAAACAGTGAAACACATCACGTCAAGAAAATTTCTATCAAAAGCATATCGTCTACCTAATGGGTTGTTAGAAAACGATATTATGCTTATTAAGCTTGATTCGCCTATAACTTTTACTGAATCTATACGACCGATCTGTTTGCCTACTAAGGACATGACCAACTCTACAAATTGTTTCTCGATTGGGTTTGGAAGGACTAGGGAGAAAGGACCTGGTTCTACCAAACTGCTGCAGATCAAATCGAACCCAATGAATCAAAAATTGTGCATGTTTTTACTCCGATACACGATGATGAGTAGTGTTGACACCTTGATTTGTGGGGATGATGAGCATGGTCAGGGTGTGTGTATGGGGGACTCAGGGGGCCCGCTTAGCTGCAAGGAGGATGGAAGATACTACATCGTTGGTGTCATTTCAGCAGGATTCGATTGCGGTATGAAAGAGTTACCTAACATTATGGTTTCGGTGTATGCTTGGCTTGATTGGATTAAAACTACGATTAAAGCTAATTAGTAAAGTCTATAGGGCTGGTAAGTAGGTCAACAAACAGTTCTACGGCTCAATAAAACCTGCATGAGCCATATAGCTGTTTATTGATCTACTTACCAGCCCTATAACTATAAAAAAAAATGTGTCTGTCTTCTTGTTTTATTTTTTTATATAAATGTTGCGTGTATGTGTGTGAAATCCGATTTAAAAAAAAAAAAAACAATGAATGAGAATTGTTAGTTTAAAAATAATAAAATGTATCCAAAGTAACTTAGTTGATATTAGGAGTCATCCCATTTTTTCAACTGACCTAACTAAATATTGAGAGAGTTCTTTAGCTTGAGTGTGATTTATATTTTTTATACCGGTATTAGGAACTAATTTTAGAACTTAGACATGATCTTATAATTTACCTGTTCACTATAAGCTTGCAATAATGCAGTTTTTCTCACGCGGGCATTGAGAATAGTAACATCTGATCGTTTTTTACCCAATCTAATAAAAAAAAATTAAATACTAAAGAACACCTGATTTAGTTTATCATATTTAATCAATATTTAAAATCATAATTTTAAAAAAACCTCAACCACAACTGAAAAAATAGGAAACAAAGAGATATTTCTTTAAAATTAATTGTTTCTGTCCAGGTTCAGGCAAAATACTGGTATGAAATACAAAATAGTCTCAGTGAAAAGACGCACTAAAGGTTATGTTTTCTATATGAGACAGCCTACAGCAGTAACAAACAAAAATACTGTCAGGCAAAATACTGGTATGAAATACAAAATAGTCTCAGTAAAAAGACGCACTAAAGGTTATGTTTTCTATATGAGACAGTCTACAGCAGTAACAAACAAAAATATTCGTTAACATCAAAACAAACAAAATATTGCCATCATATACCTTTGTTGTTTATATTAATTTTATGTGTTTGGGCAAGTATTTTTTTACTAGTTCAAGTTTTAATCAAACTTCAATCTATAGAATGACTGGCTCAAGTTTTAAAAACTTAAAAATTAAAGGTATGGTATTGATTGGCTAATGACTGGCTCAAGTTTAAAATAACACATCAATGTATAAATTGGCTGGTTTAAATTTTAAATCAAACATCAATGTATTGATTGGCTGGTTTAAATTTTAAATCAAACATCGATGTATTGATTGGCTGGCTTAAATCAGGCATCAATGGAGAGAAACACCGGAGACGATCTTCTCCTGGACATTTCGGATGTAGTTCCTGGATGATGGGAGGATGAGAAAATGCAATGATTGGATTAAGGAAATATTAAACAGCTAGCAGAGATTATCTAAGTGTGTGTGTGTGCGCGTGCATCGTGCGTATAAGTGCTTGAGTGTGCATGTGTGTGTACGGGTGTAGGCGTGTGTGTATGGGCGGGTGTGTGTGTGCGTGTTTGTGAGTGTGCGTGCATGCGCAAGTGTGTGTGTGTGTATTTTAACAGCCACTACCTGACACTCCAGGTAAAGATAGCGAGGGCAGCCCCGTGAAAGATGATGAATGCTAAAGCCCCGCGCCTGAATGATATCATACGATCTGAAAAAAATTAGAAACGTTTTTTTTTTTAAACTAGCCTAAACTGTCTCAACTGTTACAGCTCTGTCCACGTGCGGCTAGATTTTTTTGGTACAATAATTGGCCTTTTTTTTTTAAACTAATGACTGAAAACTCAAGAATCTTACATGACTTACTAGTCTCAGTCTAGACATGACTTACTGGTCTCACTGTCTGGACATGACTTACTGGTCTCACTGTCTGGACATGACTTACTGGTCTCACTGGACATGACTTACTGGTCTCACTGGACATGCCTTACTGGTCTCACTGTCTGGACATGACTTACTGGTCTCACTGGACATGACTTACTGGTCTCACGGTCTGGACATGACTTACTGGTCTCACTGTACATGACTTACTGGTCTCACTGTCTGGACATGACTTACTGGTCTCACTGTCTGGACATGACTTACTAGTCTCATTGTCTAGACATGATTTACTGGTCTCACTGTCTGGACATGACTTACTGGTCTTACTGGACATGACTTACTGGTCTCACTGGACATGACTTACTGGTCTCACTGTCTGGACATGACTTACTGGTCTCACTGTCTGGACATGACTTACTGGACTCACTGTCTGGACATGACTTACTGGTCTCACTGTCTGGACATGACTTACTGGTCTCACTGGACATGACTTACTGGTCTCACTGGACATGCCTTACTGGTCTCACTGTCTGGACATGACTTACTGGTCTCACTGGACATGACTTACTGGTCTCACGGTCTGGACATGACTTACTGGTCTCACTGTACATGACTTACTGGTCTCACTGTCTGGACATGACTTACTGGTCTCACTGTCTGGACATGACTTACTAGTCTCATTGTCTAGACATGATTTACTGGTCTCACTGTCTGGACATGACTTACTGGTCTTACTGGACATGACTTACTGGTCTCACTGGACATGACTTACTGGTCTCACTGTCTGGACATGACTTACTGGTCTCACTGTCTGGACATGACTTACTGGACTCACTGTCTGGACATGACTTACTGGTCTCACTGTCTGGACATGACTTACTGGTCTCACTGTCTGGACATGACTTACTGGTCTCACTGGACATGACTTACTGGTCTCACTGGACATGCCTTACTGGTCTCACGGTCTGGACATGACTTACTGGTCTCACTGTCTGGACATGACTTACTAGTCTCACTGGACATGACTTACTGGTCTCACTGGACATGACTTACTGGTCTCACGGTCTGGACATGACTTACTGGTCTCACTGTACATGACTTACTGGTCTCACTGTACATGACTTACTGGTCTCACTGTCTGGACATGACTTACTGGTCTCACTGTCTGGACATGACTTACTGGTCTCACTGTCTGGACATGACTTACTGGTCTTACTGGACATGACTTACTGGTCTCACTGGACATGACTTACTGGTCTCACTGTCTGGACATGACTTACTGGTCTCACTGTCTGGACATGACTTACTGGACTCACTGTCTGGACATGACTTACTGGTCTCACTGTCTGGACATGATTTACTGGTCTCACTGTCTGGACATGACTTACTGGTCTCACTGTCTGGACATGACTTACTGGACTCACTGTCTGGACATGACTTACTGGTCTCACTGGACATGACTTACTGGTCTCACTGTCTGGACATTACTTACTGGACTCACTGTCTGGACATGACTTACTGGTCTCACTGTCTTGACATGACTTACTGGTCTCACTGTCTGGACATGACTTACTGGTCTTACTGTCTGGACATGACTTACTGGTCTCACTGTCTGGACATGAATTACTGGACTCACTGTCTGGACATGACTTACTGGTCTCACTGTCTGGACATTACTTACTGGTCTCACTGTCTGGACATGACTTACTGGTCTCACTGGACATGACTTACTGGTCTCACAGGACATGACTTACTGGTCTCACGGTCTGGACATGACTTACTGGTCTCACTGTCTGGACATGACTTAATGGTCTCACTGTCTGGACATGACTTACTGGTCTCACTTGACATGACTTACTGGTCTCACTGGACATGACTTACTGGTCTCACTGGACATGACTTACTGGTCTCACTGTCTGGATATGACTTACTGGTCTCACTGTCACAACATGACTTACTGGTCTCACTGTCTGGACATGACTTACTGGTCTCACTGTCTGGACATGACTTACTGCTCACTGTCTGGACATGACTTACTGGTCTCACTGTCTGGACATGACTTACTGGTCTCACTGTCACAACATGACTTACTGGTCTCACTGTCTGGACATGACTTACTGGTCTCACTGGACATGTCTTACTGGTCTCACTGTCTAGACATGACATTCTGGTCTCACTGTCTTGACATGACTTACTGGTCTCACTGTCTGGACATGACTTACTGGTCTCACTGTCTTGATATGACTTACTGGTCTCACTGTCTGGACATGACTTACTGGTCTCACTGTCTGGACATGACTTACTGGTCTCACTGTCTGGACATGACTTACTGGTCTCACTGTCTGGACATGACTTACTGGTCTCACTGGACATGACTTACTGGTCTCACTGTCTGGACATGACTTACTGGTCTCACTGTCTTGACATGACTTACTGGTCTCACTGTCTGGACATGACTTACTGGTCTCACTGTCTGGACATGACTTACTGGTCTCACTGTCTGGACATGACTTACTGGTCTCACTGTCTGGACATGACTTACTGGTCTCACTGGACATGACTTACTGGTCTCACGGTCTGGACATGACTTACTGGTCTCACTGTACATGACTTACTGGTCTCACTGTCTTGACATGACTTACTGGTCTCACTGTCTTGACATGACTTACTGGTCTCACTGTCTGGACATGACTTACTGGTCTCACTGTCTGGACATGACTTACTGGTCTCACTGTCTGGACATGACTTACTGGTCTCACTGTCTGGACATGACTTACTGGTCTCACTGTCTGGACATGACTTACTGGTCTCACTGTCTGGACATGACTTACTGGTCAGTGTCTGGACATGACTTACTGGTCTCACTGGACATGACTTACTGGTCTCACTGGACATGACTTACTGGTCTCACTGTCTGGACATGACTTACTGGTCTCACTGGACATGACTTACTGGTCTCACTGGACATGACTTACTGGTCTCACTGTCTGGACATGACTTACTGGTCTCACTGGACATGACTTACTGGTCTCACTGGACATGACTTACTGGTCTCACTGGTTATGACTTATTGGTCTCACTGTCTGGACATGACTTACTGGTCTCACTGTCTGGACATGACTTACTGGTCTCACTGTCTGGACATGACTTACTGGTCTCACTGTCTGGACATGACTTACTGGTCTCACTGTCTGGACATGACTTACTGGTCTCACTGTCTGGACATGACTTACTGGTCTCACTGTCTGGAAAAACCAAGTAGCAGCCGGTCAGGGTGTCCGTGTCCAGCTCGGGGGTGGGGGTGACGACGGGGCAGGGTGTGCAGCTTACAGCCCCGGGGTGGAGCGTGTAGCTGTCATCACACCGTACGCAGGAATGTTTGAACTTGTCGAAGTACATCCCCTTCTCACACATCCCTGAACACAAAATGACACGGTCAAGGTGTAAATATACACACAAATAAATCAACATGAATCATTAATCAAAATAGACAGAAAATGTATTGCAGACAGTCGAAACAGATACTGAAACATACACATAAATTACAGCTGACACACCCAGAACTCAGACCAAAGCCACATTAAATATAAAACATTCAGAGGAACTGATATTCAAACTGAATCGCCTTTTAAAAAAAAAAAATCACAGTATTTGTCGGGGGAGGGCGATGCTTCCATCCTCGCTCCCCAGCCCCGAGTATAGGCCTATGCCTGCAAGAAGTCGTATTTGTATAGAGCAGGGGTCTCCAAACTACGGCCCGCGGGCCCGATGCGGCCCGCGAGGTCATTTCATCCGGCCCGCGAAGATCTTTTTGTCCACTGAATAAATGTTGTTAGAGGTGGCTGAGGAACTTTGCACAGAAAATTCAAAACAATTTGAAAATGTAGCTTTGGGTGCAAATACCATTGCCCGCCGTGTTGCAGACATTGGTGAAAACATCGTGACTCAAATACAGAAAAATGCAAGCAAGCTTCGCCATTTTTCAATTGCAATGGATGAGTCGCTGGACAGTTATTCCACCTCAACTTCTTGTGTTCATTAGAGGTGTGGATGAAGAGATGAACATAACACAAGAGCTGGCTTCCCTAAATAGAATGTATGGCACTGTTACCCGAAGAGGATATCTAACCAAATTAAACATACATAGTTCAGACAAACACAAAATTGCAAGATTTAACATATTTCACATCATTAAGATGTCTAATTTTGCGAGAGAGTTCTGAGCAGAGTATTTAAGTTAAGAAAGGAAATAGGTGACTTCCTGGAAAGTAAAGGCAAGCTACAGCCATTATTGTATGATGCAGAGTGGTTTAGAAATTGGCCTCTGCTGCAAACATAACTAGTCATTTAAATGTTCTGAACATAAAACTACAAGAGAGGGAAATCTAGTTACTGATCTATACACCCACCTAAAGACTTTCTGATACAAACTTGTCATGTTTTTGGAACAGGTAAAGTCTAACAACTTGACACACTTTCAGGAGTAAAAGGTCTTTACGGCTGAAGCAACCACTGAGTTCCCCACGTCATTTACATACGAGATCATTAAAGACCTCCAGCTGCAGTTTCAGTAGCAGTTTTCTGACTTGGATTCAAAGAAAGAATAAGTGAGACTGTTTCAAAGCCGATTTGAAGCAAATGTGGCCAGTTGCAAAGATGAACTGCAGCTGGAGGTCATTGAATTGCAAGAAAATGACTTCCTTAGAGACACGTTCAAGGAAGGGTGGATGGGTTTTCATATGTTTTCGCACAAGGAAGACATTCCTAATATTAAAACTTCTGCATCAAAGTACCTTTCAATTTTTGGAACAACATACCTTTGTGAATAAGCATTTTCAAACGTGAAATACGTGAAAAATAATTTGAGAGCAAACTTGGACCTCGAGGGGGTGTGGGGGTGTGGACACTTGACATTTGTATATATTTCTATATAAATTATATTTCGTTTGGGGGGGGGGGGGGTAGACGTTCATCGGTGGGGGGGGGGGGGGGGCACCCCGAAGAGATGCCTCAAAGAAACTCTGGCCCCCGAACTGATATTTGATAGTTAATGCGGCCCTTGGGCTGAAAAGTTTGGAGACCCCTGGTATAGAGAAGAGAAAGAGAAGCTTACTGCAAATGGGTAGTTGATCCGTGAAGTGATTTTCCTCGACCTCGACCCCACTGCCCTCTGGGCATTTTCCCACTCTAAACGGTTGATCTTCTCCGAATGTGTAGGTCATATTCGCTGAAACGGTGTTCACACACATACATATTATATATATATATATATATATATATATATATATATATATATATATATATATATATTCCAAAATATGAGTGCAGGTATTACTTACAGTCCGTTTTGCTGATGAAACGTGTAATCATTTGCGTGATATGCTCTCGCAAAAAAGCCTGTGCCATGCTTAGGGTTGTGCGAGGGAAATCAGGTGACTTGAGATGGTGGTTCATGCGGAATATGAACGATGTTCTGATCTGATGAGGGTCGCGTTCACCATCAGCATCAGATGAAAGGAAAAAAATCACAAGAGAAAAAACGTTTTGAATAGTGTTGTTGACATTAAGGGGACTCGGTCTTTTGTGACAAAAACAAGAATAGTACATCGTGTTGAGCCTGGTCACTAGACACAATACGCAGAGGCGTAGCGAGCGGGGGTGGTACATATGTCCCCAAGCGCCGACCCTAGGGGCGCCAAAGTTGGGGAAAAAAAAATTAAAAGCTCATTTTAGCTGCAGTTTTGCATTATAAATATTTAAAAAATGGGGGGGGGGGGGCGCCAAATTGAAAGTTTGTCCCCGGGCGCCGGGAAGGGTCGCTACGCCTCTGACAATTCGTGTACATATTATTTTATATAACCCAAAGGGTTTGAGTATTGGCTTTAGCTTTTAGTTATATTACGTTATGTAAGCTTACTGTAGGGTAAGGATTGCAACAAAAAAAAATGGCTTCATCAGCACACCACTTACTTTCGAAAACGCGCCGTTCTTGTCGAACGTTGCCTGGCAACCGACGACGGGCGAACTCTCGTCCAACAAGAAGACCATATCACCCACAGAGATCGAGGTCGACGTCCTGTAGCCCGTCAGCGTCTCGTCACACGCCGCCATTGTGTCGGTCTCTATGGCAACCTCCAGAACCAGGTATATAACTAAAGGCAGCAAGATCTCTAGAATACAAGTGTATGGTTCTTGTGTTAGGAACATTAATGGCCGCCTTCTGAACCAGGTATATAACTAAAGGCAGCAAGATCTCTAGAATACAAGTGTATGGTTATTGTGTTAGGAACATTAATGGCCGCCTTCTGAACCAGGTATATAACTAAAGGCAGCAAGATCTCTAGAATACAAGTGTATGGTTATTGTGTTAGAAACATTAATGCCCACCTCTAGAACCAGGTAAATTACTAAAGGCAGCAAGATCTCTAAAATACAAGTGTTCTTGTGTTAGAAACATTAATGCCCACCTCTAGAACCAGGTAAATTACTAAAGGCAGCAAGATCTCTAGAATACAAGTGTATCTATCTATATATAATTCTCTTCTTGGAGACGTTAGAAAACAAGCTGTAAGCGCGCCTTGCAGTCCCCTCTCTTCCTCTCTAGGAAGTCTGGTGAGCTGTGGTTCACGCTAAATGTTTACAATCGTAGAGCTGGGTTTAGTGACGGCTATTAGGGGCAGATAATTTAGTTTGAAACGATTTTAAACTTAGGGGAGGTAGCTAAGAGGAGGCTGCTTTCACGGATGGGGGGGGGGGGGGGGTTGGGGAAAGGAGGGGGTGGGGGGTTATCGTCCTTAACGACTTACTGATAGTGTTTTAAAGCAAATATTTTCAGTGACAGCAGTGGTACTGTCGAATTCACAAATTATGAATTACTGAAAAGTAGAAAATAAAACAACTAAATAGCGGCATATGATTAGCGGCGTATGATACGCCGCGGGTCGGCTCGTATAACTAAAGAAAGCAAAATCTCTATAATACAAGTGTATGGTCCTTGTGTTAGGAACATTTCTAAATTCATACGGTAAGCTACGTTATTCTTAAACCAGAAGGCAACGAAGCAACTATAATTTAAATGTGTATAGATCTATTGATATTCGTATATCATTATGTTCTAAATATGAGGCCTGTAAATTCGCCAGTTTAACCCCAAGCATAGTTCCCAACCGACGCCTAGCAGTTTCTTCCAGGCATTCTCTCCGAAGAAAGTCTACGCCATTCCCCCCCCCCCCCCCTCAACATACACACACACACTAACGCAATGCAATTTATTTAGAAAATATATACTTTTAACATTGTCCCCCCCCCCTTCCCCCGGAAATTTTAGTCCGCCCCCCCCCCCCCCCCCCCCCCCGAAAATTTCCAGTGCATTTAATAATTCAACAGCGTCAAATAACGCGGGTAGTTTTTTTTTTTTTAATCTGGATGTTGCCAGTAAGTAGCCATTTGTATTTATATTGCACCAAACTGTTTCGACTGGTTGGATAATGCGAATGGGCGGAACTAGCTAACACATACAATCTGCAGACTACCTAATAGGCTATCAGTTGTCACTAGTTCAGGTTACATTCGGAATTAATTAATTATATTGATAGTAAACCAAATGAATAAATAAAACTATTAACTTTTGTGTTTAAAAATATAATTTTCGCACTTGTGTCATTCTCTTGTCTTACTAATGTAAAGCAGTGCTTGGTAAAGGAAAAACGAGACTAACTAAACGTGAATCGGCTGAAGTAGAGTTCACTCACTAACACACGACTTTGGGATGTAGCTGCCATTGTAGGGGTAAAGTGGGCGGCTCCGGAAGACTTCTGTGGTGTTGCAGGTCCATGCACTTTGACTTCCAAACGGACGGGTCATTCCGGGCATGCATTCCTGGGAGTGGCACCAACTCATGGTTATAAAAGAGACGGCTAAACGAAACAAGACTTTTAACAAATGTGTTGAAGATGGTTAAACTTATCGAAATAGTTTAGCAAATGCAGACATAGTTGATTGGGGTGTTCGTTCAAGCTGTATTTTACTGTTTTAATTTCTCCCTTCATCTAAGAATTTAATTATAAAGCACTGTTTCTCAGTAGCGTAGCGAGGGGGGGGGGGGGCGGGGGACGGGACATATGTCCCCGGGCGCCGACCTTAGGGGGCGCCAAAATGGGTTGGAAAAATAAATTAAAAGGTTGAGGGGGTGCAAATTGAATGTTTGAAGGGGGGGGGGGGGGTGCAAATCAAAAGTTTGAGAGGGCGGGTGCAAATCAAAATCTTGAGGGGGGGTGCAAATCGAAAAATTTGTCCCCGGGCGCCGGGAAGGGTCGCTACGCCTCTGCTGTTTCTACATTTCAGCAAATATATTTTAAAGATCATCTTCTATTTAGCATGAATATGTGTGTTATGTCTGAAACTAAGAGAAGTATGGGATTATGCTTGAAATATGTGTTACTGTCAAGATGATATGTCCCCGGGCGCCAACCTGAGGGGGTGGGGGGCAAAATGGATTGGAAAAACAAATTGAAAGTTTGAGAGGGTGGGGGGGTGCAAATCGAAGGGTCTCTGCGCTTGGGTCGTTTAGCTGTTATGTGCGTTATGAGAAAATCTATTTAAAATTTAACTTTTAAAACAAAATTCTTAAAATTATTATTTTTCATCGTAAAAGCAAACAAAATTACCAAAGAAAATTCCGTCACTTGCTCTATAACGAACAGTCCATTTTCTGCCCCTACGGTTCTCGGCCAGCAACCAGGCGCCAGGTTGTCATACACAAAGACAATGGTTTCCTCTCCATTTACTTGATGAGTCCCAACACCCGCGAGTATTGTCAGAATTAACACAATCGCTAATCAGGAGGGGGGGAAAAGTTGGAATTCAAATTGTTGGTGGATAAAAAATGAAAATTAATTTTATACAGAATGTGATCTTAACGCAGAGATTAACTTACGGATTTTTTCAAGGGTGGGTCAAGCTAAATATTTTACTGGGGGGGGGGGGGGGATTTTTTATATGCGAGACCTTATAATTTAACAAAGACAAAAAAAACCTGGGGTGGATCTGATATGCCCTGATGTGAACAGAAGAAAGCATGACAAACGCAGGTACACGGCTGGAACTAGGTAAAGGGAAAGTGGGTATACCATGACGAGATCTGCAGGGCTTACGTGGGCCCAGATGAAGAGGGATGCCATAAATAGAGGCAGATGTAGAAGTGCAGTTGCAACCCTTAATTGCCCCCTATCCCCCGAGCACGCCCCCCCCCCCCCCTAGGAAAAAATAGATAATAAGAACGCCACTTCCCCTACTGTTGTAGCCACGTCAGTGTTTCTTTCAGACACTTTTCTCCGGGTAGGGGGGGGGGGGGGGAGGGGCACTTGAAACTTTAGGAGTGTGTGACTTAGATTTGTTGGGGGCGGGGGGGGGGGGTCGACACACTCTGGTTGAAGTTTATCAATTCTAATTCGTTCGGGGGTAGATCTCGAATCTAGACTTAGAATATTTACCTAATGCCGTGAAACAAGGTGTTTAATGCACTTAAAAAATAGATCTAGACCTCACTTACAGGAAAAACTATAGCTATCTTTCCCTTTTCTCACAGAGACTAAGGAATCCATTTTCTGCATGAACAGCATGAATTGCTGTTGGTCTGCTAGACAGGTCTAGGTATTGTGACCGATGCCTCTAATCTTACCATGTTTGGTATAATCAATAACAGAAAGGCGTGGGGTTTCTTGGGTATTCCACGGTGTTGTAGAAAACCATCGGTGCGCAAGATTTAGGTGTGCACTCATTTTAATTAAAAGAGAATGATAAACTTCAGACAAAAATGTGTTGTTATTTAAATTTATAGAGAATTTTTAGTAACAATTTTTTACATTATTATGATAAAAAAAAAAGAAGAAAATAAGTGATTTTCAAAAATATGTAGAAATGCACGCCTATTTAAATAACTATAAAGAAAAGAGTGGGTCACATTTTACATTTCCGTTGAGGTATTAAAGTCACTAAAACGGTTTTCATTCATTTATTTTCAGTACAATTTTTTAATACAATAGATTTGCATGACTAAAAAACAATTGTGCACCAAATGAATCGAACAATGTGAGAATAATAGCGTGGAAAATAGTACTTTACATAGGGAAATTTAATTAGTTTTTCAAAAATTAGACATCTAGGTCACATTGATGTCAGATCGCATTGGGTGTTCACCCACATGCAAAATTTGAAACAAATAGGTCCATTAGAAGTGGTTTAAATTTTGCTCGTCAGTTTCGACGCATGACCGACAAAGTCTAAAGAACGACAGACCGGTGAAGCATGACAATACCCGAAATGAAAAAAAAAGACTTCTCCAAAATTAGTTTTTTTTTTTATTAATCAATTCATCTGTAAGACGGATATTATTAAAATGAAATGGAATGCAACGTTACACATTTGCCATTCACTGACTTTACATGTCGTACATGTCCAGTTACATGCCTGACATGTCTACTGACATATCCACTGATGATTGACTTGACACTGTCACTGACTTGAGACATGTCTGTGGCATATGCCAGGCAGGATGTCAAACACTAGACTCTAAATCAAAGCAAGCAGATGGACAGTTACATTCAGATAGCCTTACATCAACATCATACAACCTAGTACTACAGGTAGCATTACACCAACATCTACAAACTAGCAACAGCTATGTCAGGTAGCCTTACATCAGCATTATACAAACTAGCAACAGGTATGTCAGATAACCTTACACCAACATCTACAAAATAGCAACAGCTATGTCTGTTAGCCTTACATCAACACCTTACAACCTAGCAACAGCTATGTCAGGTAACCTTACACCAACATCTACAAAATAGCAACAGCTATGTCAGGTAGCCTTACACCAACATCATACAAACTAGCAACAGCTATGTCAGGTAGCCTTACACCAACATCATACAAACTAGCAACAGCTATGTCAGGTAGCCTTACACCAACATCATACAAACTAGCAACAGCTATGTCAGGTAGCCTTACACCAACATCATACAAACTAGCAACAGCTATGTCAGGTAACCTTACACCAACATCTACAGAATAGCAACAGCTATGTCAGGTAGCCTTACACGAAAATATAAAAACTAGCAACAGCTACGTCAGGTAGCCTTACATCAGTATCATACAAAATAGCAACAGCTATGTCAGGTAACCTTACATCAGTATCATACAAAATAGCAACAGCTATGTCAGGTAACCTTACACCAAAACATACAAACTAGCAACAGCTACGTCAGGTAGCATTACACCAACATCTACAAACTAGCAACAGCTATGTCCAGCTATTAAATGAAAGACTTACACTGTAAATAGCTGGCTTATAAGACCACACAAGATGAAAAAGAAATCTAAGTTTATCAAAGCAATCACAAACTTTTGAGACAACTCTTCTCTATCACACTAAAGTACACATATTGGCTCCAAAACATTAAACTCATTTTATTCACAGCAATGAACATAGCAGCAATTCATGTACAGCTTGATTTAACATCACTTTAAGCCATTAAAATAAACAAACGCATAATTTATGTCAAACAAATTAAAAAGCTATTCACATGCCATGTAAACCTTTCATATAAATTTCTTGCGTTATTATTAACACTTGTAACCTTTCAAGCCAGTTAACTTCCACGCCATTAATCCAACAACCCTTGTAATCTCTTGATATCAATACAAATTAAACACAATACAAATGCTATATTTCAAATCTATTGAAATCCTACAGACATTCATGTACAGGCTATATATAAACAGACAAAACAAAGTATTTGAACAAAATTAATGACAAGAACTGTACCTCAAAGTCAGTGCTGACTAGTTCAAGTTTCGCTAAATCACAATTTTTTGTATAACACAGCCTAGCCCCAGCTTAAATACCATTTGAAGAACAATCATATAAACTTTAGTTTGCTTTCAAAGAACTAATCACATGTATATGTATTTACACTCACTGAATCTAAGATTAAAATGATTATTCACATCAAGTTAATCTAAGACCAAGCAGATTATTTACATCTATTCAACCCAAGATTAAGGAGATTATCTTGAGCTTGCACTTCCTGTCCGAGGAGGCTGGTCTGTTATTAATGTGACCTGTGTTAACAAAGTTATGTTTGTAAAGTTAAAAGATGATCAGTTAATTAAAAATTGGAAATTAAACATTTAAGCAACAATAAATAGTCCCTGCTTCCTAAACTAAAATCAAATTCACTAAAATCAAATTCACTAAAATCCCAGGAGTTAAACAGTCATCTTTTTACTTTCCCATTCATAAGATTATTCATGGTAAGTTTAACTATAAAAACATCAATGAATAGAAATTTAAAGTCCTCACCTTGTTAAAAACACCTCTCCCAAAATAATCAGCTACTACAGAAAATCCATCAGGTGCTCTCTCAAGCTAAAATAGTTTTGTTGAAAAGTTATTGTAAATTTATCTAAACAGAAAATGTGATGAAAATAAAACATTTAAATAAAAATCAGGCCTATTTTTTTGCCTTCTCTCATCCAAATATTTTAATCCAGTTGACTACTCTAACAACACATCATCGGTTTGGTTTAAATAAAATTAAAAAAAGATGTTACAAAAACTGTCATTGAAAGTACTTTAGTTTCTGCCTGTTACACCACAAAAAAATAGTTTGAAGTTTCTAAACACATTATAAAAGCTCTCAAGTGTAACATTAGTTTGACAGAGTAAATGAGATTTTGAAATGAGTATTTGACAAACCTGATTATGGAAAAATTCATGAAGATCCCTTGATTGTTCTTGCGCTCTAATTATGTCCATAATTTTTCTTAAAAAAATATTTACAAGTTATAAGGTGCACATTTAATAAGTCAAAGCGTGTGCTTAAAAATAAAACTCCAATATTTTTTAATAAAACAGATGAGTGAATTGAAGGAGGGAATATAAATATAAAGATAAAATTAAAACACACCTGTTTTCAGGTGCACAGACTGGACACTCCATGTCATTCTCTGCGTAACTCTCAAAACACCTGTAACAAGGGTGAAAAACAACGCTGTGACATATTTGTCTAAGTTGTTGTACCAGTAGTCTTAAAACACAATTTGTATTAGTATGCCTTTGTAATTCAGTATTTTGTTAGGATATGAAATACAGAAGCAACCAATAATAGACTCACTGTTGATGGTAAGAGTGGGGCTCACACAGGAAGTGAACTGAAGGTAGTTCTAGAGAGTGGCTGCAGATGTTGCACTTGCTGGCTTGGAACACTTTAGCCCTGGCATTAATCAATTAATAGTTATTGACATTATTTATAATCATGTAACAAATGATCATGCAAAAATAACTATTTTTTCATCTGCTGCAAGATACTTTAAGTATTTATTTTAATTATTACTTTTGAATTGATCTACAAAGTTTTACGTACGATGTCTTAAGGTCCTCTATCTTGGTGCGCTTTTTATCGGTGTCTTCTCTGTACTGTTTTATAAGTCTCTCATCTTCAGCAATCTGATCATTTTCTAACTGCAAGTGACGCACTATATAATCCTGCATGTTGTGAAAAAAATTTATTAAAATAAATTTTTATGTCTGTTTTTTAAGTAATATTTTTAAACATTTTTCAATACAGTTTTTAAACAAATCCAGAAGAAAGTTGCTTAAAACTGAACATTTTGAAACTCAACATCTTGATTGATATAAAAATGTGAACAAACCTTGACTACAGAGAGAGTGGCTGTTGAGTTGTGGGCTAGTATCTGAATCACCATCAAAGGAGGTAGCAAGTTTTTCTTATCAATATCTGTAAGGTTGCTGTTAAGGTTTGGTTTAGACACAAGGTTTATAATCAAGTCATATATTATAAACACTAGGCATGCTGCCCAGCTTCGCTTAGGCTTTCGAAAACATTGAGAATTTGAATGCTTAATTCGCCTGAGGGTCGGTCTACGACCTCAAGAGTTATGAAGAGGTTCCTCCGTGGACCTTTTTTTTCGATTTATAGCTCATATAAGGCACCGGTCAGTCGAGGTCAGTTTTGAACCCCTCATCGTAGACTTTTCGGCCAACCGGCCCCCGTGTTCTGTCGTCCCAAGGCAAGATCCTGTCAAATTTGAAGCGCCTGCGGCGCCGGGAAGTGCCCTATTGGACACCCGACAATCTAGATCTAGATCTAGAATCCTAATAGAATTTTTTTTTTAAGTTTAGCCCAAGCATAATAAAAAAAAAATACATTAACCAAGTTGACTTGGTGTGTCTCGAACCCGCACCACCTGCGTGGTTTATACTACACTAACATCTCCGCTACTTAGGCACCTTATAAAATTCGGAGAATGAAACACGTATTTTAAAATCTTAACTTACGCTAATATGCCTATTCTTTCAAATTAATTTTTTTATCCCAAATTAGCCAGTTCCAAACAAAGATTTTGTATGAATAGATTTTAGAGAAGTTAGAGTCTAAATCTAGATCTTAGCGTCTACGTCTATTTATTGCGTAGATTTAGATTTAGTCTAGATCTAGAATCTCTAGATCTAGAATCCAAATAAATAAAATAAATTTTATGAGTTTAGGCCGGAAAAATTGTATTTTATACATTTCATAGTGTACGTAGATCTAAATCAAATTTGAATGAAATAGTTCATTTCTTTTTATTGTAAACACGGCAGATGACGTCATTAGTTAATGTATAAACATTAGTGACGTCACAGTTTTATGCGTTCTTTTTCACATGTATTAATGCTTTTCCGGTTGCATAAATAATACTGTTTCTCTACATTCAAATACGCCTTTATTTTTTATTTTTCTTCTTTAAATAAAATTGTGGTTATACATTTAAAACATCTAACATATTATTTTCAACAAAAGTCCGTATAAAATTCTCCATATATCGCTGCCGTTTCTGACGTGATGTCCGGCGAAAATATTTTGCGGACAGAGAGAAGTGCGCACATGGGGAATTATATATTAGGATAGAACCAAATCAAGCCTAAAGGCAGCAGGTCATAACGAAGGATACGAGACAGTGTCTCCATTAACTGGGGTTTGCAGTTATCCTCCTTGCAAGCAAAGTAAGACAGAGCCTGAACCCAAAGCTGTGGATCTTGTTGGCTACAAAAATATTGTTTTAAAATTTAAAGTTACATGTTAAAACTATGGCAGTTTTTATTTCAATTAAATTTCCTAAACTAATACAGTAAAATAGATAGTTCTAGGCTGAAGTACACTTAATACAGACAATTTTAATATTACCGAATTGTTTCATATAAGTATTTTCACCAGTGTTTGTTGTACTTTTTAAAAAAACTTACCCAAACTTTTTGCAAGCTTCAATGACATGTATATATTCAGAATGGTCCATGTGGTATCTTAAAATCTGTTGGTACCTGGTATAGTAAGTATGTAGCATGTTAATTTCAAATAATGTACACATTTAGTATTCAAACTTAATGCAAGGCAAACATTTATAAAGATAATATTTTTAAAAATTGAAGTTGTAAAAGATATAAAAAAAAAAACTATTCTCAAATTACTAATTTCAGGATAATAATTCAAGGCTTTAAAATCTTGATTTAGATACATCCATTTTACTTAACATATAATGACGGCAAAGCATTGAATTTAAATAAGCAAAACTTACAAATGCGCCTTTTCATACAAATAAAGAATTCCAGCCTTAAAGTTGTTCATTTGGCAGAGTATCAGAGCTTGGTCGATGTCATAATTAGCCTGAACATTTGGAATGTGTTATTAAAGTATTATTACTTTAGTACTGCTGATTAAATTAGCCAAAGTATTTTAACAAACACATTTTCTAGGCTTTTGTGCCTTTATTTTGTGTTGTAACAGCAAGTTATTCAAAATATTTTCTATATTACAAAATCATTTATCACATTTTTTCACTAGTTTTTAACCAATGTAAAACCATATGCTTACATCAGGATTTTTCAGAAGCTCCAATGTTTTTCTTTCTCTTTCAACTCTAACCTAAAAATAAAAATCGACTGTTTATTTAAAATCATAAACGATTTTAAATAAAAAGTTTGTAAGTACAAAAATCATTATTACTATTAATGATTAAAATATTTTTCTAGACATACACCAACATCACTAATTTCAAAGTCATAATAATATAATCAATACTTAGTGAAATGTTTCTTTTTATGTCAGATATTAACTTCTACCGTATATAAACTCCCTTCTGGAAAGAATTGTTTACTTACAGCTATGACCTTTTCATGGACCATGTGGTGAAGATACAGCTCCAACAATGTGTTATAGACTAAATTGGATGAGCTGGGTTGAACCTGAAATTTTATTTTATATTGTATCTTGTAATCCTCAGTAGCAATTTTTATACAGACAAAGACAGTCACTATTCAATGTTGTAATGTTTACAAAACATAGCAAATTCCTTGATATATAATTTAATTTAATTTTTTTAATTACTAAGTCATTAAAACTAAATGTAGAAAAAAATTACCTCTATCATGTGTTCTAAAAATTCAGTTAACTTGGCTGAATTGTTAACAAAGATATGGATGAATGATTCAGCATTTGCATTTTGAATTCTGGAAGGCTGTCCACCTAAAAACAGAAATAGAAAAATTTTGAAGTACTGATTGGAAACTTATTTATATTTTTTTTTCAGTTGCTGTCTTTGTAGTACATTGTTTTAATTAGCTATGACAAATGGCAGATAACTTTAAATTTTCTAGGAATTTCTAAAAAGACCTATAATGAAAAATGTTTGCATGTGTAGAAAAATTCTTTGTTGTTTCAGCCAAAGCTGTACAGCACCCATTTCTGCTATATAATTTCACATTTACTTTCATTCTTGAATTCAGTGGTGTTTAATATTTCAATCAAAGTAAGTGCAAAATAGAAAATTTATATTTTTTTTAACAAACAAAATTTGAGACCCCGGCTTAAGAAAATGTTTATAATTTCTGAAATAGTTACTCACTGCTGTGTCTACATTTTAGAAAATATATTTTTCACAGAACAATTAAACAATGTAATAAAAGTAACAACATTAAAACAGTAGCAAAGGTGGATAAAGCTCCTGGAAAAGTTAAAATCTTTAACCATAGCACTATTATCTGGCTTAACCTACAAAACTAAAAAGCTGACTAAAGCATGTTCTCTAACAATCCATGCTAACAGTAACACAAATGTTTTGTATAACCAGCTGTTCATGTTGGCACTACTACTCAGCTTTCAGTCTCTGCCCTGTATGCAAAGTGTAATCAAATAGCAGGGTAAAATTTAAAATAAATGTGATGAAACAAAACATATTTTGAAACTAAATTAAAATGTTTTTACCTTCTAAACTGTTCTGATCAATCAAAGGCTCTGGAAAAGTTAAAATAAAAAAGTGAGTTTTGCTTTAAAAAATCCACATATTTTTTGTGCAGAAAATGAATGAAATGTAAAATTTAAGGAAGACATTTGAATGTCAGCAAAGATAACAAGCTTGACTGAAAAGATTATTGATCAAATAAGTAGAGGGCATTGTCCTGATGGTAAAATAGTAGTCACTTAATGAAAATGGATAATCTATACCCAGCTCTACTTACTGTCTGTAGGTTTGTAGTCAGTACACAGCTTTTTAAGTAGCTCTGTGGTTTCAATAGGAGCCTTGCTCATAAGGATCTTTCCATACTGTTTGAGATTACTCTCAGCCTGAATAACACATATTCCAGTTACAATTTAAGTTTACTGTGTTTTTCAAATATGAATTTTTAACTTTTAAAAAGCAAAAGCATTAAATTATTTTCAAAATATTTTACATACAGTAACATAAACTTAAATTAATTATTCTCATAATGATGAGTAGCTTTATTTGATCAGATATTCTCTTTTACAGTATGAAAGGTAAGCTCACAGCTTCAAAGTCCAATTTTGCAATGTAATGCAGAGCACGCTGGTAATCCTTGATATCCTCTAGTTGTATCTTTAAATAGTGTTCATGTTTTTTGTGTTTCTCAGCCAGGGCCAAGGCATGAGCGCAGTAGCCAGACTGTCTGCAAACATTGATAGCTGTCTCCACATCAAAGTCCACTTCCCTGTTCTTTGTCTACAAGAAGTTGGAGAGCTTATAAATCTTAAAATCTATTACTTAGTATCTTTAAGTAAGTTTTTCAATTACTTGTCACTGAATTAAATGTATTAATAAATACATTATTTTCTTTATAAAAGAATCCATGCAGTGCTAAAAAGGATATCACCTTGGTCAATCACACAAGTAATATGTTGGGGGTTTTGTGTTTGTATTTTAAACAAATGCCAAAACCATGGACCAAATAAAATATTTTCACAAAAAATTGGTTCACTTTTGAAATACCAGAAATAATACAAATTTTATCCACATTTTTAAGATTACTCACAACTTGTAAAAACAAGCAAATCTGGAATGACTGTAATAATATATTCACTGAAACTACTGACATTAAATGCCAAATAGTACTTAAAAGCGAAAGCATAAAAAATTACCATGATAAATTCATCCAGTTTGGAAACATCCTTTAACTTAGTGTAGCAATTTAGTAGCAGAGTTGTATGCTCCTCTGTTGCTGTCTGTGACATGTGTAATGCCTGAAGGTACTTGGTGAGGTTGTGTATACGCTGTGCATCCAAAAACTGTTCAAAAAATGTGTTCATGTTAAAGGATAATCCATTAGTAAATAGAATTACACATATAAAAATTTTCAGATGTAAGGATTTAACATGTTTATGGTAAACATTTACAAAAGCCACCTTGCCACTAACCTGTCGTATAACATATGAAGCCTCTAATTTGCCAATGGTTTTAATATACTGATCAATAGCACCATCGTGATCTCCCTTACTATATAAATGATCACCATACTGAGTAAAAATGTCTATTAATCCATCTTGATCAAGCTGTTGACTTTTAGCTAAACTGAAAGAACAATTAAAAAAAAGAATTCAGAATAAAAAGATAAAAACTTGCATTATTTATTACGCTTTTTTTGTCTTTATTCTTAAAATGTATTTATTTCTTTGCAGATAAAGATTTATTTTTTATTTTTAAAAGACAACCTGACAACCATTATTAATTAACAAAGAATATTAACAAAGAAACAAGTATGAACTAAGGAGTACCTGATGGCTAAAGTGTAATTGTTTTTCTTAAAAAGCATCTCCAGCTTGCTCTGGGTATCTTTTTCTTGTAACTGATACAACTGTCAAAGACAACACCACATATTTTGGCTTAAAATTATAAAAACAATTCTATAAATTAATTCTGCTAAATGTGTCTCGACAAAGTGTAACTTCAGTATTATTTCGCACCTTTCTATCTCCAGTGAAAATGAAAATGGAACCCGATTCACACATGACATCAATAACTTCAGGGTAAGGTGCAGAATAAGCAATAAACTTATTCTGAATATCATAAACTGTAACTGTGTTCATCTCCATTCCATGAGGACCTCTGCCAATATAGAATGATAAAAAAGTAAATATATATTAAAAGGTTTAATTGCATCTCTAATTTGCCTAAACAGTAGGTGCTCTAGGCAAGGTTTTACTTGCAAAGTTGGTGTTCTAGACAAGGTTTATTTACAAAGGAGGTGCTCTAGACAAGATTTACGTACAAAGTAGGTGCACTATGTTTTACTTACAAAGTAGGTGCTCTGGGTAATGTTTTACTCTCCTTGCCCACAACAATCAAATATCCCCTAAACCAATGCAGCTGCAGTTTGATACCTTCAAATGCCATACAGGGTCCTCTACCATCAGGCTGATAAAAATAAACTGCCTGGGAAAAGATAACCAACCATTCATGATGACCATTCATACATGATTACCACAAAACAAATTAAATGTAACTCAATTATGTTGAATTTATTAAAAAAATTACCGACTTAATCATGGGAAATGAGTATCTGATTTTTATGAGTAAGATCTTCTGCTTGACCATGCTTGACTCAGAAAATTTTTTTCAAAATATTCCATACAATGCAAATTCATTTCAGGTTGCAATTTTTACAGGTTTTATTTTTAAAATATTTCACTTTTCCAGCTTTGTTCTAATTAAGGAATCAGTTATAAAGTGAGAGAATACAGGGTTAACTTACATCCTGTCTTCCTATAACTAGTTGATTGTCTTGACTGGCATCACTCATTACAATACAACCAGGACTTGCACCAGTGTTCTCAAGGATATTCTAAAAATGTTAAATAACTAAACATAAGGTAATGACAGAATATTAATTCTGATGAAAAACACAAAACACACTATTTATCAAGTGGGAATAAGGATATTTTTACCATTATAAATGAATTATTGTACAGAAAAATGATATTAGTACAGCAAACATATCAGGAGACTAGTTATTGCAAATTAAGCTAAATTAGGATAACCGACTAACCTGTTGATCTTTAGAAGTTATATTAATTGAAACAGTGATATTTTCAGTAACTACAAAAAGAAAGATGTCTTTTCCTTGTGATTTGAAGGCTAGTCCTGTCACTCTTTTAGTACCCTCATAAACATTGCGGGACTTGCTATGCCTAGGAAAAAAATTACAGCATTTAGAAATAAATTTATTCTTCATTTATATTTAATATTTTAACTGCAAAGGTCTATAATTTTATAACAGTTTAATATGTTAAACAGAAATTTACTAGAAAATCAAATGCCAAACTAACACACTGCTAAAACTACTACAAAATTTAAATATAAATCAGACCTCTCTCTAGTAACATCTCCCTTGAATAAAACGACTACACCATTTTCAAATCCAACAGCCATAAAATTTAAATTTTCATGAACTGAAAAAGCTGAAACCTGAAATGTAAATTACAAATATAAGAAATAAAAATTACTAACTCTCTAGAAAACAATTAACAAATAAAAATAATGCTTTTTTTAAAAAAAAATATACTAATAGTTTTGCGTGATTTGTATAATCATTAATATAGCATCAAAGGTTATTAAAAATGGTTTTTTTAAGTGTTGCTTACTGGTGTGGGTTTATTTCCTGGAATGGCCCTGGTTAATCTGGTACAAGTTGGATTTCCACGCTCCATCTAGATATTACACATAAATATAATCATAAATAACTGTAAATAATCAATACAGTAAAAAGACAGACTATCATTGAAAGTTTCAAGGTAGCAGAACAATAGATTACGTAAGATTATTATCATAAAATTACTTACTTTTTCAAGATTCCATACTTTAATGAGTGGATTAACTCCTTGTTCATCTTCCTGAAAAATACAAGCAGCACTATTTTTGAAAAACATTCCTAAACACTTAGTCACTGATAAAAACACTTTAAAACAAGCAAAACACATTTCCAACATAAACTTACCCCAATAGATATGAGTAAATTGTGTTGTTTTAACTGCAGTAAATGAGTAACCCGTATCTCATAGGCTTTAAATGCTGTAAGTTCCATTTGGCGATTGATGAAGTAAAGGTTTCCTTCAAAATCACCAACAACCAGCTGACCGCGTCCACTGGTACAGGCTGATACATTGACATCCTGCAATTAGAACATCTTCAAATAAAATCACTAATATGATCACTATTCTAACAAAATAATACAACTATTGTAACAAGAGTTTTGATGGAGAATATTTTTTTCAAATTTGACATGATGTAAAGCAAATTTTACCTTAAGCAGGTCAAAGACTTGATCTGTTGCTGGATCTTTGACTGGTTCTTTGTCAAAAAAATTGAAGCGCCTCCACTAAAAAATTGTAAAACACTTTTTAAAGTTAAAGGATATTGAATTTGGTCAATGAATGTTTATTTAAAGTATATTTAATAAACAGCTAAGAACAAACCTTAATGGTACAACTAGATTTTAGAATAGACAAAAGTTTGATTATAATTATACTACATAGTGTACTACATAAAAATATTTTGTTATAATTCTTCTTCGTTATTCTTAATCATATCATATTGAAGGTGTCAACATGTTTTGTGTCATAAGGCCCATTTACTGAATTCAGCCTGCTTTTCTTTCTGGATTTGATTCTAAAGCCTTTAGACACCCAACAGCAATCTGCAAGGCAGTAGTTGTTTGATTTGGGAGCCTTCTCTATCAGATGAGTTGCAGTCCCCATGTCAATGTGCATATGATTGGCAAGTGCAAAGCAGCAGTTGTGAGTTGTTTGATTTTGGAGTGATTTCTTTCTTATAATTTATATTTTTTTGACTAGATCTAGTATTTTATAGATTATATATTAGGCCGATTCTAGCTGGAAAAAGATATGCATGCGATGCTTTTGATGGTACTGCGTGTGCTTGTGTTTATATACAAATCGCAGAACCCTAACCCTAGCGCTACTATATTTATTAAAAGGTCACTGCGCATCCACAGCACTACTGAATTTCATATTTTCTGCCAAAACATGTTTTCCACAATTTTCAGAGTAGTTGCTTTGTATATGACAGATATGTTATTTTTGGCCTATAAGAATAGTATCTAGAGACATAAGAGTTATAGACTATGAAAGTATTTAGTATGAAGTAGATCCATGTTAGTATGATGATGATGAGAGACTGTGTCTGTGACTGTGAGACTGGCGGCTGGGCTTGTTGATCAACTCAAGATTCAAGAATCTTGAACTTGATTCATCACATCAATATTGATTCAAGATTCATGATTTCGTTAAAAGAAAACATAGATCTAGAATCTATGGAAAAAACACATAATTGAAAGTACCCTGATGCTTTTTAAATTAATAATAAAAGAAAGAAGCATCATAAATATCTTTATTTACATCTACGCCTACCTGTAAGAAAGCCATTTTGGAAACACTACACTTCCTGTCAAAATAACCATTCGTATTTTAGGATGTTGTTAATTAGAGATATTATAATATATAACTTATTGAAGTCTGTACTTAGGACTTAGATTCATTTTGTTTATATTTAGAATGTTCATCATTTTATTCATTCTAGGGAAATTTATGGCTAAATTATTTGTGTCTGGTAAAAATTCTAATAAAAGCTTAAATTAGTTAATAATTATAGCCTATGTTGTATTGGTATTTTAAATGTAATATTTAGTAATATAGGCTACTACTTAACAAAACAACACTTCTTTTATCCTTTTTAAAAAGATTTTCTAGATTTTAACTTTAATGGTCAGTTAAACTTAAATCATCCTAGTTAATATTTATTTTATTCATTCATTCCAATATAATACAATTTTGACTGCCAAGACAATTTGTCTTTTCATTTTGATTTTTAAAATTATCATAATTCTTCTATTTTAGCTTCTGATTGGGGTTGTATTACAATTCAAGAACCAACCCTTCACCCCTTCAAGCACCATCACAATAAACCCCAAAAAAAATTTTGTGTGGATAATTTGTGTTTAATAACTATTAATGAAGGCAACTTAAAAATTAATTATATCTTTAGGTTCTGTAAGTCTTCAGTAAATGACATTCATTTGGAAAGAACAGCATATAGAAAATTAATATATTACAGCTCTTGACTACCACCCTACCCCATGTAACATAATAAATAAACCACTACAACACTCCCTTTGTGGTGCATGTGTGCAGGATCCCTTAGCTATTACAATAAAGCCTAGTATTGAAGTTTGGACTCCCTGTCTAAACCTCATGTAATGAAATTTTTTTAATTTTAAGAAACAAGCACTTTGATTCACAAATTCTTCTATTACTGTAACAAAATTAACATGGAACATTATTAAATACCAAAAACACTAAAATATAAAAGTGTAAGTGCAGGTGATCATGGGGACTACATTAAGCATGAGCTTAAAAAAAAAGAGAAATTTAGTCTTTCGCTCTTTAATCACCATTCAAAACTCAATGCAAATAAACAACACAAAGAGAAATGTTTAATGTTCTTTTTAATTCCAAATAGTGTTTCACCCATAAATCCTATATTACAATGAAACCTGGACCATGGCAAATTAAGAATAGCACCAATAATAAGAATGAAAATTTTATAAATAAAAAGAAAATTCCTTTCATTCAATTGCTATAGAAAAACTTCACTAACAATGAACTTACATTTAAATTAATAATGAGTAAAAATTGTCTAAATGGGCAATATCTAGGTAAAGATTTTTTTTAACACTTAAATATTTTATTTCTTTATTCAGGTGCAATAATATAGTTGATGTTCTTTATGTTATATATGTGTGTATGTAAATATGTGTGTTTGTGTGTATATATATATATATATGTATATATTAATTTATTTGCATACTGGATGTACATACATATTTATGTATAGATAAAATACATATATGATAAGTAAAACATTTGAAACAATAATTCAGTTAAGTTTTTAAATTTATGGGGTGATGGGCTCAGATGATAGAGTGCTTGACTGATAACCAAAAGTCTCAAGTCGTATCCAAGGCTTGAATCTATCGAATGTCCCTAAGACCTCTCAGTTTTAATGTGGCAAGACTCACTTCAGGGAAAATAAATATGGCTAGGTATAGAACTGACCCCTTATCTCTTCATTTGCCTTCCATTGATCCAACAGTAAAAGGTTTATGATTTTAAATAAATTACCAATTACGGAATATAAAAAACCCAAAAAGGGCTGATGAATGGCCAATAAATTAAAATCACAGATTGTTTACAATAAATGAAACATTAGTGGGCAATTTCAAATATAAAAATACTGTTAAAAAAAATTGGAATTCCTTGATACCTTATAGTTTAATTAAAATAAAGTTTAAGTAAATTTTATGTATAGTATGTTTTAGTATGTTAATACTCTGTGATAAAAGTCATTAATCCTTAGAGAAAACTACAAGATTACAAAACCCTGTTAAATATGCAATGCTGTTTAACTGTATATTTAAATCTATTGTGAACACACAATCCAGAAATACATATACCTTGGCATGATGCTAAGAATCAGTTCTATGTTTCAAAAAGATATAGCAGTCAGTATAGTTCAATTAACTGCTGTTTATATGTAATAAATAAATTAATATTATAAAATTCCTATTTCATCTATCTGTTTCAAAGCTTATCTATATTCATATATATTCATAAAAGAAAAATTGCACAATATTTAAATATGGCCTACTTAATACAGTTACATAAAGTGATTGATTAAATGCAAATGGTATAGTTAAAAAATTAGACTAAATTAAAGCACAATATATTCTTTTTATATTACAAGCACAAGAGTATCAGTATAAAAGTGTATAGGTTATATTCTTACAAAAATTGAAATAATTGTTTAATTATTCAAAACCTGTAATCTGGAAGTAATTTAGTTTTTAATTAAAAATGTACAATGAGTAGATTCCCCATGTCTATAATAAATAAAAAGACAATTTTTATTACTCCTCAAAATGATATAGTTTAAATGATATGTTAAATTAGGACTAAGAGTAATAAGGTATAGGAACAACATTTAACAATTTATTTATCTATTTTCTAAATTGGAGAGACAAATAACACATTAATGAGTTATAAAAGGCCAACATTTGTATTTTGCACAGTATTAAACAAAACCTGTTTTAATTCAAACCACACACTTCTATTAAACTCTAGATCTAGTTGTAAAATAAATAGTATAGTTAATAAGAACTAAAATAACCTTTTGAAAAACAAAGGAGGTAGATAATCCAGTTAGGAATGTTAATTAAGTAAATATCTGCTGGTGCTGATTATTTTTTCCCACGTTTTCTTTAACTTGCTTTCTCTGTTTGTGTGTTTGTCTTTCCAATCAAATCTTGCGATCGAAATTTCTGGCACTTCCCAGTTAGCTAGCGCGCTGAAATTTTCAGGGAAGCTTTCTTTTGGATGACCATTGAATATTCAATTGTTATTATTACTAAATTGATCAATGGAAACATTTTATTGAGCATTTTAGACCGCTATATAATCTATATATATAATTCTCCTCTGCTAGCCATTAGAAAAAAAACCAGCGACGCGTACCTCGCGCGCAGTGAAGCGAACGATCACATGTCGCCACAGGCTTAGGGGCAGAGAATTTAGCTGAACCGAGTTTAAACTTACAGGAGGTAGGCCAGTTTGGGGGAGACGATATGGTCGAGTGGTTGGGCACACGATTGCTATCCCACTCGACACGGGTTCAAATCTATGTGTTCTAGTCAGTAACGTATTCAAACAACGTGTTTTTTACGAGTTGTCTTTTTACGAGTTGTCTTTTTACGAGTTGTCTTTTTACGAGTTGTCTTTTTACGAGTTGTCTTTTTACGAGTTGTCTTTTTACGAGTTGTCTTCGTTTACCCAAAAAAAGTGAAAAGATAAAATCGATAGCAAGATTTTAATGCAAACAAACAGACAAAGACTAAAAAGTAGAAAATAATAATCATTAAAAAAGTTTTAAAAAACCCACGTTTTCTGATTGAACTAAAAAGTAGAAAATAAATGCTAAAGGCCCTACATCACAATAATGCAAGCGATCACTCTACTATAAGCGAGCAAAAACGTGGGGCGCCGTGATTTTCTTACAGTTTCTAATACTGTTGACTCTCTACAAGCTCCCTAATAAAAGTCAATAGTATTATCTAATCAATAGTAATATAACTTTTACTTCGGCGCCCCACGTTTTTCATCGCTTATAGTAGAGTGATCGCTTGCATTATTGTGATGTAGGGCCTTTAGCATTTATTTTCTACTTTTTAGTTCAATCAGAAAACATGGGTTTTTTAAAACTTTTTTAATGATTATTATTAAAAATCTAACATTGCTCAAAATGTTGGGAGATAACTCTCTGCAGGTTTAAACAGTTGTCCAAGTGTGGGAGAGCAATGTCTGCTTGCACTCATATTGTTGACCAGGCTCAAGGGTGATAGGTACAACAACTTTACCTGGTTCTACACAAATCATTTCTTTATAGCCATCATCATCAAAATCTGCCATCTCCTTAGCCTTCTCAGCCCATGGATTCCACACAACTGAAATTTTTTTAAAATACACACAAGCCAATTATTTAAAATGTTGCTGCAGTAATGATTTCAAATTTATGAGAATTAGGAGAAATAATTACCAATGTCCGGAAAATTAAAAGTTGTGAGTTCAATTTTTCTGGCGGGTTCAGGTCCACTTGTGATAACAAGCTTTTTAGGAGCATCTTTATACACCCTTGAGTGTCAAGAAAAATTGATTTAGAAAAGAGTGTCTTACAATGTTTATAATTTCATGTAAAATATTAGGCAAAACTTTTATTAAACAAATTTTAATAATTATTCCAATTACACTAAAACCTTTGTTGATCAATTAGTGTGTATGTGTGTGTATATATATATTAATTGTAGATCTGCTATGCATAACCTAACACATTATTACATAAAGAGCTCAATCTGCCAGACACCTCAATAATTAGAAAGATTATAGTTTCTAAAACAACAGTTTTAGTGGCAGTTATTTTGCTAAACAAATGTTTGAGAAAATCTTACCTGTCATAGTTTTTATCTACTTTCACCAAATCTCTAGATTCAACGATTTCTTTACCATCTTTCAGCTTAGAATATATAAAGTTACATTTTTAGATATAATAAACATTATAAAATAATAAGTTTGTAGTGAATAAGTGAAAGGGGATGAATGGGGGTGAATGTTGTTTGTACCTATTACCCTATTCTGTTCGTACCTGTTCAGTTATTGTACAATGAGTTGTAATAGTCCGGTTTGTACCAGTTTATGGTATGGTGTATGAAAACGAGTGTGATTGCCTCAGTTTCGTCCAGATCTCCAAGGTTAGTATAGGTTAGGTCTATACTAGTTTTTAGCCACTGTATCATAGTTTTACTAGCTTTTTGTATTTTGTGTTTAGAATAGACTGTGTTAGGTGTAGATATTATTAAAGAGAAGGAAATGGCACTAAAAGAGAAAGAAATGGCACTTAAAGAGAAAGAGATGGCTATGTAGATGAATGACATCGCCCTTACAGAGAAAGATGAAGCAGATTCAAACATTCGTTTACAATGCACATCTACAAAAGGCACTGAAACATTATTTCTGTTAAAAGACCAAAATGGTACAAAAATTAATAAAAGTTATACCTTGTTGATAAAAGTTAACCCTTTGAGGCCTTCAATGGCTGTGTCTTCTATATTTGCCACCCTTAAGTAGGTATGTAATAGACAAGTAAAGCCCAGGTTTTTTGTATCTAAAATTGAATAACAAAGCTATTGAAAAATGGAACTGTATTGTAGAATACAAATTAATCAGTATAATGTAAGAAAAAGATTGTACCTGTGTTATGCACAACTAATGTTGACATTAGTGATTTCGGAGAAAGTACCAAAGTATAAACCAATTTGAATCTAGATATAGAACAAAAATGCTTCATTTTAATAAACAATATTTGATAAAATAAAGGTAATTAATAGTAAAAAAATCTAATAACTTGCAAATAATATTTATGATATAAGTTCATATTCAGAAACAAACAAAAGTTCAATATCAACCTACTGATAATTCCACATAGCTTTAGTTTCTTCATCAGCTTCCAGTACAAAAAGGGTAATCACATCTCCATTATGGTCCTAAGATTTTTTCAATGTTAAAAATTGTGTTGTACATAAATTGTTATGCCAATGAAATTAATTTAAAACAAGCAACATGTGTGAAAGATATAAATGTCTCAAATACTAAATTAATAAATAATTTGTTTCAACAGATAAATGTTTTTTTTTGTAAACTAAATTTCTTTTTTTTTTATGGTAGATCTTCTGGATTTTCAGATTGTATTGTATAACTGGTCAATATCTAAAAATGTATAATGAGAAAAGTTATTATCTACATTTATTGGTAAAACCATTATTACAATAAAAAATACTAAAAATGTCTGAGGCATCGGCCTGTTATGTAAAGATAACAAATTTTCTCACAAAAAGAGTGCTAAGCTACAACATGATAGGAAAACAAGAAATGAATTTTGCCCTTGCCTTTCTTGGTGGGACCGCAAGATTCCATCGTTTAATTCTTGCAAAACCATGCTGAGGTCCAAGTGGCCATGGACCAAAGTTTGCTGCCAATAAAAAAATGTAATTTAAAAAGGTTATAAATTTTCTCCCAATGTTTTTAAAATACATGTAGCTGCTAGTTTTAGGAAACATTTTAAAAAGTATATTAATAAAACAAGTTTTTTTAATATTAAAAAACCTAATACAACTGAGCAAACGATATACGTTTGTAGTTAGTTTTCTTTTAAACCAGCAAACAGTTAATATTGTTTATTTAATTGTTTTTTTTTACATTGTTTAAAACTGTCAAATAGAAAAAATAAAATTAAAAAACTTACGAAACACTATAGGAACACCGCCTCTAATAGCTTTTTTGTTATCAAACACAGATGATTGGCTAATCAAAAATAAAATTATCAATGTTTTTTATAAACAAAATAAATTGTAAAATTTGTTTTAAAAATCATTAGAACAGAACAAAAATAAGTACCTTTGAAGTAAAATTAGCAAAGAAATTGTAACTAGGAATGCTGATTTATGCAATTCAAGATAATGGAAAAACAAAAAAAAATGTGGGAAACCCTGGGGAAAAACGTATTTATGAAATATCTATGATTTGTTTTTGTCTACACATTTAAAAATGTCTACATATATTGGATAATTCATGTTTTGAACCATTGGGATAAATAATAGATGAGTATGGTCAAGAGTTTCTTAATCATAAGTTTATACTGATGAAGAAACAAGCATACTCCCAAACAACAATACAGCCTTAACCGGGTTAAATCTAAAAATTAAATGATGCCCCACCCCTTCTTTGCTGTGTTGTCTAGCCATAGAAAGGTGAATAACTCAGCTTGTAAATGTGGCCATATTTAGTTCACTTGTTGCCATTAGACTTTTTTTTTCTCTCATAAACAGTAGATAAAAAGGCAAAAAGTTAAATATTACAAAAAGGAATAAATAAAGCAAATACCTTAGAAAGAGATTCTCCTGACCTTGACATTTCCATGAGATTATTGTTGCTCCTTGAGAAATGAAAACTTTTTTTTATATGTATGAAAATAAGGTGGTAAATGCTTTTAATGATTAGATTCTATAATAATTAAGTTTCCAAGACTTTTTTTAGTTGAGTTAGCAAAACTGGGGTGGTTTAGACAGTTGAGGCTTTGAAGGGTCTTTCTATGGAAAATATTTATTGGCACTTTCCTACTTTAAGATATTACTAAGACCTTTTTGTCAGGATCCATTTGTCAATTAGCCTATTTGGACACATTATTACTGATAACTAATTCTTTTTAAAATAATAAAACTATTGCTCTTAATTTTGCTATGCTTAATTCATTTCCCTGTTTAAAGTACTAATCCACTTTAATATAAAATTAGACTACAGATTGCAACCCGCTCAAAGCACAACTGCTTAACCAAACAGTACAGATAGTCAGAAGATTATTGCTACATTAAAGTAAAAATAATAAAAATAAAGTTTATTGTGCAGGGTAATTTTGATCCTATTGTGCAGTTTTAAAAGAATGATTTGAGCCAATTGCACAGCTATTAATATAGTACTTAATCTGAGCCCAATGCACAGCTATTGAGTATTTTATAATTAGGCCTATATAATTAAGCTCATTGTCCATTGTGCTCTGCATCTTCTGCCAGCCTGACTTACTTATACTAAACTTAGACTTACTTAGTCTTACTACTTACTACTTAGTTAACTTACTAATTACTACTTCTTAGAATTAACTCATTAGGACTAGCTATGAGCTATGGGGTGAAGAAGCTTCTTCCTTACGAGCTATCACTTAATCTTCGTAGGCCTAATAGTAATACTAGTTAGTAATTTATCTTGAATCAGAGGTGTAGCGAGGGGGTACATATGTCCCTTAGGGGGTGTCAAAATGGGGGTTTGAGGGGGGGTGCAAATTGAAAATTGATAATAATGATAAGTTGCTCTCGAGGGAACGCAAAATTGAAAGTTTGTCCCTGGGCGCCTGGAAGGGTCGCTACACCTCTGTCTTGAATAGCTCTATTTTAGCTACTACATCTAGATAACTAGTGTAGTTAAGTGTAGTACTATTCTTGATCTAGAATCTAGTAGTATTCTTCTAACTATTCTCAGCTACATTATTAATACTAATAATAATTATTAAATAATTAATAATAATAATTAAAATTAATGTTGTTTCTTCGTTTGTTTGTTTACCGTGCAGGTGAACCAACGCCGTTGTTCCTTCTCCTCTGTCCATAAAAACCACATCGCCAGCTGGATAACGATCCAATTCTTGACAGCTCATTGTTCTAGATGTAGATCTAGATTTAGAATTAAATTTCTAGATTAGAAAATTGTATTCAAAGTGAAAACTCAAACAAACAGTGGTCCTTTGGCCGACTTGAGGTCTCCGGTCTATTTTTAACAAGGGTTCATTTAGTACGAAACGAGTATATTTTTTTTACTGCTGGGACTAGGCTAAAATATATAGATATATTTTCTCATGATTATAAACAAAAACAAAGTAAAAACTAAAAAGCTGTACTGCAATGTAAACGGTTACATTCAGACTACATTTTTGTATTGTAATTGTAATTATTATTGTTAACCAAGAATCCTTGATCTAAATGATAGAGTTAGACTATTATTATTAGGCCCCCTACTTGAATTGTGATTTGAATGATTGAATTTTTTTTACTTGCGTCATGCTGTTTGTTTAAGTTGTTTTTTTTTCAAGTTTTTAGTTTTACAACTTTTAGTGAGTTGAATGAATGGAGGCGAGCGAGTTGACGAGATTCCTTCCATAATGTTGTTGTCATGGAATAAAAACGTGTTTTTTTAGATTTAGACCGTAAAAAAAAATAAAAAATAAAACGAAGTGTCTACTCGGAATAAGATTTTTCGGCAAAAGATAGTTCTGCGCATGCGCAGTGACCTATGGCTAGGGTTAGGGCTAGAATGAGGGTTAGGTGTAGGATTAGGGATAGGGTTAGGGATAGGATTAGGGCTAGGGTTAGGGATAGGATTAGGGATAGGGTTAGGTATAGGATTAGGGCTAGGGTTAGGGATAGGATTAGGGTTAGGGATAGGATTAGGGTTAGGGATAGGGTTAAGGATAGGATTAGGGTTGGTATTAGGGTTCTGCGGTTGTAAACACACGCATGCGCAGTACCATCGAAAACATCGCCTCTAAGTCGTAGTTTCTCTCCATTGCGCATGCGTATTGCATGTGTATCTTATTCCGACTAGAATCGGCCAAAATAAAAACTTAAGCCTAAAATTAATTTAGAAATTTTATATTCTTAGAATAAATGCTATAAAAGTTGCAAATCCAGAGAACTTGAAAATAATTTGTTGAGTTTAAGGCTACATTTCTATTTATTTTCATCAAGCCTAAGTTATAACCGGATGTTTCACTTTCGTAAGACAAATATTGATTGGCTGTACAGTAACTTAGTGATCGATAACTATTTGTTTACAAAACTTTGCAGATCAAGTTTTTAAATAACAATGCAAATTTAAAACCCCATGACCTAGTTTTCTATTTTTAGCTTACAATGTGTACAGTAAAATCTATGGCAGCCTATCCAATAGCAGGATGCCATGTTTATGTCACCATTACACGTGAAAACCAAATTGTTTTTGCTTTTTTTTTTTAATTTTTATTTAGTTACCGAAAATATTATAAACATCAAATACATCCAATCTTTAGTAAAGTCCGAAAAAAACCAGACAGGCAGGATTTTATAACCATATTAATTGTAAATACGCTGTGCATGATTTTTTAATGAATTTATACACCTCTCAAATACCTTTGAGACTTTTCTCGCTGGTGTCCATTCATTTGCATGTTGAAAATCATACTTGGGCGCTCATGTTTTTTTTTTTACATATTTATAAATATAACTTTAGTGACCAAACCTTTTATGAGAGAAAGTCAGGTTTGAGATTAGTTTTATTTATTTTCGGGAGAATTTTTATACCGGTGTCCAATAATGGAATCTTCTTTAAAAAAGGGGTGTTAGGTTACAGGTATTTAACTAAATACACACATGGCTGGCTAATGTCAATGCTAACCCTAACCCCAACCCTGGTCCTACCATACGACATACGTCTAACTCTAATTTATTTTTAACTATAAAATAAAAATTAGTCGAGATTATAATACTGCTAACAACCCAACATAAGAGTCTATTATCGGATATCAGTAGCTAAAGTCATCCCCAAACGTTTTTTTTTTATATTTGCTTTATTCTAAATTATGAAAAAAATTAAATAACTTCTTGCTTAAACATATTAATGTAAAAGTGTTTTCTATAGGTCATAGGACTAAAGGATGTTTCTTAGTGTTTCTAATCAGATGCAACATTATAGCAATGACCACACTCTCTAGACAGCCAGAATACATTTGTAGATGCTATTTGAATAAGAATATTTTCATTAAAAAGTTTAGAATTCATACAACTTATGAAAGTGATGAACAGTTTGAGAAGGAATTTAGATCAGTAAGTACTAAGAATCCTTTGAATCATCTTTCTTTTTTATAAATACATGGAAGACATTTTAATAAGGTATTTTAGAAAGAAAAAAATGTTATTGATTGATAACATTTTATTCTATTCATGGTTATTTTAATACTGATAATTATTTTTTTTTTTATTTTTAAGCTTCTTCGCTTAAATGGATGTTCTACAGATAAACAGTATCAAAATACTTTGTCAGGGGTAACACATTTACATATTTTAAAAATTATTTATTATACCTAGAACTAAATCTTAAAAACTTGCTTGCAAGAATGTGAAATCCCCAATTGTTTTGGAAACATGCTTTTTTCAAAAATGTTTAGGGAGCAGATAAGAAAGAAGACAGTGGATTTAATAAGAATAAGAGGGAAAAAAATAATAATGTTACAGAAAAATCAGCTGAAAGGAATTTTAAGTAGCTTATGAAAATTTGACACAATGATTTCTTCCAGTATCTGAGATATTGCTTTTAGTTAATATCTACAGCTTAACTTAATGCTAAGTCCTTGATTCATAAGATATAATGGATGGCAATGTATATAAATAAATATAAGAGATGGCAAATATCCATACTTTAATTAGAAATTCATTTAGGTGTTAAGTTTTTAGGTATTATTATGCAAAAATCACTAGCACTTACAGTGAATTCAATGATTAGCCAAGAATGTATTAGAGCTGACTTGTGCAATCCCTAGTATATTAGAATTGAATTGTTAACTTACAAGTTATGAAACATACTAATTAAATGGTGAACATATTTAAATTTGAATAACCATTTTAAGGTGCACGAAGAAATAAAACGCAGATCAACATACCATAAGCAATTTCTTGAAAATTATGAATATAATCAGCAACATTATGAAAAACTGAATCCTGAAATATGGAGTCTTCAACCCTGTTTTCTTGACCCAAGGTTTGTAACCATTGCACATGATGCCACAGGTCTGTCAAAGGAAAAACTCATGTCTCTAATATTACACATGGGAGGGGATATAACAGGTTAGCTTCCAAGATAAAGTTATTTTTATTTTATTTTGACATTAGTTGTTATGAAAATGAACCTTTATTTGGAGATTATACCAATTTTAATATTACATAAAAATTAAACCAAAATTTATAAACTTTAAACTGTGAACCGTGTGTACTCACATTCAACAATATTTGAGTGAAGTTATTTGTGTTTTATATGTTAATCCATTCATAACATAAATCATTTCAAAATTATTTATGGATGAAGAAGTTTTTTACTGACATTTTAACTTACAGATAAAAGAATGTACTTGATTAAAAAAAAAATTTAATTTTTGGAAATATTATTTTAAGATAATATCAGCATCTCTACATTGAATGATAAATAGTTTTAAAAAATTATTGCACTTTCAGAAGCCATGGTATACAAACTTCCAGTTTTCACCAAAGCATTTTGTTTTAAACTGATAGATGAAATATCTAATTTTGAAAAATTTCCTGGAAGAAAAACAAGGCCAAATACAATGAATGCTAGTGGAGTAAGTCTTTGATGACAATAGTTCTTTACAAACTTTGCCAATTAAAAAACTATGCAATATGAATTTTTTAAACTATATTTTTAAATACTTGTCATGTAAACATCCTATTTTTATATTGTTTTTCATTTAGATATCATTGGATGAGATGGGCTTATCAGATAGTCTGATCACTTCACTTGTCAGGGATTATTTTCAACCAATCACTCGCATCCTGTTTCCTCACTGGGGTGGGGGCCTCATTGATTCCTATCGAGCATTTATTGTAAAATATGAGGCTCATGGTGACAGGGAACTGAGCCTACACTTTGACAATTCAGAAATTACTGCCAATATTAGCATCAACGAAGACTATGAAGGGGGACAATTGCAGGTCCGTAAAATGTCAACAGCTGCAGGAGTTGATGAGGAATTTTCAGAGCCTATGGTCAAGATCAGTCATGAGGTTTGTTACAAATAATATTTTCATATTTTTATGGTTAAATCACCAAAGATATAAAATAAAATAGGTTTATAATAGTAGCTTAACAATCCTTGTTTATTTATCTTTATTAACATTGTTGCTTGTTAAAAAGAATTTGTGTGTAATTTATGTCTGTTTTAAACCCTTTTTTAAAAATTAATTACGCTGATTAAATAATTGTTTTCAATTATGAAATACTATTTTCCCAAGATGTGCTTTGGTTTACTTCACTGTGGTCGCCAACACCACTCAGCACTACCCTTAAATCAAGGAATCAGATACAATCTAGTCATCTGGATGAGAAGTTCAGAAGTTCGCAACAAGATGTGCCCAATGTGTCACGACGTCCCAGATTTGATTGAAGTGCCTATTGCTGGTGATGGCTTCATTCCAATAAAAAAGAGCAAACACACATGTAGTTATTTATAACTATTATACTTGCATACTGAATTGCCTTAACCTACTAAACTTGAATAAATGTAAATAAAATGAATGTTTTTAAAAAAAGGCTATTGTATAGCTATTATATTTACAGTTGTAAAGTATTCTTTTAGTTGTTGACCAATAACTTATTAGAAATTACATACTAAAAGCAAAAATATGATAAATTAATAAGCATCCATAAAATGTTTTTATTTATTTTGTATATCCTTTCTAAAGACAATTTGTATAAATAATTTAACAAAAGGTCAAGACAAATTTATGTTTATTTCATTGTGTGGAAAAAATTTACAAAAATAGGATTGTATTTTTCAGTCAACAGAATAAATATGGAAAACATTTATTCGTCTTCATTGTCACTATCATCGTCACTGTCTTTTTCTTCATGTAACTGCATCTCCCTTGTTTCTCTGTATCTTTGACTAATTAAGGAAAGTAAAGTAACTTCATACCTGACAGAGAGAGCATATGAAGGATCATGTAGTAAACCTGTCAGGTACACCTCAGAGCCAGGAAACTAAAATTATGACTTTCAGACTAGCATTCAATTGTTTTAACACCCAATCTCTGGTTATACCATATAAATTAAATAAAGTATATACAATTTGGTCTCACAAGAATTTGTGCAAAGGATACTGCATATCTACTTTTGAAGGCATATACGAAGTCATCTTTGGTAACAACTGATCTGCTAATCTTTTAGCAGCCCATTCTGCAGCCAAAACCTAGAAATATATTAAAAAACTAATTTTAAGAACAATTAGTAAAAGGATAAGTAGTGTATTCAATCAGATATGCAATTATACATGCATTAAGAGAACAATTTTACTACAAGGTAAAATTATTAAAACCTTAAACAAATTTATTCTACTTTTGTCTACACTTTAGTAAAACTCAGCTTTTTGTGCAAACAGTTGAAACAGCACTAAATTTAGGAAGCACAATATAAAAAAATTTAATGAAAAATATTCTCAAAGTATACTGTTGGGAATATTTAGCACTGACAAATCTCCACAAGAACGTAATGATCTCATTGTACCTCATTTTTGGCCCTCTGTTCTTCTATCAATATCACTGATTCCTCAACAGATATAAGCTTTGTTTCTTTATATTTATAGTCAGGCGGAGTGGCAGCTGATTCTTCTTTATGAACAGTCTTAGTTACTTTGTGTGTGTAACTAGATGGTGGAGGTGGGATCTCATGACTTTTTAGTGTTCTGATATGGAGGAATTATACATTGTAAAACATAAAAAGTATACACAAATTGTAATTTAACTGATCTTTAATGAGGTGTTCATAATTAAACAAAAAATTGACCTGTTGGGTAAAAATTTTGGTTTAGCAGGCATCACATCAGTTTTCCTTATGATCTTTTCATAATTATTGACATGCTGAGCTGGATTGGGTTTTTTAACATTATCACCGCCAAGTGATAAATTCTGCAAACAATAAAAATAAAATAATTGAACTAACTGCATGAACAGAAGTGTATTAGAGAAAAATAATTTTCCTTGTTTAAATTACATAGGCCTACTTTCGTTATCACAAAACAATAATATAAAGTATCTTGACAATCTGATTTTATATTTTGTTGTTTTATAAGCAAATTACTAGTAATTCTAAAATTTCCAGTAAAAAATATATATTTTAAAGAATCTTGAGAGTGAAATTACCTGAAGGTTTGTAGTTAAATCAAAATTTCCTGAGGTGATCAATTTATCATCATGTAATTTTGAAATAAGATTTTCCACCTTCTCAATATCTGCATGGTTTTCCTTTTCTTCATTGTAAAAATCTAATATAGGCAATTTTGCTTCCATACAAGACTCAGTGTGATCTTTATTCACTTTCAAATCAAAAGGCACATATCCTTTGCATTCTACAACAGGTTCTAACAAACGGTTTTTTTGGGAAGAATTTCTCTGTTTTAAATCTATTACTTGTTTAATATGTTCAACCGATTTCCTTGTCTTTTCTCCTTTATCTGGTAAACTCTCCAAAAAGTGCCTTGGAAAATATCAAGATATAGAACATAAAAGATGATTTTCATTCAATCAAGTATGATAAAAGTTACTAACCTTGGAAAATGCAGAAGATCCTTACCTTTTTGATAAAATTTTATTTAATCTGTCAAGTAATTCTTGTAATTCTGGAACAGTTTTTTTCATTAAATCTCCAAGATAGCCTTGTCTATCAGGTGTAAGATTCATATTGAGAAATTCAATTTAAGGAGACCTGTAACAATAATAACACATCTTCAAAACTGACTTAATGCAAGTAAACATAATTTATTTTAAGTAAATCAGATTAATCATATTAAAATAGAAAAACTATCCTATTATTAATTTATTACTATAATTATTTATTAATTATAATTATACTACATTTACATTGGATTAGTAGACCATCATATTAAATGATAAATGATATTACTACAAGATTATCTACATATTATATTAGTTAGGCCTACATATTAAAATTTTATATTGTTGACTTAAACTTAACAGTAGGCCTACTCTACTAAGTTACCTACAGTTACAGTACACTGCAGAGGCGTAGCGATGGGGGGGGGGGGGGGACGGGGGGGACATATGTCCCCAGGCGCCGACCATAAGGGGCTCCAAAATGGGTTTGAAAAAGTAATCGAAAGTTTGAGGGGGGGTACAAATCAAAAGTATGACGGGGGGGTGCAAATCAAAAGTTTGTTCCCTGGCGCCGGGAAGGGTCGCTAAGCCTCTGGTATACTGTAAGACATATTTTAATACTAATTTACATATGTGTAGTAAGTTAGTCTAGTTAGTAGTACTATAATTAATAACTAAGAGCCGGCCCGCGGCATAACATACGCCGCTATTTAGTTGTTTCTAATTTTCAATAATTCATAATTTGTGAATTCGACAGTACCAACGCTGACACTGAAAATATTTCTTTAAAACACTATAAGTAGCTCGTTAAGGACCATAACCCCCCCCCTTCCATCCCTCCCCCCCTCCTCCCCCCCCTACGTTTAAAATCGTTGGCTCTGCTTGTAAACATTTAGAGTGAACACAGCTCACTAAAACCATGTAGGGGTGGGGAGGTAGGGAGAGCGTTTGCAGCTTGTTTTCTAACGGCTCGAAGAAGAGAATTATATATATAGATTCTATTAATTATTAATAATTTAAATTATTAATTAGTAGGGTATATAATAAGTATATATAATTAGTATTTTAAAGTGAGTGTAACATTAGCAGTAGGCCTACCAAACTACTATTCTTCATTATTCATTAGATTCTAGATTAGATCTAGATTTTTCATCATACATTATATTTATTACATATCATTAAATTATCATTAACAGTTAACACAGATAATAAAAAAATTATATCATAAATAATTTTAATATTAGTATTATATTAGGCTATAGACTATAATATAGGCCTTTATATAGGGCATAGGGCCTATTAAAAAACTATTAATAATTAATATTCACCAACATTGAAACAAAAGACATTCATTTATGATTCATTCATTATTCACAATTCAATGATTAAGTACTAATAAGTAAGTAGGGCCTATTTATTATTCTATTATAATTTAATAAGCCTTCAATTATTTATTATTAATATATTCATTAAAATTAAAATGATTGGTTAACACTAACTAACAGTTAACAGTAGTTAACACTGTACGACTTATCACTTTCACTTAACACACTGACTTAACAGTTAACAACACTTTTAATCACTTATCGTCACTTAACCCTATCCCTACAACCCTATTTCACTGTATTCGGCTACAAGGCGGGTCGTTTTGACCCGTATACTTTTTATATAAGAATCTATTATTGCATGTGTATATTTTTTATAGCATAACTATTATTTCAATGATAGATGGACACTAAAATTATAGTTTATACATTTCTACACTAAATTTTAGTTTTAGGTAATTTATTATTATACTTTTTAGGCATAAATAAAACTAGACGTTACTAAATATAAAATCTTATACCTTTACTATCAATTTATTTTTCATATGCAAGAAAACTTAATCACAATTATTATCAGTTAGCACAGTAAATCTATATAGACTACAGATAGAATCTATATATTTGACAAATAGTTGATATTTTCCCATCTAACATGTTATCGTATCTCACATAATAACTTTTGTTTGGATGACGCTATTGGGCCCAACACTCAGTGGGTGGTTTCAGAAGGCTTCTTTTTGTCTACTATTTGATCTAATGTGAATTGCAGTAGCTTGGACATAGTTCTCTGTGCTCAATGCTCAACTTGGGGCAGAACCAACTTTTTTGACAATATACGAATTTTGTAAATCTGCTGCTGTCTATTTGTAATAGCTGTCACTTTGTATTTCAACTTATTGGGGACATTAGTTGGAAATTGAAAAATATGGTCATTAGCTACCACTTAGTTTGCCCATTGGGGCATGTTGCTAGAGCCATACATGGATGATTTTATGCAGTCTTTCCATTTTGATGTCATCATTTTTGCATCAATATGCATGCTTGACACAGATTAGTAGCCAAAAACTTAGTTCAATGTAAAGTACAAAGTTATCAGAGATTGATACATTAGTTATCTCTATATCAATATCCATTGATTTATCAAAATATGCTTCCATGTACTTGAAAGCTGGTCAAGGAGTTGGTCCTATTTTACCCAAGTATGGTTGGACTGTCTGAGGTGACATGGTCTAACATCTATGGACCATAAAACTGACCTCATCAGATGGCTTTTTTCTACAAAAGACTGCCTAGATGCAAATCAATATTGGCTTCCTGCTGTATCTTGATTATATCAAAGCCTGTTACACAACTTCCTAAATACTTTATTGACAGTATGGCCCTAATTTCCAAATTCAGCAGCAAAAATAAGTTCAGGTCTGATTCATCGCTATCGAATTGGTACAGTAGCCAATGAACCCATGCAGTCATCAGTTGGTACGTCTTTGTATCTCCTTACAACTTCTCAATGTGTAGTCCCAAACCTAGCAATCCACTACAGTTTCATTTGTAACAAGAAGGTTGAGTCTAAAAAACATGCTATCAACAATGTTGAACAAAGGATTGTTGTGCTTCGGCGCTGAAAAAAATGTTTCTAATTGCTGTCTTCAGTAAGGCAGGAAGAGATACAAACTTATGAGCCCAAAAGGTCTAGCTCCAAGGGAAGTTGTTTGAAACTTCTATAGATTTATACCACTTTCCCCTGCACTAGTAGAGTTTTTCTTTATATAAAGGTATACGGGTCAATTTGACCCATGTTAGTAGGGAGAGGAATAGTGAACCTAAACCTGCTCACCCTCATGCACACGTGCAAAATTAAACATTCATTTTTATTCTGAAATCAAGCATTGTATGTGTAGGTAGCATATCTAGAAGCTCAAAACAATTGGTCCAGTGGTTGACCAGTAATTAACTAAAATGTAGCATTGTCGGGTCAATTTGACCCGCCTTGTAGGGATAGGGTTAACAGACAGCTGACAGGTGTCAGATACAGACTACTCTCAGACTCAGACTATAGTTACTAGTAGTACAGACGGACACAGAGACAGTGATCTAGGTTTAGAATCATCCCTAAAATTTACTAGTCAACGGTTTACTTAGATCTAGAATCTAGCTCTAGAACTAGAATAGTTCTAGATCTAGACTAGTGATAATTAATATTTAATAAATTAATATAGATAAGGGGGAAGAGTAGACCGACACAAAATGATCTTCTAATAATTAAATGGAGTTAATTCCCTTAGCCGAATTTCCCCCACATGATAATCACATGACTAATAAGTAATAATAAACAGTTGGCCTAAATAGCAAATGACGGCACTGAGTGGTTGATCTATTGGCTCTATTTAAAAATAGATCTACTCACCCAGTGTCAGTGCATTTCACTTTAATTTCAGTACTTAGGCCTACATTTAATGCGAAATATTTAGGCCTAATTAGTATATTAATTATATATAGATCTGCAGACCTAGTTAGATAGGGTCTACTAAACTTAAGTCTTAAACTAAAAACTTAAACACTGTCTTAGGTCAGCAGTCCGGGACCACAGTGCAACTGTCCGTCCAGCTGAATAAAACTGTAACAAGTTACATCTGCATTAAAACCTTTTTCAGGATTGAATAGTTTTTGCCATATTGGTAGTTTAGTTACTAGATCTAGATCTAGATTCTAGTTAGAATAAGGACTAGCATGTTGAATTTTGATTTTACAAAAAATAATAAGATTAATATATTACTTAGATTTTGCATTGTAGTGTTGTTGTTACGCCGTTACATTTCTTGACAGCTTGAAAACTCACCTAAACAAACAAAATGGATAATTCAGTGCTGTTGAGCATAGTAGAATATGCCACAATAGGTGTTTCATTTATCATGATGGGATCTGGAGTGTAAGTACTAGATCTAGATCTAGATTCTAAGTAACTAAGCCTTGCTAAGGTGTTGTCATCTAAATTTAGTATTATTTGTTAAAAAAATTAGTAGAGTCTAGTATTAGTATTATCTATGTTTATGTGTACTTAATACTTACTTTGAACTTTCACTTTGGGTAAGCTGTATGCCAAAAAGGTTAACTTGGAGCAAATATTTATATATTTGTATGAATGTATATATATATATATATATATATATATATATATATATATATATATATATATATATATATATATATATATATATATATATATATATATATATATAAATATATATATATATATATATATATATAGAGAGAGAGAGAGATAGGCATATATATATAGGCATATATATATAGGCATATATATATATAGGCATATATATATAGGCATATATATAGGCATATATATAGGCATATATATATATAGGCATATATATAGGCATATATATATAGCTATATATATATATATGCATATATATTTAGGCATATATATATATATATATATATATATATATATATAGTTTTAGTTAGTGTTCAACTAGATCTAACTATTAATTATCCTAAGGGGGTGGCGTGGTGAAATGGTAGAGCGTTGCATTTGGCTGCTAGCCAAATACTCTGAGTTCTGCGTGAGTTTGGATCTTGGTTTCGGACTTGTGACTGTAGGATGATGTTCCTGAGTCCACCCAACTGTAATTGAAACCTTATTTACATTGGGGAAAGTATTGGCAGCTAGGCATAGTGCTGATCACACCATCCCTTCATATATTGAGGTCAAGAGACATGAACTCTACTTCATCAGCCCAATGGACCACAAGGTTGAAAGAGGAATCTTTACTTTTTTACTAATCATACTTATGTTGGTGATGCAAGTAATTGATTTATATATAGGCTATAGATATCTATTTATTTTTACCGAAAACTTCCAACTGGAAACAATAGCTTATCTTTAACCAGTGTTGATTGTAGAATTCAGACACAAAGTTCTTTTTTTATCATTTCAAACCTGGCAGTCCATGGGGCAGATTAAATGGGTGTAGGACAAAAGGCCGACATCCAAAAGGCCGACAAGACAAAAGGCCGACACTGACAAAAGGCGGACACAGACAAAAGGCCGACAGGACATAAGGCCGACAGACAAAAGGCCTTTTGTCCATGTTGGCCTTTTGTCCGGATCCCAGATTAAATAGAGTTCACCTGTTCCTTTGACCTCGCCATAAGGGACATAGGCGTCAGTACGCCTATACTGTGCCCAGCTACCTACTCCTTAATGGAAGGTGAACTGGGTGGATTTTAGCCCAGGTTCCAAATATGGAACTTTTTTGTTTAAAAATCATGTGGTCTATCCCCCACAAAGTTATAGACCTATTAATAAGAGACAATAATGGCTAGATTTACAAACATGAACTTCATGGTAAAGTAAAAGTTGTCTGAGAATTTTTATATTCTGGGAAAATATGAGAATTCTTTGTAACTATTGTGTGGCTGTGTAGTAAGGCACAACTAGTGTTTCTTTCAGATATTATTTTCTGGTAGGCGGGGTGGAGAGGGGACAGTGCCTCCCTGAAAAAGATTCCCTAAAGAAATTCTGAACACAAAACATTTGTCTTGGGCCAAAGCCTTTAGGACTTCCTGGAGTCCACCCATCTCTGTTAGGTTACTGTTAGGTAAAGTAAAAGTGACTGGGCATAGAACTGACACATTTATCCCATCACATACCAAGGTTATGGAAATATGGAACTTTTCTTCATGGCAGACTGCCATGTCCACAGAGTTTCTTCCAGGCATCTCTCTGCGCCCCCCCCCCCCCCGAAGAAAGTCCACCGCCTCCCCAAACAAGATGGAATTTATGTAGTAAACATACACTTTTACTAGTGTGTGTGTGTGTGTCGTCGTCGCCCCCCCCCCGCCCCCCCCCCCCCCGGAGAAAAAAGTCTGGAAGAAACACTGCATGTCCAAAAGGGTATCTTTACTTTTTATGCTATTGTTTGACTAACTCAAACTAACATTAATGTAAAAATGTTTTGATTATTTCACATACTTTTTTCTTGTGTTACAGGCCAGGATGTGTTAAAATGTACAAGACAAAAGAGACAAAAAATGTACCATTATCTATGTATCTGATATTTGCTCTTATGTAAGTTATTTTTTAAAAGCTTTTTTAAAATACTCTATAAATTCTGGTCTAGTAAAAATCTAATTCCAGTTTCTTTAAAATTATCTGTTGATAAAATTCAAATACAATTCACAAATAAAATGTATTGTTTTGTTATTTAAAAGTTTAATGCTCCCTGGCAGGACAAAACTGTATCAAAGTAGGATTACCCATTCTAGTAGCTATTGTTAGTCTGGATTATTGTAGTAATAGAAACCAAGAATAATTTTAGTAGTGTCCTGCTTGCCAACAGATATATCAAACTTTTTGTTGTTCAGAATTACAATTATTCTATGGGAAATAGTTTCAAGTGTAATATCTAATATGAAAATTGATAAATGTTAATTATCATTATATATAAGCATGTTGTAGGCATATATATTGTATTTCAATGTGGGCTGTATTAATGTACATTTATATCTGGTAGGACTACCTAACAGAGCTATGGTATTCAGTTCAAGCAATATTCATTTAATGACTGACAAATGTAGGAAATAGTTTAATTTGTTCAGAGATCATGCAAAATCTTTTTTAAAGGTGAAAAAATGACAACAAAGCATGTACGAAATTTATATACAAAAGTATATTATATAAAAATATCTAGATCTACAATTGGTTCCCAGAAAAAAGCGCCACATAGAAAATGGCTCAAAGACCATTAATGCAATATGTGTGCATGTTTGTAGCCTATGTGTCTTGTATGTATACATTAATACATAGAAATACATTTCATTCTCATTACTGTATGTATATACTGATATATATATATATATATATATATATATATATATATATATATATATATATATATATATATATATATATATATATATATATATATATATATATATACACATATATATATATACACATACTGTATATTACTGAATGTATTTTAATAAATAAATAAATGCCTTCTCCCTTTCTGAAATCCAAAAACCATTAATTGATCAGATTTTCCGATTAGATATAGATCTAGATGATTTTAACTACAGATGCTTAGATCATAGGTGGTTAGACCATAAGTGTTTAGCTCACACGTTGTTTCTTCACCATGTTGGTTTCATCACAGATGATTTAAATAGACAGTTACACACCTACACCTACAACAACTTCTGTTACACACACCTACACCTACAACAACTTCTGTTACACACACCTACACCCACAACAACTTCTGTTACATGTGTTTTAAAGGCTTGGTTAAAATAGTCTAGAACACAGGGATAGTGTGCTTAAGAGTTGACTTTAACCGTGTGTTTATGTATTTTTACCTTAAGTTCAAATGGGGGAATAAAAGTTGTGTGAACAATTTTTAGAGCGTCTTTTGGGTTTAATAGCTTGTAGTTTGATGTTGTGTAGTGTGAGAAAGAATAGAGGACTAAACAGTTTAAATCATCTTGTTTGAATTGAATAAAAGTGATCCTCAGTAACATTTACATCCTCATCCATACCTCTACCTACACCATCTACACCTACACTTTTACCACCAACACAACCTACATATAGATTCCTCTAAAGACTATTGGGCAGGTGAAGTAGAGTTCATATGTTTCTTGACATTGGTATAATGTGGTCAGCACTCTGCCCAGCCACCTTTACTTTTCCTAACATGAGTTAGGTACCCATCAGAACTGGATGGACTCAGGGACGTTCCACTGACTTGAACCTGGATTCTAACTTGAGACTTTTGGGTAAGCACTCTACCATCCATGCCGTCCCATACACAATCTACATGACCCACACTTACACCTACCTTTGGCCTACAACATATCTTTACCTACATCTACACCTTCACTGCCAACCTACACTTAAACTCACAGCTACCTCCAATCATTCCACTTACCAGCCAGCCAGCTAGCCAGCCTGTCTGTCTCTCTGTGTTTAGATGTATGGACAAACCAGGATCACACAAACGCTGGGCCACAGAGGACTCCAATATTTCATTTTAATCATTGATTGTAGTAGCCCACCATATCACTAGTGTAGGGTGCTCTTAAAATGAATGTAGGCACCATAGTGCTCACAGGGGAAACTAGTGCAATTTAGCTGTTTAGTGTAGTAGCCCAACAGTGTAGGGTTACATTTAAAACTAATGTAGGCGCTATAGTGCTCATGGAGAGGAGGGGGGTGGGGGTAGTCATGGTAACACAACAGCCTAGGAATGCCACTGGTACAGATTAGGTAGGACATCTAGATAATGGACCCAGCTGCTAAGATATCCACATGGGAACTCAGGATGCCACCCTTCTGATATTTACTATTTTTTAATAGAAGAAACACTCAATGGGATGTATTCAACAATCTTCCTAAGTTTCATGGCGATTGCATAAATGGTGTAGTAATGTATATAGACATACAGACAGATACTTTTTTTAATGTGTTTAGATTTTGTAGTCATGCACTTTTAATTTTGTAGGAAAGGTTTCTTTTCTTGCCTATCTGTAAATATAGGATGGATTTATTGTACATTTGCAGAAATCTCCTTAGCCTTCAGTATGGAAAGCTTTTACAAAATAGCACTCTAATTCTGATCAATGTTGTTGGCTTGTCAGTTTGGGGAACCTGTATTTTTATCTATATTTTGGTCAGCAATCCTAAGGTAGACTTATGATTTATTATACTACAGAATCTGTTTTATATATACTCAATATCTATGTAATTTTAACTATTTTAAGTTAAAATTTTAAAATAAATTTAATTATAATACATGTCATAATGAAAAGATCAAAACATGTGCATAATTTAATTATAATTTTTTCATATAGAAAATAGAATCAACATTTGAATGCATAATGCATGTTTTATAGGTTGATGTAGCATATGCAACATTAAAAATATTTATTTGTGCTTTATTACTGTAATTTGCTTCTTTTTCTATATTAGAAAGTTTATTTTTTGTGCTCAGCATATGTGAAGTTACATGTGCAAAGGCATAGCTTTTGTATTTTAATTTATATTGGATATAGGCCTATGTGTATATATAATTTATTTATTTATAGTTATAACTATTTCAGACCACACCTTTGTTAAAACTCTTCACATTGATTGGACTATACATGTCAAAAATGTATTACCTCAGTATTATCCCTCAAACTGAAGTTGTTCCTACTTTAGGGAGTTACCTCATGTTTTGGTGTATCATGTTATCTGTTATTCCAGTTTTGGAAATAGTAAGTTTATGCGCAATCTTCTACTTAAACAATAGTTTGTATTAATATCTTGAAGAATTTATAGGGAAAAAAATACTTTAGAATTTGCATTTATTAATTCATCCACTTCTTGTAAAATCTTTTTTTTTCCCTAACTTTTCTTTTAAAGATCAAAATAGTTTCTGAAAGATCTGCAACCTGCTGTGATAAGTCAATAATGTTTGGAGCAACATTAAGTGCTTCTGTGTGGTGCAGTTATGGTGTACTTATTAGTGACATCAATATTTATGTAAGTAACATTTTTCAAGACTATAATGATTAATAATATTAATTAGAATTTTTTAAAAAGTCATTAAAATTTTATCTTTAATGAACATTCTAATTGACTTTCACTTTAACTCTTTCAAGACTATTTTGACTTGAGATTTTAAAAAAGCTACGTGCATGGACACTTGAGAAAACATTCCTTAATTTCAGAATATTTTGTTTAAAAAGTAGTGAGAAGCCCATACTACAGTGTTAGATGTGGCTATAAATAAATTGTTCTTATGTATTTTTCCTCCACAGGCTCCTAACTTCCTGGGTTTAGTTATCAATGGAATAAAAATTATTTTGGTCTTTGTTTTTGGTACCCAATCCAAAAGCATACATATAGATTAGGCTGATATGGACTAAAACTTTTGCAAAATTTTCAATAGGAATTTTATTTATCCTTTTGCACCACCTAATTTCATCTTATTTTATAATTGTTAGTTAATATCTGTAATTTGCTAAATATATAATAAATATGTTTGTAGTCTGTTCATTAAAATTACAGGCAGTTTAATAGGATAACAAGGGTTAATTAAGCTACTTGAACAGGATTAGAGAAGGTAATAACTGTATCATACATAACTAAAAGATTATTTTTTATTTTTCTTTAACTTGAGGCCTATACAAATGCCAAATTAGTGTTACCGTATTCCTGTTCTATTGTATTATTTTTAGATCCAATAACTAAAACTAAAGTTACACTTTGGAATGTTTTGGTCTGTGGGGAATACGAAATAGTGTTGACTTTTTTTCTGTGACCTCAGCTTAGGTTCAGTATGCCCAGCTGTTTTTACTTCCTCAAATGTGGATCAGGTACCCTAGGTTGATGGAGAGAATTTTAGTGTTAGCAGTCATGCACCATCCCATAAATAGTAATTTAATAATATTTCTGACAATTTCATTGGTGCCTTGTGATTGCAATTTTGGTTTTCTGAGTGCAGGAATTTCTTTAAAAATGTAAACTGATGTTGGTCAAAATTATTTGATTGAGAAGTTTAAAACTATCTGCATTTAAGTTTAGTTGTATTTTTTAATGCAGGGGTGAAACTTCCCCCCCCCCCTCAAATCATCATCCCCTAAAAAATCTCTTAAATTAAATCTTCATTTATTTTTAAGCAGTTTTTCTATTTCTATTCTATTTATTCAGATAAAATGTATAAATACTTTTAACTGATGGATTTTAAGATAAAATCCTCATGTATTTTAAGCAGTATTTTTTCTAAATCTGTTATAACTATCATTTATAACATGTGTTAAGTTTTAACTCATAGATGTGCTATTTGAAGATAAATATAACTTTCTTAATAATACCTTTACGCTAGCTAGTCAGCTTTAATGAAGTTAGAAATATAATGTATTACTATTGCCTGTGTGAAATTTACATATTCTGAGTTACACCGTCATGCCAGATGTTCCTAAAGCCATGATAAGCATAATTTTTATTGAACATGCAAATAATTTTTTATGCGTGCCATGTTATAATTTATACACACACTATTGATTATGGGAATAGTTTTATAATATTTTATTGTATCTATTTTCACAATGTGATAAAGGAAATTTGTAAAAATAAAGAACAGTATATATATTACTAGCCGTCCCGGCCAGGCCCTGCTCTGGCTTCTGTGAAAAACCTTTCTGTTAAAGACCATTACCTGTGTGTTTAGTAATCATCATAAACCCGGCATTGCCCACCCAAACCACAACCAACCAAAACCAAAACAACAAAACGCAAACATAACGCTAACACAATTACAAATACAAACGAAAACAAAAACTTAACAACAAACACAACCACACCCACAAACACCAATACAAACACAAAGAAAAAACAAACAAAAAAGCAAACGAAAACAAAAACCTAACAACAAACCCAACCACAAACACCAATACCAACAAAAAAAAAATCAACGAAAAAAGCAAACGAAAACAAACCAAATCCAAACGCAAAACCAACCAAAAACACAAATACAAACCCAAACAAAAAAAACACAAACAAAAACGAAAAAGAAAGAACAAAAACGAACCAAATTAAAACGCAACCACTAACGCAAACCCACCTAAACACAAAGAAAACACTAACGCGAACATAAACGCCCGGGGCGGAATCACCTGTTTTAGCTTAATGAACGACTATAGTACCCCAACTTATTCACAGTCTTTTGCACTCACTTAAACGAACGCGCCTGTTTCAATTTAATAAACAATTTTAATACTCCAAGCTTATCCGTAAAATACCTACAACATTTGCACTTGATCAATCCCCGCTAATTATGTAATTATTTTTTTTCCCAACACCAAAACAAAGTAATTAAAAAGTAAATTATTTTCACGGAATGCAATGGTTTTTATAAAGGGAAGTAATTGTGTTTTTCCTAATTTATCAAAGGGAAGTAAGTGCTATAGGACTAAATAAAGACATAATTAGAATTTTTGTAAAAGATGATATTTTTTTTAAAACTTGTGTTTAATGAACATGCCGACAATTATTACTATAATTTGAAAAATGAAAATTATTTCCCAACACTTTCAATAGTAATTTTTTAGCTCATAAATTTAGACAAATGCGCACGATAATTTTTCTAACACTTAAAATCGTACAATTCCAACGACATACAAATGCATTACATACAGAACTGAGCTTTATATATTAGATATGCAGTTTTTTAATGTGATTTTTTAAAATTTAACCTTGACACTATTTAACTTTAACTGTACAACTTTGTATTGTATTACATTTATCGAAGATGGACACTAAAAACTAGTCTAGAAGATCCAGATTTTGCAGACGACAACTCTACTAGCCAGAAGTAAAAAAAGATAGACTTATTTACTTTAGTAGTTATCAGGCAAAATACATCTAGTCAAGTGCCTATTAAAATAATCAACACACAAGTAGAGGAAGTATAAGATTCACATATTTAGGCAGCATTGTCAATTATGAAGGAGACTGCACTGTTGAAATTAAAGCATGCATGTAAAGCCAAACATGCCTTTACAACCATGCAAAAAACATGGCGATCTAAGAAAATCTCCACCAAGACCAAATCCAGACTTTTCAAAAGTAATGTCCTTAGCGTCCTACTGAAAAGTAACAACCACCACCAGCAGATCACTGGATTCTTTCTAAACCAAGTGATTGCAAAGGATAAAAGGCATCCACTGGCCTAACACCATCTCAAATAATACATTCCTTGGAGAGATGGAAATGGATGCAGTTTCCATGATAATCAAAAGAAAAATAACGCAGGGAAGGCTAGAGGAGACATGAAGGCGCACAGCGAGGAAGCAGCTGGCTGAGGTAGGACTGTCATGTGGGGGGCTGCCAAGAAAATTGCCCATGACAGACAAAAGTGGAGGGAGCTTTCTGTGGCAGCCCTATGTATCTTTGGCACAAAAGGAAAAGATGAAAAGACTATGACAGCAAGGTTTAATTATGAGTTGCCATTTTTGGTGGCATCTGATGGCTTAACTCAGGATTTTTAAAACTATTCATCTCAAGTCCATCTTCTTAAGATTGATGATACCTGACATCAAGACACTGCAGGAGTGATCTCGGTCAGTATTAAAGAATTGTATGAACACTGCTAGATTTAGTAGAGTAATATGATGCTGTATAAAGAAAATGCCAAAAAATTCTATACGAGTTTAGGATCATTAAATATAACTGGGTGTTCTTCATAAAAATAAAAGCTACCTGTACATGGAGACTAGATCTGTACAAAAAGGGTAAGTTGAAGGGAATGTGAATAATTAACATGGCTATTGCACTGATAGGAGAGATTAAGAACCACACTACACAAGGTTTCTACCAGTATTTTATTAAGCCATAACTAAAAATGTATGGAGACAGCTGAGTAATGTAGATAATTGTGCATTTCATCAATACAAATTTTTAATCCAATCCCTCATTTTTCTAAAATGAATAAATACCATCCAGCAACACATTTAGACAACAAAATTGTAGCAGCTTTTAAATGGGGCATTTATTGATCCAAAGAAATAGTTGACTTCACTTTGAAACCAAGCACAAAAATAAACATGAGCCCATGTACAGTGGACCAATCACCACTTGGCAACAAAAACAAGACAGATAAGATGGTTTTTAAAACTAAACTGTACAACAGATTTTACCATATACAATAATTTTTTTTTAGTTTCGTTTTTAACATGCAGAATAAACAGACACTCAAATTATTTTACACAGATTAATCCACAGTTAATCAATAAAGACTATCACTAAGTGAATGATTGTTAAAAACAAGACTACCAACATACATGACAAAAATGCGAAAAAACAAAATTTTAATGATCAAAAATTCTAATGTGCAGTCATTGTTAATACACTTCATTAAATTTAAAACTACATCTCCCTCCAAAGAAAGCTACATGTTTATTAGAATAGTATAATTTTTAAAATTTAAAAAAAGATCAGACCAAATCAAATCTTTAAAGAAAGTGATAAACATAGTATTAAGCCTCATTTACAACCATGTAACTACATACAGTTTTAAAAATGTAAAAATTTTTGTTGAAACAAAAAAATGTTTATATAATGTGTAAAATGATGTAACTGTGCAATGGTCCCATAATACACCTATTTACAAAAAAATCTTACTGTTTTCCCACACATAAATACCTAATTTTCTCCAAACTACAACAAATCAGCATGACCCAGCGAAGTATATTTTTTTATAATTCATACAATGGAAAAAAAAGTAGCTTTTTCTTTTAAATTAAACTTAATAATTTCAGTAGTCTCAAACAAGCTAACCTGGGGAATTAATTGGGAAATCAGCAAACATTATTCAAAATGAAGATGCAACTTTTTATTAACACAGGTAATGTTAAAAGAAGCAAGCTGGTTTGAAGGTCTATAATATGAATGTGTGTAAATCTTATCACTTTTAATAATAATAGTATACAAAAATTTTACTTTTGGTGTTTTAAAGATTAAAACTATCAACAAACATGTTAAAGTTTATCAAATATATTACAAATTCCCAGTTGATGGCATAACTGACTTTATGTAATTCCTTTAGTATATTTATTTTGGAACCTTAATTCTAAACATGTTCAAAATGAAAAATATTAACAAAATTCTGATTAAACCCACCTTTAAAAAGCTGTAACAATAATTTAGAAATGTGTGGTATTAAATGTAATTTTTGCATGTAGAGAATAACATAGTAAAAAAATGCACTGTAAATCTAAAGAAAAAGGTTAATACTTGATTTTTTTTTTACTTAATTAAAGTATGCACATGAATTCAAATAATTTCTTGTATGTTGTTCAAAAACATAAAGTTGAAATATATTATTTAGGTGTTAATTATAAGTAATATCTACATCTGATGTACATATCTGATGTACATAACAGCTATTACAGATTTGTCCACAATAAATAAAAATAAAATACTGTTTTCCAATTGAATTAGTGTTCCAAAATGTTTGAATTTCCAAGTTATTTTCAATACTTTTGTCTCTTTATGAAGCATTATTAGGTAAACTAAATCTGTAGTATCCAATAAGTAGTGAACAGGATTTCAGCTGAAATGAAACAGGTTAGCTAATCTAAACTCTAATGAACACAAATAAAAGCATAATTTAGTCACAAATGCATAAGAAGTATTATATATTTCATAATTTAAATACTGTACAATTTATAGGAGTTATAAAACAAAATCACATGAAGGACTATGAAAAATACTATGAGATATGGCAAAAACAAAAAAAAAACCCACCCAAACTTATACCGAATTAATACACTAATATAAGTAGTTAGCAATAAATTTTTACTCAGCATGATCAATTATTATTCTTATAGTCTAAAACGTATAATATGCAGGTTAAGTAATCATAGAACCTACAGGAAATAGAACAAAATTAGTTCTTTTTCATCATCCAGTAAAGTAATTTTCATTGCAACTTTTTAAACTCTATGCATATAAAAGTTTAAAATATCAAGATATAACATCTCATTTTGATTTATAATACACTATACAATTAATTAAAATATGTATTAAACCTATCATGTTTATTGTAGTGAGTTAAACATGTGACGGAATTTCAATCACTAAGTTATTTGCAAAAAAAAATTTTAAAATTGCTGAGATTAATAAATAATTAAGATGAGATTTATGAATAATTATCTTTAAGTTCAATGAATGGTGTATCCATTTGCTGAAAAAGTTCTTAAAGAAAGTAGTTGCTATGTTTCTTTGGCTAAGAGCTAATTTAAAAAAATGTATGCATTAAAAGCTTTGAACATAAAGTAGGAAGTGACAAGACCACATTAATATCACACAAGACATTACACCTGCTGCAACTAGGACTGATTTTTCTAAGTAATATAAAGAACTAGTGCAGAATGGAAATAGACCAAAAAAAAATTACAAAATGCAAAAGATTTTACATTATATTTATTTTTGTTTCCTCATTAAATGTTGAGTTCATTCAGGACCATTTACTTTTAAATGAAAACAAATCTTATAAAAATAAAAATTTGGTATGCTATAAGAATGATTATAAATTATCAAACAATATAATGTTGGATAATTTTTGTCAGATGATTTTACTTCTAGCTGTACCTTTCGAAATCAAAAATTTCTAATTATATGGAATGTTGAAACAATAACTTAATTACTAATATAAAGAGTGCATAAACCTTAATGGTGAAGCCATTAATTTATAACAAGTTACTTTTCTTTTAATTTTCATGATAAATCAGATTCATTTAATGGATGTTAAGATATGTAGAAATACATGACAAAAGAAATGATGTAAAAAATAAAAGCGTCATATTTCTAGGTTTGAAAAATGTTATAAGAATTTTGACTTTATTAAATATAAATTGGTAATATTTCCACAACTTAATTTATGAGTTATCTACAATACTACATAGATGTTTTTTCTAAAAAGAAATAAAAAAGGTGACAAATTCAGCCCTAGTTTGACGCTAGTCCCAGATTGGTTTAATACCGGTTTTCACTGCCATAACCTGACACTGCACTTCTGGCTGCTCCGGCAGCAGCATCAGCAGCAACACCCCGAACTGCTTCATTCCTCATCACACCAGAGGCAAACTCAGCCTGAGCTTTCTGAAAACTAGCCCCTGTACTTCTGTAGATGCGGTGCACCTTAAGGAAATGGTTTAGAAATGGTTAGTTCATCTTCTAGTAGCTTTAACAATACAAAAATACACTATCTCTAAAAAGTATTAATCTAAAAGTAACTAGGATCAATCCATTTAATTCTAGACATTTAGAATTCCATTTTGTACATTAACACTCAAAGAGTAATAAATCTTGGGGTAACTCTAATCACTTATGAATTTAAATAAGAAATATTTAGCATTAAAACTCCACTGGCATTTAAAATATAATTGAAATTAATACTTTAAGTTGCATATTCAACTGGATTTCACCATTGTGGTATCAAGTTGATAGCATTGAATATTGGGGGTGGGGGGAGGTGTCATCAAATTATGAGTGGGAAGGGTGTATCTGACATGTTTTTTTATAGGTGGATATGGACTGATTACGAAAAGAATCAGGTATTGAGGATCCCCAGATTAGTTCTAGTTTGACAAAATAAAAAACCAGGCTCTAAATTAATTATCAAGTTAAAATTAATTATAACTACATACTACAATAGTACTAGACAATAAAAGATGCTAATTAAAGCCCATGCATGTGAGGTGTGCTAGAATAAAAATGGAGTTGTATTTTGTGCAAAACAATACAACTAGTTTAGTAAAAATCTATATATATTGGTGTTAACTTATAACCAATACTTTTATTTTGGTTGAGTTGGCATAATATGGCTTATGGGGCATATAAATAAAGAAAGGAGTTAGTTTTATATAATTAACTTAATTTTAAAATTCAACAAGTGATATCTAAGTGTTATCTTAAAGGATTTACAGATATACACAGCTATTTTTTTTAGAAAAATATTTGAAGCATGTGATGTAAACATTATGTGATGTGATGTAATGTTTGTTATTAAATTAATAATTTTAAGTCTTAAAGATCACCAATGTTTTTAACTGAAAAGTCGGACAACATATGAGCAGATTGAACTCTATGTTTAGCAACCATTCTGCCATCGCCTTTCCAGCAGTTGGCTATCAAGTAGTTCAACTTGGTCTAAACTACCAAGCATTCAACTTAATCCTTCAACATGAAATAGCTAGCATAATCCAAAATAAATAAGCAGCTGGTGATGGGTGTTATCCGGGTTAGTGTGTGTGACAAAGCATGAATCTATGGGATGCTGACATAACTCAAGTAGTTATTTGACTTAATAATTTGTACCATTTCTTTAGATATGGTAAATGTTGGTCAAATGTAAATTTACGACAATTTATTATGCAAATGTGATTTGCTTTGCTAGTTGGATATATTGTATGGTCCTTTTTAAAAATAAAAGACTAATAAAACTTAATAGTTAAGTATACTTATGCACCTTTTAAGGGAGCAAAAGAATTATTTTACGATCACGAACTCTTGGAGCCTTTTTTATACTATGCTATTAATTACAAAAACCATGGGAAAACATTAAATAACTGCAATTAACCGTAACATGTTTAATGTGTAAAAATAATACCCCTGAACAAAAATGTAAAAACCAAACAAATAACAAAACACAATAATGCTAGAAGGTATCACTGTCCATGCAACAACAGCTATTTTTAACCGTAATGGTTGAGCTTATTGAAACAATAAAAGCTGGCATTTTATTTTAAATTAACTAAGCAAATCTTGATTGCTGAGCTTTTTTACATGCATTTCTATGTAACCTTTATAGCATTTGTTTGGCGTAAATATTTGTATAAATGCAAACCTTATTTTCAGTCAGTTTAAAACAAGAAACATTAACAGTTTATTCCCCTACCTTTATCAAGTAAACCATTGTAGCCACTGCTTCCAATGTAAAAAGGAAGGCTATAACAAGCATAAAAGCTCCTGCGCCTGATGACTTGCTAAGATTTGAGAGGCCATTTATCCAACCTCTATTCACAAATATGAACAGAATAAGGTACTTACATTTACTATTTGCTAATTATTTACTCAACTAAATGTGTGCACATTTATTGAAAAACTGCATTGTTAAATTCCAAGTTATAATATAACTTGTATAAGTGATATTGACAAACATTTGAATTAAAAAGAGAAAGTAGTAGGAAACATTTAGTTGAATAAACAAATGTAGCAATGTATATTTTCATACAACCATGATTTATAATAATATAAAATAGACAATGTTTAGAATAAATAGTTAGGTGGTCATGTTAGAAATGCTATCAAAGTACCTGTAAAATGGAAAGTATACCACTGAACACTTGTATCTTAACCAATCTATATATTACCACTAAAAATTGACCCAGTGTGATAAAAAGTAAACAAAAAAGGTTTATTAGTGGTTCAAGCTCCCTAAAATCATTTATACTTAATTTAAAATGTGCAGAAAGCAACTGAATGCTGATTTTTTTTGCATTAAAATACTTAATATGCATGCAATGAGCATTTACTTTTAAAGCTCTTTGCATGTTATAGCTAATGGCTCATATTTGCATTTCTCTTAACTCATGCTCACATGCATGCAACATTTAACTGTATTTTACCTAGTTAATAGAGATAGCTTATAAAAGTACATTGACTCGTTTATTTTAATTGTTGCTTAATTTAAAAATTATAATAAAACAAAATGTTGTATTTATAGAAAAAGGGAGATGGTTAAATATTAATATCCTATAAAATTAGATTTTCATTGTTTTATGTATCTAAACTACACTGAAAGCAAGTTGGAATTTATTCCCACTAAAGCATGTGAAATCCAATTAACAGAGAAGCCAATCATGCAGACAGAATCAAAATTACACGTTGAACCTAATCTACCTTGATTAGGATAGCAAATGCCATCACTGCCAAAATGGCAAAAAAAATGCCAATAAAAATCATGATAAGTCCGACAGCTATGTTTTTTCCCACTATTGTCAGACCAGAAATGATTCCGCTGGAGATGGAATAATACAGATGACAAGAAATAGAAATGTCATGAAAACAGTGTTGCTTATCCAATTTACAAATCTAACCAGTTTCTGTAGCTATTGTAGTATTTATTAACCTTCACCGAATGTCGTGGGTAGAATACACCCATTTTCATTTTTAAATGTCTGCCCTAGGCATACCATTATCTACCCCGTCTACTATAAGAGCACAAAAACACATTTTTATCATGATGAGTTTTGGTCCATTAAAAATCAGTATCGCTGTAAGTACATCATGGCTGGGAAAACATGCCACAGAAGAAAAAAGCAAAAAAACGTATGACATGAACTTTAATGTGGATGCCAAAACAAACTAATAAATCAAGGGACATTACTATTCTGATAGATTTGGATGGGACACTTAACCCACAAATTTATGGGATAACTGATGAATGTGTACCTGTGTCACAACACTGAATAAATTGATTTTTTTTTAGGAAATCTTACCCCAACCCATCACATAAAATCTGATCCCACCTCTGAAATGATATCACAAAGTTCTAAATACACCCCCCCCCCCCCACAAATAAACACAGATAATTTACCCATTTTGTTTTACATCTTATGTGGACTATAAAAAGGTGCCATGTTACAGCTCTTCAACCCCCCACACCTTTTACCATTGCATTACTATGGTTAGTAAAAAAATAACCTCCCTCTTAGTAGATGACATCAGTGGATGGCAATTATGCAAGCTTGTATAAGTATTGTTGACAGACGGTGAAGGTTAATAATTTCCGTTAAAAATAACAAAAGCAAAAGTATACTTACACTGTAAAATTAGTAATGCCCAAACACTGGACCACATAAACACAAAATTGGAAGAAAAATATGAAGAAAAACACAAAGAAATTGAATGAGCTGTCACTCCTGCAAAAAATAATAATTTTTATTTTAAATCTATAAAAATCTCTATCTATGATTTCCAATTAAATGTATTACTTGTGTAAACTTTCTCTGAGAAATTTTACCAATTTTTAAAGGAAACGAATCAATAAAGATCTTGCAACTACAGTCAACTATTTAATTTTTAAAAGACTGTCTGAAGCAGCTAAGTATTAAGAAGTACCTACTGTAGTTAAAAATGAAAAGTTTTATTTTAAAATTTTTATAGTAAAGCAATAATTGTTATAATAGTTATATATAGAAAAATTACCTAAATGCCTTGTAAAGTGGCCGATACCAGCACACAAATGAGCAAGGTGTAAACAAAATAAACCAGAGAATGGACAGACCAAATGTTGCTCCACCACTACTACTGTCAGTAATAAAGTATGCCATGCTTCCTAAAATATTCAGGAACAGTACAAACACGTGAACTGTAAATAAAAAAATGTTAGAAATGAATAGATGCATTGAAAATATTAACATTAATTTAAATTGTAAATATTCTTAAACAATCCTATGAATTTCAACCATTGTTTGTTTGTTTTTCAATCGATAAGCCTTCATACTTTTTTGACAGGAAGAAAAACTAAATAATGAGGACTAACTCTTGAACATTTCTTTTTAGTGTATTAACCACTTGCTATTAACAATTTAAATGTAAGGGCATATTTCCTAAATTTCCAAAGAAAATAATGTTTTCATAATTTAACTTTTCTATGGAATTTTAGGAGCTTTCCAGGATTCCTAAAATTTTGAAGGCAATATATTTTGCCTAAAATTTATTAGTTTTCAAAAATTTCCTATTAAAAACTTTTCCTTCACAAAATCTGAATTCCAACAGGGAAACTCCGCATTTGAAAATTCTTTTTTCATTTCCTGTTACTCTCCACCCGTACACAAAATGCTGTATTAAATATAAATTCAATGTTCTCACAGGAACTATCTTCTTTTTAATATCACTAATAGTTATATCATAAGCAAAGCTTGATTCAACAACAAAGGTACTTTTATTAGTTTTGTTTTCACTCAGTAATTTAGAATAACAAATTTTCTATACTTTAAAAAGACTAACAAAAATTACAACTAGTGATAAATTAAGCGTAGTTTCTGTTGCTACACAGAAATTAATGAACAATTAGTAGTTTGAGCGCATTAAGACATTACCAAAAAGAATGTATAAATAATACTTACACCACCAAAGATAATATGCTATTTTGACAATCCTTTGAAATTCTAAGGGTATATCTACATTAAAATCTTGATAAAAGCATGGACCTACAGGGAAAAATTTGGGCAATGGGGGCCAGTTGTTTTCCCTCTCTGAAAAAAATAAATACGAACAAAAAAGCTGATTGTAAATTACTGATAATGATAATGCTAAGAACAATCTATAATGAGGGAGAGGGATAATTCTCTAAGAAAGCATTGTGTGTGTGCAAAATATATTTCTGTGCAGTACTCTGTAATGACTTATATTATTTTATTAAATGACTGAGTGGTAAAAGTAAATATGTGACCAATCAATATTCAATTTAAAAATTATTTTAAAACTTACTTCCTGAAAAATTAGCATTTTTTAACTCTTGCTCTTTTCTCTGTAATTCAGCAGCTTTTCTTTCAAGCTCCTATAATAAGAAAAACAGAAAATAACTTAGGAGAAATCAAATAAAAAAATAAAGATGCATACATAAACTAATAGAATATATATACATGAAAGTTAATCAGATGAAGCTTACAAAAAAAAAAAAAACAACAACTATGTAATTATGGACACTGTAACATCAGTACCTCAGGACAGCAAATGCTATACAGTAAAATGTTAAAATAAGATTCTTACCTGCTACAAGATCAATAAAATATTTTTCGTTGTTTAGTTTTGATTATGTCTTTTTAAATAAGCACAATACTCATAATGTTCTTACCAAACAAATTATTAAGTATCAATATAAAATGTATTTTGTTTCCATAAATTTAAAAAAAAAGAGTGAGAATGGGCTTATTTTATAGGGGAAAATGTGGTGAGGTTATGAAGCAAAAAGAAATTAAGCTATAGAACAACATAGTCTATTGGAATTTTGTAGGTACATTGGTGTTGATCATGTGTGTTTTTGTTGAAGCAATAACATAAGCAAAACAGAGAATATAATGATCAACTTGAGATGAACATCTTTTTCACATTCATGAGGGCTCAATGTTAAGTGTTAAAGCTTTGCTATTTTACCTCTATTTGAGTCTTCCAAACTTGAGAATTTTATGCCATTAATTTTAACATAACAATGTGAAATGTCTAAGGGGTCATCCACAAATGTCATCACAATTCAAAACCCCCCTTTCAACTTCACACACTTTCAAAAAGGCCAGACCTTCCAACACCGTACAACGGCATAAATCTCAGTCTACCACCACATTTATATTAAAATTTTTGTTTTTTTTAAAAAGCGATTTCCATCTAAATGATTAACTGAGCTCAGCAAACATTGAGTTTTTCAATGAATTTTACTACAATCAAGAAGTCTTTTAAAGATGAAAATAACTTCTAACACTCAGTTTCTAACTCTGTTAAATGCAAAAGTGTGTCATCACATTCCCACCCCTTCCTGAGTCATGCATCATCACAAAAATTCTATCTCTCTCTGTTCTGTCTTTCTCTCTCCCCCCCCCCCCCCCCCCCCGAGTGACAGCATTTATGGATGATACCAGATGCAGGAATTTTATATTAAATTTATGAATAAAGTTTTACAATTATATTTGTACAATTAGGACATAAAATCTTTGACATGTATAGACTAAGCTTTGGTTTAGTTGCGGGGGAAATGTAAATGCATTTGTCAATGGGAAAATATGTTCACAATTTTAAAATAAAGAGTGAATAAGAATTACTTATCAATTTAAAAAAAAAACAATATACTAGATTGTACTAAACAAGCAAGCTGGTGATTGGCATTTTTTTAATCAGGACAGTAAGGGGGATGGATTATCATAAAATGGCTTGTTTGCGAGTTAAGTAACAACAGAAAACAGGAGGAGTATGGCCAAAGAGTAGTTTCTAGAATCAAAATTGATATCTACTCAGCAGCAATGACCTGAAAAACATTTCTGGAACAAGCATTGATGGTCTCTGGAACATGGTTTGAAAGGATTAACTAAAATTATGACTAACCTCCTCCCTTTCAAGTAGTGATGCAAATGGCCCCAGCAAAGGTGAATGCTATTTTAGAATGTAAAATGACTAATATGTTCAGGGTTTTTTTGTCCCATAATATGATTTTTTTTTATCAAAGCAGATTCAAGTGTGCACAAATTAACCCTCTAAAGCCATTTTATGAAAAAGATTTTTAAGAGGGAGTTCAAATATTCAGCATCTCGTGACATTTTTAAAATTCAAAACTTGTTTGTAGAGATACAATTCGAAAGGGAATAAATATCGAATGATGGATGGGTTATTTAGCAACTTTAAACTGACCTCTCCTATATCGTTGTGGACACTTGTATCTACATCCATGACATACTCTGACTAATAGGAAGCATTTGACTATAAAGTTAACTTTTATTACTGAGAATATAACTACCATTTTCTAAGCAAAAATCCAAATTGAGTTATTAACAGTACAACTATCAACTACACATGCCTAGCTATTAGAGCAATCAAAAGTTGAGAAGCTTTAAAATTATAATTACTTCTCACATATAATTCAATAGTTAGCATATAACAAAATAAAAAAAACAAATTTAAAGTCTTCATAAAAACAATAGTAAAAATCTAATTATAAAAAATACCTCTTGTCTCTTCTGCAGTTCGCTTGTATCAACTTTCTGAGCACCTACTTGCGAATATGGGGGAGGATCTTCAGAGGGAGTCATTATTGCTGGCTGTGTTTGTGCTGATCGAGGTGGTGGAACACCCTAATGACATATATCAAGATTTACATTGTTTTCAACGTCACAACAATAATAAATTTAGTTTTTTCTTTTTCCATAGTTTTAATTACAACATTATTGCTATTATTTATTCAATAGAACAGATTGATAATCAACACTAATGAAGTTGAAAATGGAGTCAACAAATTAAAGTATTAAGTAAGTAGGTGATTTATTTATCTGATCAAGTAAACTAAATTATAAAATACAAACTTGATTTGCAGGACGAGTTTGATTTCCATCAGCAAAGGGGTTGAAGTCATCTAAAGCTCCCTGCCTGTGACCACCCCCAGCAGCTTGCTGAACAGATGGGTCCTGAGGGGGAAAAAATTAAATAAAAACATAAGCCACTATTTTTTTATTAAAAAACAAAACTGATTCTTTGGTCCAGTGGTTTATTGTATGCTTGGTTTTTTACAGTTACTTGCTTGTGGGTAAAACTCCATTTTAGCGTATTTTATTCTCCGTTGCTTGTTTACCTCCAGTTGAGCGTATTTTATTATAATAACCGAAACACACCAAAACATTAGAAAAACACGACTTATTTTTTGTATTGTATTTTTGTTTTCACAAATGAATAAAATGAATGTTTAAAAAACACGACTTATTTATTTGTATTGTATTTTTGTTTTAACAAATGATTAAAAAACAACAAAGAGACTGACTGAAGTGCTTTGTTTGTTGGTTACAAAAATAGAGATGCACACTTTGTACAATTAAGGTTTCCAATTTCAACTAAACTGAATTAAAGCATTAAAAGGCACAATAATGCTGCCGAAAGTGGGCCGGGGGGGGGGGGGGTGGTGGTGGAATTTGGTGAGGGATGGCTTGGAGTGTTAGAGAAAGTGTGACAACTCACGTTGTCATTTAAAAAAAAATAATGTTAGAGGTCGTCCATAAAGGGGGAGGAGGGGGGTCCGTAATTTTGTGACGGTGTGTGATGAGGGGGGGGTGGTTCAGATGGTGCTACGTCATTTGGGGGGGGGGGGTCTTGCTTTTTTGTGACACGCTTTTTTACGATTTTTACCTCCCCTCCCCTCCGTTACACGTCGTCACAAAAAGTCAGACCCCCCCTAAAATGACGTCACACCTCAGCCTACAACCCCCCCCCCCCCCTCAAAATTTCTGTTGAGTTTTTCTTAAAACATCGATAATTTTTCAAAAATCTTGTCAGAACTCTGTCAACATAGAGTATTTTGATCAATTCATATTTCAATTTATTAAAACCGTTTTCTAAAACGCGAAATAACGGCTAAAACTCGTTTTTCTAACATTGCTTTTTTATAATGCAAAAAAGTGATGTCACACCATCTAAAACCCCATCCCCTCCCCCTCATCACACACCGTCACAAAATTGCGGACCCCCCTCTCCCTTACGAGCGTGACGTCATTTATGGACGACCCCACATCAATTTTTTTTTTAAAAGTCAGAAATTTACTCATACAAAAAATCATCCTTAATACATATATCAAAATATTGGGAAGAATTGTAGATTTACTATGAATTTAAATAACATACAACTCTATAGTAAAATATTTTTTCAGTTTTGGCAAAACTGTCAAATTAAAAAACACAGAGTTTGTACATTTATTGCATAAATACAAAAATATAAAACAGAATAATTAACAGTGTATCAGTTTCACCATGAGACAAATGCCTTTTTAAAAAAGAAATACAATACAAATAAACAAGTCGTGTTTTTTTAAATATTCATTTTTATTCATTTGCTAAAACAAAAATACAATACAAAAAATAAATCGTGTTTTCCTAATGTTTTGGTGTGTTTCGGTTGTTATAATAAAATACGCTCAACTGGAGGTAAACAAGCAACGGAGAATAAATTACGCTAAAATGGAGTTTTACCTTGCTTGTGTACTAGTACTAAAGTTTGACCAGGTTCACAGCCAATCTGTCAGTTTTGTTTTTATTAGAGCTTTTTGCTATAAACATAATTTAACAAGATACTAAAAGTTAAAAGTATATTACAGGCTGGGAATAGCCTTGGCCATTTTAGAAACATTTTTACTAAAATGCCTACATTATTGCATTGGCATTAGATTTAGAATGATTAGATGATTAGGCCTAGCCATTTAGTTAGGGTGTGGGGAAATTGCGAGACGCGAAAAGCGAAATGGCGAGGCGGGAAAATGGTCGATCACGTGACTTTTTTGTCTCGCATTTTACCACAAGCCGATACTTACGCTGGGTGGTGTTGAAATGCGAAGATTTCTGCGAAAAATTTACCGCACCCGATTTTCGGTGGTATTTGGTCAAGACTTCAAAGACGTTTCGTTTACATTGTTAAAACTTCCGATTTTTCCGTCGCTAGACATACTGATGATTTGTCAACTCCCCCCATCTTTTGTGTCGACTTAGAATACCACCTTGTTCGAAACCGACGGAAATACCGCCGACGATAGATCAACTTCTGTCTTTTGTGTGGAACGCCGAGGCCGCCTGGTTTACCGTCTTTGAAGATCGCCGTCCCGGATCCGCTGCCGCCGCAAACATATTTTCTATTGTTGCATAGAAATTTTGTATTATAGCCGCCGCCTACGATTTTTTTCTAGCTTTTTTTACCATATAAATCTAAGCACAAGGAAATGCCTACATCATTTGGATACAACAAAATAAAGTGACGTCACCGATATTATCAGTTGCTCGTGCTATATCGTAAGCTATGGGCCTACTTCAAATATTTTTAAAACCAAGTTGAACTTATCTGAATTTTTTGGTTTTGGTGGTGGTGTTATTTGGGGTCTTCCATAAATGACGTCACACTCGTAGGGGGGGGGGTCTGTAATTTTATGACGATGTGTGATGAGGGGGAGGAGGGGGGGGGGGGTAGATGTGAAGTCACACTATAAAAAAGCAATGTTAGAAAAAAGAATTTTAGACGTTTTTTCGCGTTTTAGAAAACTGTTTTAATACATTATAATAGGAATTGATTAAAATACTCCATTTTTACCGAAATTAGACAAGGTTTTGGGAAATTATAAAAAACGGAAAACAGATGTTGAGCGTGCGGATGATGATGATGAGAACATGGGTGCCAGTGTTGTTTGTGGGATGAACGAGGAGGTCAACTGTGATGAGAATGTGAAATGTTGTGAATGTGGATTGGAAGAAGTAGCAAAAGAAAAATGTATAAATGGGAGTCTAATGAACTGGGTTGGGTGTACTATGCGTGAAAGATGGTGTCACGAGGTGTGTTTGAGGACTGTTTCAGAAGATTTTGTTTGTAAATTTTGTTTGTAATTAAAATTACTTAATAAAAAAATAAATTGCACTTTTTAGAATTGTTTATACTTTTACACTTTTTGCAAGTACAAAAATCCATAAATAGATGTTGCAAAATATCTCTCCTGCTGACAAGACTATACCAATTCACAATGACACAGCTCACGTTTGTATAAACATAAGCGGGCTAGATTTTTAAATTAATGCCGACTGAGACGGGATTTTCCTCTCGCTAACAAGAGCGGGCGATGACAGTAGCACAGCAACGATGTTAGGATTTTTAAATAGATAGATCTAGATATAGATCTATCTATCTTCTTAGTATCTAGATAAAAAATAACAACATACAACACTCGTGTTAAAGGGTATGGCTAAATGCTTGTTTATTTTAAAACAAACAAAAAATAATTTAAATAAATAAAGATGGAAAAAAAAAAGAAAAAACTTTTTTCGCAAAAAGTGTCTCGCTGTTTACCCTTAATTCCGCAGGTATGTCTCGCATTACCTTCTCGCATTTTCCCGCCTCGCCATTTCGCTTTTCGCGTCTCGCAATTTCCCCACACCCATTTAGTTAGCCTAGATCTATAATCTATTCTATTGATTTAGGCTTTGGGGCAGTTCTGGCTACACTTTACTAATACTAGGCCTAATAAAAGTAATTAATATTAAATACTTAGGCCTAGTCTTAGAAGATACTTACTAAAATCTAGATCTAGACGTCTAGGCCCCTCAATTTTTTAAAATTATTTTAAATAGCCAGGGGCCCCTAGCCCTAACTAAACTCTAAACTAAACTCTAGGCCTTAGCTGTCTTCTAGCTAGATTTTTACTAGATCTAGCTCAGTCTAGTAAAAAAAGGTTTCGAGTGTAGACTAGTAAACACTCTCAGTACAGCAGGTAGAGGAGTAGTGTAGAGTAGAGAGTAGAGAATACTTCCTTTCGAGTGTTTTAGTTGGTTTCTTATCGAAATTGAAAATAGATCTAACACCACTACCTATTCCACTGCTGAATTACTGTATCTACAATAGAAATAAAACTTACCGAAAACGGATTTGACTGACGTGGATCAGCAAATGGGTTTGAGTCAAAGTCGGACATGATAGATGTCCAAATTACTTTACCGTTTCTAATAAATCTACTCAACAATAGATGAGGTTATGGGTAGTACGGCATAAACATCACTGGCTATACAGAATCGGAAGCTCTAATATTATTTATGACGCATGCGCAAAAGTCAGTGTCACATGAAATGACATCATAGCCTTATGTCTTAGGCCAAGCCAGTGATAGAAATTTATTATTTTTAATTACGCATTGCATTCATTATCTTAAATCAGTACAAAACCATATACCCAGAGATTCTTCAAGCCATCTCTCCTGGAGGGGGTGGGGGATGGCGCCCCTCTCGAAGAAAGTCTACCGCCCCCACCCCGAACGAGATGGAATCAGTGTTTCTTCCAGACTTTTTTCTCCGGGGGGGCACTTGAAATCTTCGGGGGGGCGGTAAACTTTCTTCGGGGGGGCGGACACTGTTAAAAGTATATATTTTCTATATAAATTATATAAATTTCATTTCGTTCGGGGGGGCGGTAAAAATTTTTCGGGGGGGCTTCGCCCCCCCGAAGAGATGCCTGGAAGAAACTCTGGATGGAATGTATATAGAAAGCCTACTTTTACAGGTGTCCGCCTCCCCCCTCCCCAAAAGTATCAAGTGCCCCTCCCCGGAGATGAAAGTCTAGAAGAATCACTGCATAGGCCCCATGTGAAATTCCCATCAACAATCTTAATAACAGAATAGGCGATATAGCTATATTCTCAAACACTATGTTGGTGTATCAATAACACTCAGTATGCTGTCTTTTCAATCATCGTCTGTAGTGAGTGTTTCTTCTAGACTTTTTTTTCCTCCGGGGGGATGGGGGCACTTGATATTTTCGGGGGGGGGGGGGGGGGGGGGGAACGTGGACAGGGACACTAGTAAAAGTATGTTTTCTAATATAAATTCCATTTCGTCCCCCCCCCCCCGTAGAGATAACCGGAAGAAACTATATGTCTGTAGTGGGAGGGGTAATCTGCTAAACACCTTTCACTTTCAAATGTTTACGTTTTTCTAGGGCCTATATTGTATAGAACTAGTTTATTCTATTTAGTATTAGAAAACAGAGCCTACGTTCGTTTTAAGAGTACGCTACAAAAAGAACATGGTAGCACACGACATTCGATGATTCAACAGTTAGGAGTCGTACCCGGTGCCAGGGGCGTAGCGAGGGTGGGGCGGTGGGTGCGGACCGCACCGGGTGACACCATTTAAGGGGTGACACCAAGGCAAAAAAATGCAAAATGTACTGAAGAAAAATGCTTTTTCCCAGTTCTCTTAATGATTAATTAAAGTTAAATAGTCTTTTAAATACAAATCGACAATTATTAAAAGCGGGCGGAGGTAAAACATGTAAAATATAGAAAAAAAAACAACGCTACATTCAACTGTATTATTAACCAACTATAGATAAACATCGTTTCTATTAAGTCTGCAGTGATTAAACCTTATACATACACGTACGTGTATGCGGCATATATTAAAATTATAGGCCTATGTAGGCCGACAGAAACAAACCCAAACACACACGTGTATATATATATATATATATATATATATATATATATATATATATATATATATATATATATATATTGTTTCTTGGGGGAGGGGTGACACCCAGAGGTGCCGCACCGGGTGATACCCGACCTAGCTACGCCACTGCCCGGTGCCCCCGCGGACGTAGCTGCCGAGAGCGCCCCACTACGACTTGGGTTGTCGCTGAAGTGTGTTCTACCTCACTATTACAGACGGTGATTAACGTACATTCTAGGCTTCACATAGCCGCCTTGTAGCGTCTGGGCGGTAATCTGGACAAATCCGCGCCTCAGCAACTATGATCTAAGAAATAAGACCAATAGGCTCACAACATATTGGCACCAGACAAATAAATCGTATGACTACGATTTTCGAAATTTGTTTTGATAAACTACAAGCATACTGCAGATAAATGGACAGAGTTGGAACAGCCCATAAGCGGACTCGTTTGTTGAAAGTCATAGCTAGATGACTTTTGAATAAAATAAAAATAAAACAACAACGATTTCTTATACTTGATAAAATAATTTTAAAATAAGGCCTGCCAAACAAGAGCTGCTAACGTTCTATTATTTAAGGATGTTGGCTAAGCTAACTCTGAAGGGTATCGATGAAGGGGTCCTACTGATGCAGTGGCGGAACTAGAAAAAAGGGGCAACCCCGCAAAAAAATATATATATATATATATATATATATATATATATATATATATATATATATATATATATATATATATATATATATATATATATATATATATATATATATACTCAAACAGAAAATACGACCATAGGATACTTATTGCTGGCCTGTTCGTGTTTTGAGAAATACGTGTGTTTTTTTTTAAAACAAATTACAACATCATGTCATGTGTATAAGTGAATTAGTCTGTTTTGTGAAAATTAGTTTTATTTTATGTCTGCCGTAAGACCTCTAACATCATATAGGTCAAAAGAATATAAAACATGAAAGCTCTCTGTAAATAATGGTGTCTCGTGTCATGTTTATTTTTATGATTTTTTAAAATTTATTTTATAAATTTTAAATACATTATCTTTATATAAAGTGTCATTCTTTAGTAAGTAATTTTTAAAAAATAATAATAAAGAAAAGTAATTGCTTTTTAATTATTTTAGTACAAATCTATTAAAAAGAGGCTTATGAGCATCACTATTTGACTATTTAAAAAAGGGAAATAAGTCATTGAAGTGGTTTAAACGTTAGCTTATCTTTGATAGGATTGATTGTAGGAGAAAGAGGACTCGGCTTTCACAGTGGTTTAAAAACGAAGGAAAAATGAATCCAACCGCAGCTACGGTAATCTTTTTTACAAAACAAACATTAAGTCAAAAATGCAAGAATTTTTTTTAACTATAACAATTTTTTTATGGTCGGCCGTGGGCCCCTAAATGGCGTGGGCCCCCCCCCCCGCGTTGCGGGGTCTGGCGGCACTGTAGTTCCGCCCCTGTACTGATGGCAGGTGTATTTTTCAATGAGACAGTTTCGCCGGGAGACTTATAGTCTCTGCGAAAGCCGCATTGAACGGGGCCCTTTTGTAGGTAAGCCAAAATGACGGGAGCCTATTTGTCGGGAGTCGTAATGACTGGGTCCGTTTTGTCGGGAGCCTAAATAACGGGAGCCTATTCGTCGGGAGCCTTAAAGACGGGATTCATTTACTTGAGAGTCGAACGTAGACTAAGAAGGTGCAGTTATGAGATAATTGTCTTTTAGTGATTGCAATCTATACGATAACAAATATATTTAGAACGAATTAGGCCTTCTCAAAAGTGGGGGAAAAATTCAATTAGGCGATAAAAACCTTTATATTTATTAAATGCAGTGGCGTAGCGAGGGGGTGGCGGGGGTGCTGACCGCACCGGGTGACACCATTTAGGGGGGTGACGCCAAGGCAAAAAATAGCAAAATATATAGAAAAAAAAGATAATTCCACTTAATTAAGTGATTAATTCGAGTGTTAAACAGTCTTTTAAGAGGTGCAAATCGAAAGGTGGGGGGGGGGGGGGGTGGTGCAAATCGAAAGTTTGAGGGGGGGGGGGTGCAAATAAAAAAATTGACCATTAAGTGCCGCACCTTGTGATACCCGACCTCACTACGCCACTGATTAATTGCGCTTGCATTTACTTTATTTAATAAATGCATTGGTGTATAAAATATGTACAAAATCTCAAGAGCACCAATGCTTTTATTAAAACAAGCAAATTAGTTTTATTTTTTCTAATTTCCAGTGCATTTAATTTTAATAGTAAAAATTTAAGGGTTTTTATATTTCTTTTATTCTCGCTAATTTTATTTACCCCAATGGGAGTTAACTCCCATTTCCATTACGCAAAAGTGGGTCATCGTATTCTCCACTTTTAGTCAACTTCCGCTTAGCCAATTTTATTATGTCCACCCAAATCATTGAAACTATTTTCTTTAATTCTAGATCTAAATAGATTTCTGTATTAATTTAATTTTAATACTTACTTAGTCATCATGTCGGGGAACGGATTTCAAGCTTCGTATGCTAATGATAGACCACCTAGTTCTGCCGGCAGTGGAGATGGAGGAGACGTGAGTACAGATCCTGCTAGCAGTGGATTTTTCACCTCGGATTCAAAGAAGTAAGTTCAAGAGTAAATTCTAGATAGATCTAGCTAGTCTAGTTGTAGTCTAGATCTAAATCTAGATTTTAGACTATAGTACAATTAGTCGAATGGGACGGAGTGGTCTAGTGGTAGAGAGCTGGACTGCTAACCCGTTAGTCTCGAGTTCAAATCCGGGTTCAAGTCAGTAGATTTGAGTAGACCGTCCCTGAGTCCACCCTACTCTGATGGGTACCTAACTCACGTTAGGGAAAGTAAAGGCGGCTGGGCATAGTGCGGACCAAACTATCTCTTCATATGCCGAGGTCACAGAAACAAGTGAACTCTACTTCACTTGCCCCATAGACTGTCAGGTTTGAAAGGGAAACTTTACTTTTACAATTAGTCGAAGCTAGATGGAGAATTGTGGGATGGAGTGGCCTAGCGGTAGAGAGCTAGACTACTACTAACCCGTGTGTCTCGAGTTCGAATCTGGGTTCAAGTTAGTCCCTGAGTCCACCCAGCTCTGATGGGTACCTAAGAAAGTAAAGGTGGCTGGGCATAATACTGACCACACTATCCCTTTATATGTCGAAGTCACAGAAACAGGTGAACTCCACTTGCTCATAGGACATAGATTCATAGACTGTCAGGTTTGGAAGGGGAACTTTACTTTGAGAATCTCCTGACTTTATTTTTATTACTGGGCTCCCTATTAATATTATCAGTAATATGTAGGCCTAATGAGTAAAGTATTAGTAGATGATAGTGGAAAGATTAGAATCATTAGATATATATTATATTATATTAGTCAAGGTAGCTCAGCTGTTGTTAATATAATAATAACATTCTAATAACTATGTCTGTTAATTTGATCTGTTTATTTCCAGACATGAGGATCTAAAAACCATGTTAGACAGCAACAAAGATGGTCTCAAACTTGAGGCCATGAAAAGAATTATTGGAGTATGTGCAATCTAAAAAACAACTTTTGTGTGTGATAATACAGTCATAATTGTTTATAGCAAACTTAGAGTGCCCAAATAAAAGCAAAGAAAATTACCCCCCCCCCCCCCCCCCCCCCCCCCAGGTTTTTGGACAAGTGGGATACTTAAAAATAACAATTTATTTCATGTTGCTTCCATTTACTTATGTCTTGCATTGTGTTTATCAATAGATGGTGGCTAAAGGCAAAGATGCTTCTGACTTATTTCCTCCAGTGGTCAAGAATGTTGTTTCAAAGAATTTAGAGGTAATTATTTCCTGAGTACTATACTAAGAGTAGTGTTGTAGTTATATAGAAGATACATTTTTCTAGATAAAAATCTATGTACAAGTAAAAAATGTATAAAAAATAATAAGTTTAAAAAATTGTGTTCATTCCAGATAAAAAAATTGGTTTATGTGTACTTGACAAGGTATGCAGAAGAGCAACAAGATTTAGCTCTTCTTTCCATCAGCACATTCCAAAGAGCCCTAAAGGTAATTTCATGTCTTAGCTAATCATTTAATACTTAACTAACTTTAGCCTCAAAATATAAAACAAATTTATAATCCATCAAAATATTTGGAAATATTGTACTGAATAATATATACATTATTAGCCTATAGAATTCATATTGTACTGTCACATTTGAGTAATCTGAATAAAACTTAGCGCTATCTTACCATCACTAATGTTTAGAGCGCTGTTAGTCCTGCTAATGGCAATAGGAAACCTCATGAACATCCATTTTCACTGATAAATTATAACCATACCAATTGATTGGAGATACAAGTGAAAGATGTTTTGAACTTAAAAAATAACTATCTTCATTTATGGAAGTAATGAAAATTCAGGCTACATCAAATGTAAAAATGAGCATTTCTATTTTCAAACTTTTTTTACATGTACCTTTTACAGCAATCTTTCCTCATCTAAAAATCCATATACACTAAAGCATAGCACTTTGTTATTATTTATAAACCACATGATGTCTGGTTAGGAAGATTATGAGTGGTTGAAGACAGGAAATTCAATTAGCTGTAAAAAAAAACATTTTTGGCTTGTTTTTTTAAATATTTAAAAAGTTGTATATAAAATACAAATTTTCAGTGAGCTACAATATTTTTCAATTTAAGTTTTTGTGAAACATTTATTACAAGTGATGAAGTATCTGTCTAAAATTTCTAATGCTAAATTCATATCAGGATCCAAATCAGCTTATCCGTGCAAGTGCTTTAAGAGTTCTGTCCAGTATTCGTGTCCCTGTCATAGCACCAATTATGATGTTAGCTATAAAAGAAGCAGTCATGGATATGTCACCTTATGTGAGGAAAACAGCAGCTCATGCTATCCCAAAGCTATACAGGTTAAATATCAAAACTTTTTACAAATCTTACTTTTTTTTTTTAGTTTTGTCAACACATCTTCTTTTAAGAGAGAACTATGTATAGTTGGGAGTACTCTAAAACTACATTTAATTATATAATTAGCTTTAAAATTTGTACAGTATATTTTTGAAATAAAATTTTATTTACCTTTTATCAGGTGAGAGAATATTTTAATTCTTGTAAAAGTACAATTTATTTGTTAAATGTTTTTATTTTGTCCTGTGATGCTGATAATAATAGAATAAGAAAGCAATTTTCTCTTTTGTGCTATACAGCAAAAAAACAACTCACTTTTAATTAAATCGAAATATAAAGTGTCAGTCTTGTTATAATTGTTTCAGCTTAGATCCAGAAACTAAGGAACAACTCATTGAGGTTTTGGACAGGCTGCTTGCAGATAAAACCACGGTAAGAATTATTCTTTTTTACTCTTAGGGCAACTGAAATAAACCCATCTTTTCTTTGTATGGTTACAATAATGCATATTTTCTTAAATTTCACTATCAAGCTTGTAGCTGGAAGTGCCATTCAAGCCTTTGTTGAAATCTGCCCAGAACGCATTGACTTGATCCACAAGAATTATCGAAAACTATGTAATTTGTTGGTGGATGTTGAGGAATGGGGTCAAGTGGTGATCCTGAATATGCTAACACGTTATTGTCGAACTCAGTTTATTTCACCTAACCAAGATGTAGGTTGTTATAAAATATTATTATAGTTTGTACAGATAGACACTTTAGCTAATGATTGGAAGGTTGGAACTTTTTAAAATCATTAAAATGAACTTACTTTTACTCAGAATTTAAACTGTTGATACTAAAACAAAATTAAATAACAATGAAAGATTTTACTTAAAGATGTTGCAAATAAAATTTAACTTTTAACAGGATGTAAATGGTGATAATGAGCTCCCATTTTATGAGAGCTCTGAAAAAGATTCTGATGAGGAAGAAGAAGTGGTGGATGAAGATGCAAAGAAAAAGAAAGCTGAGAAACCGATTCCCTACATGATGGACTCAGATCATAGGCTTCTACTTCGACAGTCAAAACCTCTTCTAAATAGTCGCAATTCTGCTGTAAGTTTTTTTTTTGTTTAATTTTGAGCAGCGACTGTTAACTTTTATGGTTTTTATAGTTACATTTTTTAAACTCTTTAATTAGGTTGTGATGGCTGTGGCTCAGTTGTACCATCACTGTGCACCTAAATCTGAAGTTGGTGTTGTAGCAAGAAGTCTCATTCGTCTACTTAGAAGCCATCGGTAAATGAGTAGTTTTAAATTAATAAAAATGAAATAACAAAAAAAAACACTCATAACTTAAGTAATGCTTACCGATGAAAAATGATAATTTTATAACTCTGTGAACTCCATAAAATGTACTTCAGGTTTGTATGATGCTACAGTTGCGTCTTACACAATTTTTTTTTTTTTGCTCAACAGGGAAATACAGTATGTTGTTCTCAGCAACATTGCTACAATGACAAACAAAAGAAGAGTTAGTTTTTTAAATTTCACTTTCTTTATGATGTTTTAACAACAAAAATTCTGTGCTTTTAACTATTTTTAAAGCTCGGTTACTCACATTATTTACTTTACTTCTCCACAAAATACTTATTTTACCTGAAAAAATGTTATATCTATCCTTGACAGGGAATGTTTGAGCCATATTTGAAGTCTTTCTATGTCAGATTCAGTGACCCTCTGCATGTTAAGCTATTAAAGGTATGTTTTTCCTCTCGAATACATGTTTTTTATTTCTAATATTTTTATTACTATGTTCAGTCTCTTTGAAATTTTTCTGTATTTCCATTGAGCAACATAACTTTGACAATTAATCCTTGTAAAATGGGTTTTTTTTCAGCTGGAGATTTTAACAAGTCTTGCAACAGAAACCAATATTTCAACCATACTCAGAGAATTCCAAGTGAGCAAACTTTAACTTTATTGCTAATATGTTATGTAAAAATTAAAATTGTGCATATTTTGTTTACTGATACGTGTCTGATCTTCCAGACATATGTTACAAGCTCAGATAAAGAGTTTGCTGCTGCAACTATTCAAGCCATTGGCCGTTGTGCTAGCAGTATTGCTGAAGTCACAGACACATGTCTCAATGGTCTTGTTCGCCTGATGTCAAATAGAGATGGTAACGCATCTTTAAATTTTAATTTTATTTAAGTAGTAATTGTATGCGAGGAAGAAGTTACTGTAAGTCTCGAGTTCGAACCCTCGGGCAGATGAGGCTCGTTAGCTGGGGACAGCCACTCTTCTAGGAGAGACAACTCCAAAGTTAAACAACTGCTGCCTTGTAGTTTGTTCTTGGTTGGACAAAGGCTATGGAAGCAAATCCAAAAAGAAAAGCAGGCTGAAATCGGAGTCAATGGCCTCAATGGCGCAAAAACAGTTGACACGTAACGCTTAATTGTGTTGGAGACGTGGTCGAGTCGGCAAAAAGCTCATGGTTGCTAAATTCGAACAGTCTCGAGTTCAAACCCACTGGCAGATAAATCTCGATCCCCTTCAACACTAATAATTAAGAACGAAGAAGAAGAAGACTATAAGTTTCGGTTATATAGTTCATCATCATTATTTCCCGTTCGTGCCCAAGACATATGGGGCAGATGAAGTAAAGTTTATCTGTTTCAATGACCCTGCCACCCCTAACATACATTAGATACCCATCAGAGTTGGGTAGGCTCAGGGATGTCCAAGATCCAAACTTTTGAGACTTTTGACTTTGCAGTCGTAAGCTCTACCATTTGACCACACCGCCCCTTATATAATTACTTATATAATTACTTACATTCATTTTAAATTTCTATAAGAAAGAACACGTTGAAGTAAATAATGATAGTAAATTTTGGAATTCACAGAGGCTGTCGTGGCTGAGAGTGTTGTGGTCATTAAGAAGTTACTCCAAATGAGGGTAGGTGACTTATTCATTGTTAGTATTGGATAACAGCTCGGACAGACAATACCTTTAAAGTACTTTCATTTAACTAAATAGGTTATAGCTATGTCAGCCTTATATTATTGAGTGCAGTGTCATTAATTGACTCACCTAGTGTTAGTTGAACTTAAGTTTGCAGTTATCCCCCCTAAGATAGTTCACTGCATGTAACTTTACACTGTTAATAGCTATCTTTAAGTATTTAAATATCTGAAGTGTATGCCCAGTAGCAAATAGATATAGGTTTTATTATATTTTCACTTTTGAACTCCACATTTCTGCAGATCCATTTTTGTAATATATAGGCCTACCAATTCATTATCAGAAAAATATATTTTATTTAAAGGGCAAAAATTAAAATAATATTTAAAAATGATTGTGTGCAAAAATAAATATATGTTTAAGTTTGTTATTGAAGTATTATAAGAACATTTGGTTTTTATTCTCAGTTTTAGCAAATAGTTTCCTTGGAAGAGTTTTCCCATCTGAATGTTTTTTAGATTGACATTAAAAACTTTGTCATTTTATATCTGTTTCACACATATCAAAGCTGTTAAATTTTTTTGGTACAATGTGATATGTGGTTAGAAGGAACAGAAGATATTTCCAGATGATATTAGAAAACAGTTTTCTGTGTTCACACATTCAACATTTTAAATTAAGTTGCTGGGGTACTATTACAAATTCAAGTGTCATTACTTAATAAAGTTACTGCCTTATATTCTATAATGCTTTCTGTAACCTGTGTGTCGTCTTCTCTTTTCTTCTTCAGCCAAGATCATCAAAATCTAAGGTTACTTTAAATTTAAAATCATAAATACAATTTTTTTTTAACCCAATACTTAGATTTATAATGTTGGAAAAGTTTATTTGAAATGAAGAGAAAAATAGCATGTGTCACACTATTTAATTTGAATTCAACAATAGCATGAAGATGAAAATGTAAAAATAACAAATTTTTAACATTGTCAGAATATAATACTAATATCCAACAAACTGGAATTACTTATTACAATACTCATCTTTTTTCTTGTAATCATATTAAAACATTCCTTATTGACAAAGTTAAATTATTCATGTAGATATGTTACATGCATGGATTTTATTTCAACATACTAAATGTTTCTTGGGCAACCTTTTATTCCGTTTCTCTCTACTTTTATTATTAGTCTGTGATTGCATTCATGTGAAAACAGGTTTCTTGCCCCTGCCCATATCATTTGGAATTATTGTACATTTACAGCTTCTTATAGTATATCCTTTTCTTTTTACTTTCTTTTTTTTTTGTCATTAATAATCATTCTTGGGGAACATGTTGCGATCTGCACTTTTTTCTCATTTGATGATTTAAAATCATATAATGCACACAGCCATTCACTTAATTTTTTTGTAAGATGCTTGATGATTTGTTTGACTCTTCTTGGGATTTTTGTTGTAATATTGAAACATTTTTTTCTTATAAACAGCATATAATTCCCCTCCCCTGCTATTTTTCAGTGTTTGAATTATGTTACTTACAAATTTAATACAAATTTAATAATTTATTTTCTGCATTTACTTTTGTGGACCTTAAATTTTTTTTGAATGCCACTAAATCCACACTGAAATATTGGCTAAAGATTTTTTTTATACTTTAGGTGTTGTTTGATAAATCCCTCTTTTTGCAAAGAAAACACTCTGTGCTCTTATTTTGAATTAGCTGTGGTGGATTTTTTTAAACATCGGTTATGGTATGCTTTTTAAATATGTGTTGGTGAATTTTCTTTGTATCATTTCATTGCTGTGAAAAGACACTTTAGGAAAGTAGTAAGAACTGGAATATGGGATAGTGGTTTTCTAAAGATTTGAATGAATTAAATTTAGGCAATACTCATTAATAATCACATTTTTTAACACCTATAAATTATTGTATCTAATTGAAAATTCAAGATTATGCATGTGCATTTTAAAATTTGGTTGAGTGCTTTGTAATAACATTTTTAGGTTTGAATAGATTAATCTGTAAAACTCTACATAAGAATATAAATTGAGGTTATAGTATCAAGCCATCATCATAAAACAGTTTCTTGTTTAATGACATCAAATTGCTGTTTGGTAGAAAACATTTTTTTAAAAGAAACAAGTGGCTTTTTTTCTTTAGAATCTAGTTATTTAAAATTCTGAGCTTGTAACTTACTGATTCAGTCCTACACATCGATGTTAAGAAAAAATGAAACAATTATTAATTTTGTGTGACGACCTGATACGTTTATTTTCAAATAATTATCAAACTATGATTGATTAGAATATTATCTACTCAATCACTTTAGCCCTCAGAACATAAAGACATCATTTGCTACATGGCCAAGATGGTGGATAAAATCACCGTACCCATGGCAAGGGCCAGCATTTTGTGGCTGATTGGGGAGTACAGTGAGCGAGTACCTAAAATTGCACCTGATGTTTTACGGAAAATGGCTAAAAACTTTATCAATGAGGTATATTTTGGCTATTTTTTTTTTGTAAGGTTTTTTTGTGAATTATACTTTAGTAATATTAGACTAGGTAACCTTTAATCCTAGTGGTAGGAATGGATCAAACATTATTTAAAAGCCTGCCTTGTGAAATGTTTAGAGATCTAATGATGTATAGTTCACTAAATGGTAATGCCCCCTGTGTTATTGTTGCATGGCAGGAAGATATTGTGAAGCTGCAAGTACTCAACCTATCTGTGAAGCTGTGCATAACCAACCCCAAGCAGACCAAGCTGCTCTGTCAGTATGTGTTGAACCTGGCCAAGTATGATCAGAACTATGATATAAGGGACCGCTCACGCTTCATGCGCCAGTTTGTTATCCCATCAGAGAAACCATGTGCATTAGCCAAGTATGCTAAAAAAATATTCCTCGCTACTAAGCCAGCTCCTGTTTTAGAGTCCATGTTTAAAGGTATGTATTGCTAGGTTATAAAAAATTACTAGATTGTCCTAGGTTTAACATGTTCTTAGGTTCATATTATGAAGGGGGAAAGGGGTTAAGAAATTAATGTAACAAAATTTGATTACAATTTGGTCACCACAATTTAATAGGACCTGATTGTTCTTAAGTTTTATTTCAGTTTTTATAATCAAAGTGTTAAATTTTCATCTAAAAAAAACATGAAATGCTTTTTATTGCTTGAGGAAATTTGGGTATGAGGCCATTAAAAAAAGAATTTAGCACTTTAAAAACCAATTTAGACACCCCTTCACCCCCTCTTGTCACAAATATTCACCATTTCAACCTTTTTGTCTATCATCTGAAGTGTGATGCCATTTATGGAAGATAAAATGCTTTGTTACTTGCATGGAGAAAATTTCTGATTTTCTTTACATTCCTCCAACATTGATTGGGCTGTTCATTATTAGCTAGAAAGTCATATTTGTTCTTGATCTACCAGAAATATACCTAAAATTTCACCTGTTTATGTATTGCCTTATCCACAGCACATGACAACTACCAGCTTGGCTCTCTAGCACACCTGCTGAACATGAAGACCACTGGGTACCAGGAGTTGCCAGAATGGCCCACCACGGCCCCAGACCCATCTGTAAGAAATGTTGAGGTGGCACCAACTTGGCAAGAAAACAGAGAGCCTATCCGGGGTAAAAAACAGAAGCAGCCTAGCACAGATGTCAAGACATTTTACTCCTCTTCCAGTGATGATGATGGTAAGGGTACAAAACCAGGATGACGCACTTGTGTTCCTGTTTCTGCTTTAGATGTGTTTTGTACTACTAATTCTTAATTTCAGCATTATGTTAAAGTGGTGAACTAATGAGTTTTATGGGTGTATAAAGACTGATTTATTCAGGAAAATTCTGCTTTATTGTTCCACCACTGACCACTTAGATCCCAGTTACAAGAGGCTGGTGAAAGGAAGTTGGCTCTTGCTATATATTTAATTTTACAAAAGATAAAGCTATCACAGCCACTTATAATTTAAAAAACTAAATAATAGTTTTTTGTATGTCATCAAGAATCTTTGTCAGTTTTGATTGAGCCCAGGTGTCTGTCTCCAGTTAGTAAAAAATAATATAAACTGGGCAGTAAAGGTGGAGCAAGTCTGTCATTATTATGTCTACAGGTTATTCACTTGTAATCTCTTTCTAAAAGACAAAGATTATTTATTTGACATTAAAAATTTGGTTGAAGGTTATTAACAAAAGAGCTTTACAAAGTATTTTACTTTATTTTTTTTCAGATGAAAGCAGTGAGGAGGATAGTGATGAGGAATCAGATGAAGATAAAGAGGAAGGAACTGAAGAAGATTCTGATGAAGAGGAGGAGGAGGCATCAGATTCATCCAAGGAAGAATCTGAGGAGTCATCATCTGAAGAAGATAGTGAAGAAGAGTCTTCTTCTGAAGAGGAAGATTCGTCCGAAGAAGATAGTGAAGAGGAAGTGAAAAAGCCTGTCAAAAAACTGGTATGGTTAACATGCGTGATTTAAATAAAATATTCTGAGAGTTAATAGCAGTAAAGCAAATTGCACATACTTTAAAATCAAATACCAAATGTATCATTTGAAAAACAAAATATAAATGTCATTTTTATGTTATAGTATATGGCATTATGTTACTAAGATAAGATTTTAATTGCTATTTAGTGCCTTAAAAGTTAAACGTAAATACATACAGGATCAACTAAAACCAAATCAACCTAAAGTCAGCCCAGCAAAGCCAGCCAACGCAGATTTGCTTCTTGACTTTGATGATTGTAAGCATTTTGTGTGTGTGAAAATGTATACCTAATGAATGTAATTTAAACATCAATAATAACTTTTTAAAATTTAATTTTCTTTTCAATATTTATGTTAATGTTTAAGATTTAATGTGTAAGTCCTTACGCCAAAGCTTAAATTTTCAGTGGGGCAGACTGCTACTAGTGTTGGTATCTCCCCGTCTGTTGGCATCATGCTGACACCAACATCAGCTGGAAGTGGTACAGTCCCACAGGCTACATCCTCACCCACTGACAAATCTAATGTACGCCCATGTTTTAAACTTACATTTAATCTTTATACAACTTTATAAATACATGTTTAGGATCTTATTGACAAAAAAATATTTTCAAAGAATTTTAAACAGGTTTTATAATAAATATCTATAACAAATATCACTGCGCATCATACAACAAGCCTTATTAATATTAATTGAGCATCAATTTAAACACCTATAAAACTACTTGTATATCTAGATTGTTCAAGGCTTGAATGTTCCAAGCAAGACTTACGAGCTGATCAATCGGCTGACCAGTGGTGGCTTGACTGTCACTTACAAGTACACTCGCACCATTTCCATTTTTTCATCCAAGCTGGTGTCCCTGGAGCTGACTTTCACCAATCAGGGAGAAGCTCCTTACACTTGTATTAAAATTGGGGAAAAGGTAAATTAAAATCCATTGCTCTCATTTATTGTTCCGTAAAAATATTCTTCACGATAAATATTTTAATTAGCAAGAATTAGCATAAATATTGACAGAAAATTGATGTTTGCTCTACAGAAAATTCAGCAAGGGATGGAGATTCAAGATTTTCCTGAAATAGGTACAACACAATATTCTTTTTTATTATCAAGCATTAAATAATTTTTTTTTAGATTATAAAATCTATGGTAATCTTATAATTTCATTGTTGTTTAGTTATTAAAAAGAATTTTCCCATTTTTCAATCCAGCATTTATATTATATTTATTTAAAATAGTAAATTAAAGTCCATATGTTTGAACAAAACCTTAGTGAGAAGAGATTTAACAGAAAACACTATTCTTCCAGCAACACTTGGTGTCGGGGCTTGTACCTCAGTCTTAATGGGCATCAACTTCAACGACACCACCCAGCCAGCAGGATTCCAGTTGACCAGCGAGCAGAAAAGTTTTTCTATCAACATCTCCGCACCTGTTGGTGAGCTCATTCAGCCACAGACCATGGGAGAAGCTGAGTTCAAATCTCAACAAGGTAATTTGACTTTAATGATAAATTACCTAAGGCTAATCCTGTTCACATGTAGGCTAATTTTCATTGATACATTAGATACATTTGTCTTGTTGATATATATAAGAAGGGATAAATTATTTAAGGTTTATCCTATTAACAAACTGAAATGATAAATTAGAAATGCTTTATTTTTGTTTATGTAAAATATTAGAAAGGTAAAATACATTTATCTTGTTTATATAAAATTTAGGATAAATTATATACATGACATCTTAACTTAAAATTATGATCAATCAGATACAGTAACTTTGTTGATAAAAAATTTATGATAAGATAGGTAAAATTATGTTACTCCTAGATACATTTTATTGATATAAAATTTATAATAAGTAAGATACACTAATATTGAGTACATCCACATTTGGGGGAAGAAAGTCTGACATTCAAACATAATTGAGTTTGTCTTGAATTTATGACCCCTAAGATTAATGTTACTGTTAGATGCATTAATTTTGTTGATATAAAATTTATCGTCACTTATGGTCTGCTTTGTTAAATAAAAATAAGACGACTCATTTTTTACTGATGACTTGATGGATTAATTAAAAATACAAGTAGCTTCCCTTGGCCCCTTTGCTAATTCTACATTGCAAAACATTAGCATTTTAAATTAACTTTTTTGAACTACACTTTTTTGTTTTTGTAATGTACAAACTACACTTTTTAAAATTTTGTAATGTGTGCAGTTCACTTTTGTGTTTTTGTCTGTGTAAAAATTTCTAACACTTAAAAAAATTTTTTAAATGTCTCAGTTATTTTTCTATAAGACACATTTGTGTCTATGCGATGGTTACTTATTACCCTTTATACTTTCTTGTACACGGAGAATAGAGAAAAGTATTATAACCATGCAAAAAATTGAAATTGGGATTTTCACAAGTCACGAAATTTTACACCTCCCTGAATCAGAAAACCTTTATTGAGCAATTTTGTCAGTTTGTCGGTGCGTCTGTTTGTCTGTAAACATGATAGGTTGATGAGATTAATATATAAGTATTATATCAAATTTGTAGTTCTGTAGTGGAACTTATTCTACTTTTTCAGTTAGATAGAAGAAATATATATATATGTTGAAGACCTAATTACTGGAAGTGGAACTTGTTCTAGTTTTGGTTTTTCAAAAGCCTATAACCTAAGTACTGTTTCAGTTAGATAGAAAAAATTTCACATATATGTAGAAGATCTAGTTCTCTGTTTTCTAACAAATTTTGAGTAATTCCTGGTGTCCAGAAACAGTACTATTATACACTATTTCCAATTTCTCAAAAAAACACGTATGAATTTATTTTAAACTTGATTCCTCTGTCTTTCTTTATAGAGTACTAATGTTCAATACTATTAAAAATAAAACAAGTTAATAAAAAGTCTAGTGACAATTTAAGCGCAATTTCCTTATGTTATCCATAACAATTTTTAATTTTTAATTTTTTGTAAATATCATCCTATAAATATAAACTCCTACACGATGCTCAGTTTAAATCATCCTAGGCCTACACGATGTTCAGTTTAAATGTTCTTAATTAATTTTTTGTGACCGAACGAAAGGATATTTTTGAAAACTTTCTTCGGCAATATTGGTCTAAATTATGGCAGGAATCGATTGGTAAATGTTTCAAGTCGCTAAGTGGTCTGGTTGCCGAGATATGGAGCAAAAACTGCATATGTTCGAGGTTTTTGGCTTTTCCGGGAAATCCAGGAAGGAATTCCGGGAATTTTTTTGGCCCACAATCATCCTTGGAACTTGCTTAACATATTTGCTTTTGGAACTAGTCCTCGATATTGCTTCGTTGAGGAGGAGATACGACTTAAAGGCTACGGACACACATCCATCCATCCAGAAATGACGAGTTATTAAACGCAATTTTTGCCAGTATGGAAATTGCGCTAAAAAGTACAGTTTCTTTTTCAAACCTGACAGTCTATAGGCCAAGTGAAGTAGAGTTCACTTGTTTCTGTGAACTCGGTATATGAAGAGATAGTGTTCCATACTTTTATACACAGATTATTTGCTGTTGATTTGGTGTGCAACTATTTTTTTCTATGAGATTCTATTTTATTTAAAAAATTTAAGTATATGAAATTATTTTTTTAAAATGGCTATATCCCGACTGCACTGAAGTTGTCATCCCCATTTGTGTTATTTAAGAACATTCGAGAAAGTTTAGGGCAGATCACTCCCTCTTTATTTATGCATGTTTTAAAACCCTGCGTCTCCGCTTTGGTTTCAAGATGGAGTTCATTTTTACTGGTTATTGTTGACGTGGTCCAGTTTTCACAAACATCTCTGGTCAGACTGTCTAGTGTTGTCATGGCTCCAGTGATTTGGCCATAGTGTCGTGGTCCCATGAGGCTCCTCTGGTCAGACCTCTGGTCAGACCATCTAGTGTTGACATGGTCCAGTTGTCATGGGGCTCCATTGGTCAGACCATCTAGTGTTGACATGGTCCAGTTTTCACAAACATCTCTGGTCAGACTGTCTATTGTTGTCATGGCTCCTGTGGTCAGACCATCTAGTTGTGTTATGGTCACGTTGTCACAGGGCTCCTCTGGTCAGACCATCTAGTGTTGACATGGTCCAGTTGTCTCGGTCTCCTCTGGTCAGACCATCTAGTTGTGACATGGTCCAGTTGTCACGGGGCTCCTCTGGTCAATGTCTCATAACATCCCGTTAGGACACAGTCCAGTGATTTGGCCATAGTGTCGTGGTCCCATGAGGCTCCTCTGGTCAGACCATCTAGTGTTGACATGGTCCAGTTGTCATGGGGCTCCTCTGGTCAAACCATCTAGTTGTGACATGGTCCAGTTGTCACAGGGCTCCTGTGGTCAGACCATCTAGTGTTGACATGGTCCAGTTGTCACAGGGCTCCTGTGGTCAGACCATCTAGTTGTGACATGGTCCAGTTGTCATGGGGCTCCTGTGGTCAGACCATCTAGTTGTGACATGGTCCAGTTGTCACGGGGCTCCTGTGGTCAGACCATCTAGTGTTGACATGGTCCAGTTGTCACAGGGCTCCTCTGGTCAGACCATCTAGTTGTGACATGGTCCAGTTGTCACAGGGCTCCTCTGGTCAGACCATCTAGTTGTGACATGGTCCAGTTGTCACGAGGCTCCTCTGGTCAGACCATCTAGTGTTGGCATAGTCCAGTTGTCACGGGGCTCCTATGGTCAATGTCTCATAACGTCCCGTTAGGACACGGTCCAGTGATTTGGCCATAGTGTCGTGGTCCCATGATCATTGATGTCTTCAAGTTAAAGAGCAAAGCTTGGTGTAATTTAAAAAAAAAAAATCAGTCGAGTAATATTTCACATCATATGAAAACCATACTATAACAAGTTAAAAAAAAAACGTGTCTTGGCTAATGCTTTTAGCCTTGTTTTGGCGCCTGTGTTTGTCTGCCGTTTGTCGAAGACTAGGCAGTGCTGACGGCTGCTTCAAATGTCTGCATAAATTAGCTTTAATGTGTTGTCATCAAAGCTAACGCTAATTACACACGCCATCAAGTTACACGCTTTAACCATGACGACTGGGGGGGGGGGGGGGGCGGAAATTGAAACATATTTTGGAATATCTTTCATCCGTTCTTTTGAGATAACGGTCTGCTTTTGAGATAACGGACTGCGACTGTTTTTTTTAAAGCATGCTCAAAAGTTCAACTAGTACTATTTGATTGTCTTGGTGGCCGTATACACACCGGGTGTGATATGATGAAGATATCACGCGAGACAGTTTAATGTTGTGGAACTTCCCGGTAACTTTATCAGCGTAACCCCGCACCGAATAACACCCATAAAGTCGTGGCCAAACGAGGCGCAACGATTTTCTAGTCTCTAAAAAGTTTGGTTGCACGTCTGACAAAAGCTCGGACGTGCTGCGTTCCATTAGTCGCTGGCGTGCCGCTGATTTTTCCCAGCTTGTTGCGACATTGGGAATGGTCGCCTTTAATGTGTGCACATGAAACAGATTTAATTACCTGAATCAGGTAGGGGTGTCGGTGTGGACTAAAGGCCGGCAGATAGTATCAAGCCCGACTGTTTGATATACAGCACGGTCCAGGCGCTTGAAATAGAAACACTACCAAACACCATAAAGCTCACTTGACGGTTATTGTCACACGGCGCTGGCCATTGAACTAAGCGAGCGTGTTAAAAATATAACTAAACTTTATGGCTTTGGTATAGTTTCGCCAGACTCGTCTGAAAAAAAAAAGGTGTTTTATGGTTTTTGTCGGGTGGTATTCAACTATTTGCCCAACCCTAGTCTTATATAGATCTATATGGTATGGCCGACTATGATACTTCAAAACTTAATAAATGTCGCATAAGCAGCAAGCTTTATAGCCGTGTTTAATTACGCCATTAATCTGATTAATGGCAATGCCGGGAACGAATCATTACTTTTTCCCCACCGTTATCTGTTAGGGTTTTGTCTACGGTGTTGTTCCTTAAGAATCATACCAGTTTATAAATTAAAAATACACCAGTGTTTGATAGAAAACTAGTTAGATGTAGATTTCAACTGTACAAGTGTAAATGATCCGATTATAGAGCTTTAACGCGACTAAAAATATGCCTGTTCTTTCTGCTTTACGGTATCTTGAATAGAGCAGTAGAAAATGCCCTGAGTTACGTCCCCTCCCGCATGTTTGCACTGGTCAGTCCCACAGCTGAGAGTTGCTGGCGATGATGAGGGCGGGAGTGTGCTGGGTCCATCTGTCTTCCTTGAATTAGCACAACTTCGTGTTAGCCCCAGGTCGAACTAGATCTGACTCGGGTAGTTCGTAGTGTGCTGGCTCCATCTGTCTTCCTTGAATTAGCACAACTTCGTGTTAGCCCCAGGTCGAACTAGATCTGACTCGGGTAGTTCGTAGTGTGCTGGCTCCATCTGTCTTCCTTGAATTAGCACAACTTCGTGTTAGCCCCAGGTCGAACTAGATCTGACTCGGGTAGTTCGTAGTGTGCTGGGTCCATCTGTCTTCCTTGAATTAGCACAACTTCGTGTTAGCCCCAGGTCGAACTAGATCTGACTCGGGTAGTTCGTAGTGTGCTGGGTCCATCTGTCTTCCTTGAATTAGCACAACTTCGTGTTAGCCCCAGGTCGAACCAGATCTGACTCGGGTAGTTCGTCATTCTAAAGCTGCGACGTTTTCAGCGATCATCTTATGTAGGCCAGCAGAACTTTATAATTCTAGGGCAGGGGTCGGCAACCTGCGGCTCGCGAGCCGCATGCGGCTCTTTTGATATCAAGATGCGGCTCTCTAGCTCCTTGAACAAATACTAATAATCTTAATACAAAAATAAAATATTAGAAATAAAAAAAATGTTAGTGGCTCTTTAAAACCAGGGAAATTTTGAAAATTGTAACTTTTGGCTCTTCCGCTTCAAAAGGTTGCCGACCCCTGTTCTAGGGTGGCGGGTTGGTTGGCTGTGTGCTAAAGTTGGATTTATCTCGAATGGTTGTTCTATTGTTGTGGGAGAGGGGGGGGGGGGGCTTACATAGCTGTCATATTGTCAGGGGCCCTTGAGATATCCCTGGCTGTCATGTTGTTGAGGAGGGTGACTTGAAGTGGCATATGTTAAAATGCTGTGAGGTCCCTTTTGAAACGTTGCACCCTATGATCAGTTAAATGTAGAATAAATGGATTATTAAGCAATGATTTTTTAAAAAGGTATTGAAGTCTTCTGTGAAGGGCTTGTTAATGTTTCCTTTTGATACATTTTTTTATTTAAGTCATGCCTGCATTGTTGAATTTATTTTTTAAAATATTTTTTTGCGTATATTTTTCTTTTTCCTTGAAACTCTCAAACTTTGTTTTAGTAAGCCATCCTAATTGTTTTAGCCCATATCTCTGATTTATTGTATCCACCCTAATTGTTGTATATCTCTGATTTGTTGTATCCACCCTAATTGTTGTATATTTCTGATTTGTTGTAACCACCCTAATTGTTGTATATTTCTGATTTGTTGTATCCACCCTAATTGTTGTATATCTCTGATTTGTTGTATCCACCCTAATTGTTGTATATCTCTGATTTATTGTAACCACCCTAATTGTTGTATATCTCTGATTTGTTGTATCACCCTAATTGTTGTATATCTCTGATTTGTTGTATCACCCTAATTGTTGTATATCTCTGATTTGTTGTATCACCCTAATTGTTGTATATCTCTGATTTGTTGTATCACCCTAATTGTTGTATATCTCTGATTTGTTGTACCCACCCTAATTGTTGTATATCTCTGATTTGTTGTATCAACCCTAATCTATAATATAATCGGGCAAGTAGTGTGTCAGTCCTTCCTTCCGTCATCGCTATAGCTTTTAGAACCATAAAAGTAAACACTCGCACCACGCAGTGCTTTTCAGTGCACCGCAGTGTCTTATTATAAGAATTAGAGTAGGGTTTGTTTATATAGTGGCATAGAGCTATTTTATAATTTCCACTGTTTGTACAATTTTGCATAACGTAAAGAAAATATTAAATACACGCAAATTGCTAAAACATATTAAAAGGATCAATGTCAAATATAGTTTTCGTTAATATTCCTAGAAAAAGTGGATACATTTTAATAACATAATAACAGTACGGTAGAAAAATCAAATTAATTTAACTCTTTTTTTCTAATTTTGACAAAGGAGGTAATTTAAAAATACATTAAACTCACGCTAATAAAAAATGTGAATGCAAATATACGTTCGTCATAGAAGGAATTAGTGTTGCAATAATATAATTAGCAAAATGTGAATGCAAATTATTCGGATGTGTAAGAGGTAATTATTGTTAGAAAATTATAATTAGCATGGATTGATAAAAGGCAATCTTTTATTTATTTTATTCACTGAATGTAGGCCCTACTGTTTATTACTTATAATTTTTAATCAACTATTCAGCACTATTATAGACGCGTCATCACGTTCATTAGGTGCGCAATGGTTTTAGTTATGAAACTCTTTTGTAAATTTTTAAAATTTAAAGTACTGGAAAAAAAATGCGTGAATGGATAAAGTGAAATAGTGTAGGTAAAACACGGTATTTTAAATACTGCCTATTATTTATACTGTTTTCTAATTATTATTCTATCTTTCGGGTTTTATAGGAGAGGCGTAGCGAGGGGGGGGGGGGGCATATGTCCCCGGGTGCCGACCTTAAGGGGCGCCAAAGTGGGTTGGAAAAAATTTGCGAGGGGGGGGGGGTGGAAATCGAAAGTTTTAGGGCGGGGGGGGGGGGGGGTGGAAGGGGTGCAAATCGAAAGTTTGAGGGGGTTGCAAATCACCGGAAAGGGCGCGATTTGGCGCTACGGGCTAGACTGAGCAATTTGCCTTTATGATTGCATTTAAATTGTGTTTATGTTATGAGTGTTGTGTTTGTTTTTTCGTTGTTTTTTTTGCGTTCGTTTGTGTTGTGTTTAGTTTTGTTCTGTTCCCAAGTTGGTACATTTAAAAAAGATTTACCGTGGCGGAGCACGGGATGCAGCTAGTTGTTGTATATCTCTGATTTGTTGTATCCACCCTAATTGTTGTATATTTCTGATTTGTTGTATCCACCCTAATTGTTGTATATCTCTGATTTGTTGTATCCACCCTAATTGTTGAATATCTCTGATTTGTTGTATCCACCCTAATTGTTGTATATTTCTGATTTGTTGTATCCACCCTAATTGTTGTATATCTCTGATTTGTTGTATCCACCCTAATTGTTGTATATCTCTGATTTGTTGTAACCACCCTAATTGTTGTATATCTCTGATTTGTTGTATCACCCTAATTGTTGTATATCTCTGATTTGTTGTATCACCCTAATTGTTGTATATCTCTGATTTGTTGTATCCACCCTAATTGTTGTATATCTCTGATTTGTTGTATCTATCCTATTTGTTGTAGCCTATATCTCTGATTTGTTGTATCCACCCTAATTGTTGTATATCTCTGATTTGTTGTATCCACCCTAATTTTTGTATATCTCTGATTTGTTGTATCCACCCTAACTGTTGTATATCTCTCATTTGTTGTATCCACCCTAACTGTTGTATATCTCTGATTTGTTGTATCCACCCTAATTGTGATATATTTCTGATTTGTTGTACCCACCCTAATTGTTGTATATCTCTGATTTGTTATATCCACCCTAATTGTTGTAGCCTATATATATGATTTGTTGTACCCACCCTAATTGTTGTATATCTCTGCTTTGCTGTATCCAACCTTTCACTGTTGTATCTTCCTGCTGTGTTTCAGCCAAGCTGGGAGGGATGAATGAAAACAAGGAGTCATGTGATATACCTGAGGCCAAGAGAACACCTGAGGCCATCTGCACCTGTGTCTTGTCCGTGGCCAACCTCCTGCAGGTGCCCTCCTCCGACCCCAACATCTACAACTTTGCTGGCCACACCCTGGCGACCTTGACCCTGGTCCTGGCCTCCATCAACCTTGGAGGGAAGACCCCCAAGGTCACAGTCAACTGTGAGAAGATGGTCATAGGCACCATGTTGTTGAAGGACCTCAAGAGGTCCCTGCTGTCTTCCTGATGATGTGCAATAACAGCTGAATACATCCTTAGAGTTTTAGCTTGAGTCATATATATTCTATTATTATGTACAATTTTGTGATGACTGGGGACCAAATCATGGAGATTGGATAACAGTCCAGATGTTACCTGTAGCTATGATTGATTGGTTGATTCAAATGGACGGGCTTGTAAATGGTGATGTAGAGTTTAGAAGAGGTTCTTTGGTGGGAGTTTATTTATAGAAATATATATTGGTAAAGTTACTTGATGCATTGTGAATTCTTTTGTTGTTTCTGTGAGATTTATTTTTAGTTTTTAATGGTTTGAAATTGTGTTGTATGTTAAAATCACGTTATGCTACTTGTATGTGAAAGATCCTGGTCAACAACCATATATTTAGTTATATGTTAAATATATAGTATTTAGTTATATATGTATTTAGTCTGAACAGTGAGTGGGGTCATGAAAGTGTTGAGTGGGGCCCAGCAATGGTTCAGTATTTATCATGTGCTACAAGATTTAAGTTGTCCTACACCTTTATGTCAATTATCAAATGTTGAAATAAATAATGGTGTGATTTATGTTTGTTGAGCTATGAGTCAGGAATTATGTTACAAGATATTTACTTTCTAGCTATGTAATAATCAGGCATGAGTTGGCATTGATTAACTTGTTTTGCTAATGAATGAGTACAGCCTGTTAATGTAGCAGCGTTTATTTATAGCAATGTTCAGTTGTAGTTTCCTTTTGGCTGTAACTAAATTAACTTGTAAGTTATCTATTGCTGTTTTCAAGTCCTTTTTTATGTGTAATTTAATTAACTTAACGGGGCATTTATTCTTTAAATTAGTTTAAACGAGCTTCCAGTTTAGACTTAATGAAGTAAATTACTGAATGAGGCATTTTATGGCCTAATTTTCTCTACAACTTATACATTACATGCTATTGTGGATACATTTCATGTTATTGTGGATACATTACATTTTATTGTGGATACATTACATGTTATTGTGGATACAGTACATGTTATTGTGGATAAAGTTGAACAAATGTTCATGTTGGTTTTGTTTCACTACATGAATTTTTGAAAGGCTGAGCTCTGTAAAGGTTTTGATGTCTTAAGCAGATTTTTTTTTTGTATTTGCTTGGATTTATGTTGAGCAGTGGTTCATAAATTAAATGAACGCTAAATTTTTTTTGTTTCTACCTCTCCCCTCATAGGTAGCATCGGACCATTCAGTAAACTTTTTGAAGGCTGTGCTTGATCACATGTATCTGTTTTTATGTTTCAATCTTTGTTTCAGAATAATAATAAAGTAAATGCAATTTTAATTGCTTCTTTATTTTGGTTTATAAACATAGAAGTTGAGTACACAGTTGAGTAACCTAAAGAATTAACCAAGAGATTTACTTGATGAGACAAATAATGTTAACTATGGACAATTATGGCGTGGTTTGAGTTAATAAAAAAGTTGTGATAGGCAAGTTGAGTTAGTTGACAAGAGGCCCTGGGGTAACTAGTTAAAAGTTAGATTATTGAGGGGTGTGAGTGTGGTGGTTGTGCAGGTTAGGTCTCTTTCTGGGGTCACTAGTTGTAGAAGTTAGGTCTCCTGCAGGGGTCACTAGTTGTAGAAGTTAGGTCTCCTGCAGGGGTCATTAGATGTAGAAGTTAGGTCTCCTGCAGGGGTCACTAGTTGTAGAAGTTAGGTCTCCTGCAGGGGTCATTAGATGTAGAAGTTAGGTCTCCTGCAGGGGTCACTAGTTGTAGAAGTTAGGTCTCCTGCAGGGGTCACTAGTTGTAGAAGTTAGATCTCCTGCAGGGGTCACTAGTTGTAGTCACACTTACAATAATTACAAGTTAGGTGAAAGGATGTCGATTTGAAATCTTTTACAACAGCTCTTACAACCATTACTGAACTGACTTAGTTATTTTAGTATGTGTTTAACCTCCCTATCTCGTCAAACTAAGCCAGACCCACCCCCAAAATAATGTCTTAAAAAGGGTGGGGGGTCATGTTGAGCTCACAAAGAAACATTTAGTCAAGAACCGCCATATTTTAATATCTCCATTATTCAATCATGAAAACATTTCATCTCATAAGGATACAATACTAAGCCATGAAAAAATCCCATTTCGCATGACTATTCCTCATCTGAGCATTACGTTTAAAGAAAACCCAAATAAATTTCCGTTGGTACTTCTGCTGACCCGCCCATTAATCTGCCCTGTTCTTCCATTTTCGTCTTTTATCCTTACCACTTATTCACTCACTTCCGCTCGTGACTGTGTTATCTTCCCTTTCAGCGTATTTCGTTTAGCGTCTCCAAACGAGGCGGGGTTTCTGTTATTGCCCCTCTGTTTTCGACCGTTTACCGAACAATCAAGAACTTTTGGCAGACAAATTCCGATTCGGAGTATTTGCATAATGAGATTGTTTCTTCAATTCTTGGCCGGAATTCGCTCTATCCCTGGAAATATTTCGCTGGAATTGCTCTTTAGTGGCGCTTAATACATGCAAACTGCGTCCACATAGCACAATCATTTTGACTTTTTGGCCCCGCTAGTTCCAACATCCCTGAGATTGTCTGTCGACTTCTGTCCCGACATAACGAATTGATCTTCGCGTGCTTGTCTCCCCTAGGAGTCATTGGAGGAGGGAGGGAAGAGGAAAGATTAAATAAAAAAGAACGCTTAAAGAAGATGAAGGCAAAAAAAAAGGCTTAAAAATATTAATTATAAAAACAATTTCTTGGTGCGACTGCTAGGGGAATTCTCCAGGAAAATGAGTCGTATAAATAGATTTAGTTACTGCGCATGCGCATTTCGAAACGTTTGGGGTTTGTTTAACACAATGTAATTATAAAACCGAAAAGAGATAATTAACAGCACAGTAAAGAATAATGTTCAATTATAAACGCATTAACGTACTATAAATTATTTACAAGTAAAGTTTTGAAAAACAAAACAGTAAGACAATACGATGAAAAATATGAAGAATACATACACACTTTGAGTAAACACATTTTATAGTAATTAAATAACATTTGGTCAACAATTTCAACGCTTTTGGTCCGTCTAACTGACGTGAGGAACTGTTGTTTTATTCATAGCTTGGCAAGTGATGAGTGGAGCTCTAGCGTATGAATTTACATTCGGTACCGATGTGAAAATTATTAAAATATTTTCGGTTCCTGTTACGTGGGTGTTGTATGGGGAAGCTCTGGCGTTTGTCAGTGAGTAATTAACATAGTTATGTTCGCGGGTAATTGAGTTTTTGGATAGTGTTGGATAATTGTGGATAAGCTGTGTCCGTCTGACGAAAGCAAACAAAATATTCGTGGAGAGTGCCAATATTATAAGAGAGTTTTTAGTGCAGTTGGCTTGTCTTTAAAATACATGAAAACATTATTTATAAATTGAAATAAAAAGACCTTCAAAAAGTAGTCCTAGTTATTGACGTTTCGATTTCAGGCCAAGGTCCAATAACATAAAAAAATATGTATAAATGAAAACAACAAATATAAACTAAGGAAAAAATGACTAAAAATCGCTCTAAACTATATGATTTCATGATGAATATCAATTAAAAGTTATTACTCTGGTGGTGCAAGTTGCAATAAAATGCGGCTCTTTTAACTAAGTATAGACCAACGTACTTGAACAATAATAAAAACATTCCTATAAAAAATAATCAGGAACAAAATATAAACATAGTTAGTGAGTTTTCCTAAATTCCCAAGTTCCAATGTATTTCTAAACCTATCTAAAAATAAAAAATAAAACTAGACACACAGATTATAACAGAGGTCGAAAGAGTTAGTGATTAAATATATATTGAAAACATGTTCAAAACATCTACTAAATAAAAGTTAAAAATGCCACAAAAGAAAGGGAACATAGCGAGACCTTTAACATTCTACAGCGTGATGTTTATCTATTTGCTTTAATTCCATGTTGTTCTTTCTCTTCAAGACAAATCCCCTATCTGCTCTTTCCCCCGCCTGCTCTCCAAAGCCCCTCCAGCCGGGATGAAACCAAGAGACGCTTGGCCCTGTGTCCCGGGGGAGCGGACAGGACAAATCTGCTCAACTGAGAAACCTCTTGCCACTAATTCCTTGATGAGAACGGGGCTTGACGACATCAGAGCGATGAAAAGCATTACTCTCAGCAGAGGAACCGGGTGCCGGTGCTCATTTGGCGGGGGTAATAGCCGGCCTCTACACCGCTCCTCAGCACCGCTTCCGCGGTAATTGCTTCCGATCTCTCGCCACTCGTCATGATTTGGCAGCGGTCAAGGCGCGGTAATTGCGCTATCCTGCTCACAATCATTCTCCACCGATGACTTTATTTACCACCAAAATATTTGTCGCGAGGGCTTCGTTAAAAAAAAATGGCCTCGCTCGGCAAATAGGCGTTTATTTCCTTTTCTCGTTGCTAGGGACAGCAGACGCATTTCCGGTGGGGAGAGCGATTTTTATTTTCTTTGACCGGAAGTAAACTAGGAGCGTAAGGTCAAGGCTGTATTGTTTACTGTCTCTTAGATTTTTTCTTCTAGTTGAGCGATTAGCAAAAAAAATATGCTTGGAATAAAAGTCTGTTGCAAATGATACAGTTTAGTGTGCATTCACTAGATAAAGGGATCTTTACTAAAGCTGGGAAAAACGTATTAGTTCCCCCGTGGAGGTTATATCAACTGAACCTATATAAGGAAATTCTCGATTCACAAAGTTGGAATTTCTTAATTCCTGAAATTAGGATTTCTGGGTTACCGAAATGGGATTCCTGGATTTGCAAAGATGCATTTTAAAATTTGAATTCTTGATTCCCAAAATGGCAATTATCGATTAATACAGATGTTTTTTCTTTGGTGGTAGGTGGGGGGGGGGGGGGGGGGTTACCCATAATCCCATATATAGACTCTCAATTACCACGTAGGATTTTTTTTATCTTTTGGGATTTCTTGCATCACAAATACAAAAAGTATCCGGATAGGATATAAATAGTTATCAGAACGGTACATGCTTTGGAGAAACAAGCCTAGGAGTTCTTTAAAAATAGTGCACGCACTGGACTCGCATTAAAAAGACATGCCTGCGCTTTAATTCAAATTAATCAAACCTGATACGTCCCTTCAAACGTCTAATTATAATTCTCATTAGATTTCATGTCTTTAAATAATAATAGCTTTAATCTTCGCGCTTCAGAAACTTCGCTTCCGTTGTCAGGATTTCCGGTTCTGATAAGGTGTGTGTGTGGGAGGGGGGAGGTGTAGTGTGTTGATGCGGAGATGGTGAAGGGGGGGGGGGATTTGATTATAACTTAGCTTTGGGGTTGTACGTCTTGTGATAAGAGTGGTCTATCTCTCTATCTCATATATATATATATATATATATATATATATATATATATATATATATATATATATATATATATATATATATATATATATATATATATATATATATATATATATATATATATATATAATACCATTTTGAAAACTGTTTCTTTTGATGTTTAAAATGTAAAAGTAGGTTTTGATGGCTCCTTAACAAATCTTACACTCAAGAGCCCTGAAAATGACTGTCCTTAGCTTTACGACTTCGTTTCAATCAAATCTAATTTTAATTTCGCATTAAAAAAAAAGTGGGATTAATGTGTCTTTGAGACCAGCAAGCCAGTGAAAGCGAAAGATGAACTGGACCGAAGCGACATCTGCTGGCCATAAATTCTTTAACAATCATCATCACCCGCACCTTCCTTTCACTTTCGCTTCGTTTCTTTTTGTTTTGTTTTGATTTACCCAACAACCAATCCTATTCATGACTAGTAAAATAACCCATCTGTCCCCGCGCGCTACGATGGCCCACTAAGGTGATCAAGGTAAGAGAAGAATAATTGCATTAAAAATAAATAGATTTATGGGGAGAGTTTCAGACCGGCATCGTAGTATTCTCTTTCATTTTCTGTCACGTCTGATTTTTTTTGCTGTTTATCAATCAAAGACGTTCAGATCACCTGCTTGGTAGTCGTGTCAAGTATAACAAGGTCAAAGTATCGTTGTCCAGTAGGCTCTACTTGAGTATTTAAAAAAAAAGTTCATTGTCAAAATTGAGGGATATATTCCATCCAAAAAAACTTACATCTACACTTTTAAAAAAAATAATTTTACTTACTAATACATTTAAGTCCGATGAATGAAAAAGCTACGTATTTCTTCTTATGAAGATCCCTTGGTTATTTAACTCTTGTTTTTTTTTATGTAAAAGATACGAATAAAATATTTTTGTATTGCTCCGCGCATAATGAATTGAAAACACTCTAGCTTTGG